CTATTGTGAGTCATTGTTGGACTCACGAAAGCTCATGAATAAAGACTCGTGGTTGTACTCAGACAGAGGAGATAAGTTTTACTCATACTTGTTAATATTATTATTAAGACACTTATCTACTTTAATAATAACGCGTTGATTAATAAATTGTTTGAGAAATATAACTGGTTCACACTATCTTTGTTGCGTGTGGAAATAGAAAAGAAATTAATAGTTATTCTTTCGAGACCAAGCACGTAACACCTATATGTAAAGTTGAAATAAAAAAAAATACACATAAGTCAAACGAGGCTCACATTTTGCATGTCATTCAATCGATGCTGTGTAAAATAATGAATATTTTTAGCCGTACAACTGCATTTTTTCACTATCGTAGACGATGAAAGAGACATAGTAATAAGGAGCGTGTTTTGTTGACTTCTAAATAAAGTCAGCACACCTGGGTAAATGAAAGTGTAATTGGTAGAACTGCGTATTGTTCTTTGTTTTATGAGTTGTCGGCTGTGGATGCGCTTTGTGAAGGGCAACATTCTCTACCTCTAAGGTGACATATTCTTATATAAGAGCTTGATAAGAGCTCAGCTCACCATGGGCTCAACGACAGCGGTTTTCGTTGGAAGAATCATATGTCAATCAATTGTAAAAGTCAAACCACCAATTTTTATGCAGTTGCGATCAGGAAAAACTAGCTGAATTCCAGTTGAATTATTAAGACAATGAATTTACTTATCTCTTGTGTTTTGTTGTTCGGATCATATTTATGGTGATTTATGCATGCGATGTAATAACTGATGATAAATTTGTATTTTCTCAAATGCTGATAATTTTCATTTTCAACCCAAGGCATGTACGACCAAATAAAGTTTTACATTTTAATGACGTCTTCGTAAATTCCTTCAATCTTCCCCGCCAACGATCATTAATTCTTGCTGTGATCTTTTCAAATACTTACATTGTTAAAAGAAAATTTATTTATAACGAGTTGCGAAACAAGTCATTTGTGTTATTTTGATTTTATAGCAGACGGAAGCAAAACCCGTGAAGATTGTTTCAATTTTGTTGAAACACTGAAAGATCGGGAATTTATTATAAGGTACGAAGACTTAGTTCTTTTGTAATCTTCTCAAAATTAAAGACTGAATGCATGATATACGTTTTAAAATACCAGGTTGAGTTTTTTAATTTATTCATTACATGTAGCCTAATGACAATGTTAAGAAAATTACATTGCGTTAGACGTTATAAATTTAATCGCCATGAGCCTGTCTTTCTACTCAATTTTCTTCTTATTTTTCCTAGTGCAAATCATTATAGATTAATCATTATATTTCTATTTTTGCTGTTATTTTACATAAGTCAAATACCTTGATCAACTGATCATCGAATATGTTTTCAACTTTTAAAAACTGTGAAAGAAACTTTAGAGCTTTGCTTGAAAAATTTTTGCTTTCAACTCAATTATGGAAATTCGAGGAGGTCTTCTCCCCCTCCCAAAAATATCTTGCGATGCTTTTGCGTGGGAGATTAGCGTGTTTTGTATGAATGGATGAATTTTTGGAATTTCAAACTGAATTCAACATTGTTCATCATCAATATTTATTTAATTTCATGTATTGTAATAACTGACTAAAACTGATTATTTTCTTGTCCTTCGTTAACGTTTCAAATGAATAGTTCGAAAATTCCTTTCGTTTCTCCCCAGCAAGGCTCACTGTCTCCTGCTGTGGTAATTTGAAATGCTTGCATTTTTGAAAGATTTTGTGATGGGAACAAAAACAGCGAAGTATACTTGTTGAACTTTGTCATACTTATCGCTCGTTTTTCCAAGTTGCCTTGTTTTTTTAACAAGATTAAACATCTGTATATAAAGTACAAGAATACAGGATCATCAAATATGAAAGAAGCGAAAGTTTTAATAAAGTCATGTTAAGTAATTTCGAGCTCTACTGAATCATCTTTTAAAACTTATTAATAACTACAATAAATAATTCAGACCTAAAAAGCTCTTGAAACATAAGAAAAAAAGCATCTTACAAACAGTCCTAACATGTGTGGATTTTTATAAAACATAAAGTGTTAAGAAGTCAAGAAAGTATAGGACACAATACAAATATTAAGTAAGTAATACATTGGTGGGATATAGCATAATGGTGACTGTCGACTTTATTACACAGGTATTTGCTACATTTCCAAAATCGATAACTCATCTCCTGACGTTGGTTCAAGGTTTGAGATGGAACATTCCATGGAAGAAAGTGAAAGAAATTTGAAAATAACAATGGAGAGATCCGACAAATCTTCGCTTGATTCCGATAAGAAATCTACATCATACAGTGACTTACCAAGGGCTTTATCATTCTTGAAAAGGGGGAATTCAAGTAATGATAATAGAGATTATGAAACAGCAATTGAACAGTACAAAAAATGTTTAAACGGTGCAGAGGAGAAAAGCGTCAAAATGATGGCATATTTTAGTCTTGGTAACGCTTACATCCTCTCTGATAAAATGGAGGAAGGATTGAACTGTTTTAATGAATGCTTGAATTTTTCATCAATAGTAGAGAGTAAATATTTTCAACATGAAGTATATGTTGGGCTGGAGAGTGTTCATTCTACCAATAACAGATTAGATGATGGTATAAAGAAAGAAGAAATAGACTCTCTCTGCCATGTTGCATTGGGAGGATTGAATAAGTTGAGTAGAAATTACGAGCAGTCCTTGGAGCATTACAAAAAAGGATTCTCTCTTATTGAAAGTCTTTACCAGCAAGAAATACAACTTTCGCAACAGGAAAATCCACAACATCGACAAAAGAAAGTTGGTGGTATTAACGTTAGTAAAGATTTCATCGACCATAACATAAAGAACTTGTCAATTATTACTTCAACAGGAATCATGAGTGGAGTGCTAGTTGTTTATTGGGAATTAGCAGAATTGTTTGATAAACTTGAACAATGGGATGATGCAACACGTATTTATGAAATATATTTTGAGATTGCAAGAAAAGATGAAGACATAGAAAAACAAACCAACGTTGTGCAGCGTCTGATACAAATGTATGAAAAGGAAGAACGTTATGCCGTACAGGAGTCTATGAAATTTATATTGCAAGAACTTGATGAAAAAAAGAAGAACAAAGGTAAAGAATACACACGAATTCAGTTTTAAAGGCAGTTTAGGTTGATCAACAAATATAAATATAGGATTAAAAGTGGCAGAATACTTTGTTTACTATTTATTATACAACTTATACCATGGTTGGCGCGATTTCTATTGTTCTAGTAAGACAAATTAATAACATATATACCTAATTAGAATTCAACTATTCAAATTAGTATTACTAGTAATTTACATTACATTGTCTTCTCTACGTGTAGTATTACAAAAAATCCTGAATTTTAGGCTTGGAATAATAAAAATCACCACAAACGCCCCTCGGGCCTTTTACCTTTGGCTTTGAGTAGCTATATTTAATCACTAAGTAACGTCACGACGTCACTGCCATGGTTGTAGTTTTGATTAGGAAATAAAAGATGTTTACTGTGTTTGCACAGGCTTATGCAAACCGAGGAGAACTTTGGGAGATCTCGAGAGTAGATCAGTGCAAGCGCAAGACCGAATGTCGAGGGTTGCACATGCTCGAGAGTTCTCACAAACGTCTCCGAGGTTTGCATAAGCCAGTGCAAATACGAAAAACATCTTTTATTTCTTTTATAAAATAACAATAATGCAAAAATGACAAACATTTTAATTTTTTCTCTAAAATGTATTCGTGATTGATTTGTAAATTCTCTTTGACTGGTTGATTGTTTAGATTGATTTGATTGGTTGAGCTCAGATGTGCTTTGCATTGGCTAATGCAAACTCAGCTCTAGACCAATCAGCACACGCGTTTCATTGTGTTTATTTTATAATTGCCTATGTATGACCTTGTTCCTGCTAATCTGGAAACATCAATTCTTTCACTCTTACAAAAACTGTTTATTGATAAATTATTTCATTTATCTGAAAAGAGTAATATTATATAAACGAGATTTTTTCATTTATATGCATGATTTTACTCTTTCCCACCAAAAACTATTTCCAGCCGACAATTTAAAATAGTAAGGCAGGGAAAAAATTACATAAAAAACAAGATGTCTTGTTTTTAGCGGAATTTTTTTTCGCTTTACTCTTTCTGAAGTTATTCTTTTTCTTCAAATCAGAACTTCAGTTGCAAGAATGGAAATACATCGGTGAATCAACGAAGCATAGAGGTTTGATTTTGAAATTGATCGAGTATGGGCGAGATTCTAATGTCGACTTTGAACTTGTCAGTGAAGTAGGTGTAATTTTTTCAAACGAGTTTTGCATTGGCAAAGGAAGTGATGGAACCCGTGTTTATGTTGGACTGGGAAAGGATGGTTACGGCAAAGCAGTGAAACGAATACGTCGAGATAACTGTATGAAGCTAGCTCAGAATGAAAAGACCATTTTGAGTCAAATCAAGTCGAATTTTGTTGTACATTATTACCGCTTTGATGAAGAGAGTGCAAAAGACTATGTCCATTTGATACTCGACCTTTGTGAAGAATCTCTAGAAAGTTTTGTGACATCTGAATTAACCAGTTTAGCTTATCTTCAAAAATCTCTTCCTAAAATTTTCACACAAATTTTAAAAGGATTAGCTGATCTCCATAAGGACCAAAATCCTATTCTCCATTTGGATTTAAAGCCATCTAATGTTCTCCGAGACGCACAAGACAATTTTCTAATAACTGATTTCGGAGTAAGTCGAATATTGAAGAAAGGCCTTAAAACACATTTAACCGGTGCTAATAAGGGAACTCCATATTGGATACCTCCTGAATCTTACTATGTAGATGAAGATAAACGTGTTAAAGCTCGCTATAAAAAAGAATCAGATGTAATGGTAGGTGCAGAATGTGACTATTCGCAAAGCACAAATAAATTTATTTTTTATGTTTATTTAACACTGTCGCCTTCTCATCAAATTTAGAGTGCAGGAATGGTAGCTTATTATGTTGTAACAAAAGGGAAACATCCTTTTGGAAGTATGAAGTATAGACTATACAACATGCTGCGTGGAAATCCTGTTGGCTTGAAGGAAATCAATAATGTTGAACTTAAAGATCTTCTCACATGGATGCTACAACTAAAACCTGAACTTAGGCCATCAGCCAACGAGGCGTTAAAACATCCTTATCTACAGTCCAATAATGATAAGCTTGACCTGCTTTGTAATGTTACATATCCACTGGATACGGAGATACCAAATTTAAATCATCCTCTCTACGAAGATGTCCGTGAGCAAGTAAATCGTCTAAAAAATTGGAAGGACCGTTTGGATTTTAAAACATCAAATAATGTCAAAAAAGAAGACTACGAGTCTACATGGTTAGGTTGCTTAAAATTTATACAAGACTTTCATCAGGATAATAAACCTCGTCTACAGCTGTCACAAAGTGATGACAACTACAAAGAGTATTTACTGCAAGTTTTCCCAGAGCTTCCTCTTCTTGTAAACAGAATTGTAAGGTTACAGGATTGGAAATCGAGATCTGTTGTCGGGAAGCATTTTACTTGTAAGCAACAGTTATCAAAATAACTTTCGATTTCCAACGATAGAGCTAAATCATGTTTCCATGACTATAAGATGTGTTTTAGGTTTAAATGTTGGGAAGTTGACTATTCTATTTGTATTTTCTCATTTGAGAGCAATTCCATAATGGTTTCTAGATTTATACTAGCATTTACCGTTACTTCCAGTACAACGGGTTACGGTTAATACCTAACACTACAAACAAGTACAAGGAACAGCAATGGGGTAACTGTTCTCTTTTGTTGTTGGTTGAAATTTTCTTACAACTTATAGAGTAACAGGCGTTCATTACCCACTCTCTGTACAGTAGTCATGCACTACATTTTTGGTTCCGTTACGTAGACGATACAATCCCTTAACTCTGTAATGTGTGTGTTTCATTGATATTTTAACGAAAGTTTCACTGATATTAATTTTTTTTCTTTAAATATACATCGTGGACGAAGCTGTTACCAAAAGTCAAGTGTGGCAGGTCAAAGATATGAATAGGTTTCGTCGCTTTTTGGTGTTGGGAAATTGCACATCTACCTTCTATGTTAACGAAAAATCGTTAGGCTTAGAACATGAGCAAGTCCTTTCGAATCTTATGGAAGCAGGAAGGGGAGTTGAAGTTGTCAATGAAATAGAGAAGTATAGCATTGAAGGACGAACACCAAGGCAGCAGGCCATTGTGTTTTCTCTCGCTGTTTGTGCCCGGAAAGGAGATTTAGCCACGAAAAGACAAGCATACAATGCTTTACCCAAGATCTGTCAAATTCCGACTCATTTGTTTATGTTTATTAAGTTCTGCAAATACTTAAGTCAGTCTGGCTGTGGTTGGAGTCGTGCCCATAAGAATGCCATAAAACGATGGTACAAAGAAAAAGATCCATGGAAACTGGCGATGGATATCACCAAATATCAAAAACGTGAAGGATGGTCACATAGGGATGTTGTAAGGTTAATGCATCTCAAGCCAGAAGGAATTGATGTTTCTGATGAATTATTTGTGATAATGAAATATGTTGTTTGTGGTTGGCAGAAGCTTTTTAAATATTTCTTTCCTGAAGATAAGACAACTCCAAGTCGTCCAATTGGAGAGAATGGCAGCAAGATGTTGGTATTTCTTAGGGCAGTTGAAGAAGTAAAAACATTGCAAGAGGAGACAAGAGTGGTTGAGCTGATAAATGAACATAATCTTGTTAGAGAACATATTCCGACACATTTCCTTAATTCCAAAGAGGTAAAAAGATTTCATGTTTTTTGTCTTTTACATTTCTCAACTTGCAATCATTGCAGTGTTTACTAACTGGAATAATTTATAAAATATGGCTGTGACTTGTTTATATAAAATACATCATTATATTGCTTCTGTTCTATGGTATTTTAAAGTGTTACTGCTTATGTTAATGATAGTCATAATTTTGCCACTTAAGTGTTCCATCAGTTTACTTAAATGGACTTTATCATTTGAAACCATAGGCGGCTCACAACTACGGATTTATTTTTATCAATCAATCTCGTACGACAATCTCGCGCGACGTTCGTATAACGTGTATAGTCTTAAGTAATTATTCAGTCGATAAGACGCACGTCACAGGAACGTCGCGCGAGATTGTCGTCCGAGATTGATAGAGATCGAGCAAAATAAATCTGCAATTGTGGGCCGCATGCATATGATGAAAATGCATTATTCTATCAATGTAACGAAGGTCATGAATCAATGAATAACAAGTTATGATTTATTTGTCCTAATACTGGATATTAATTGCAAGCTGAACACCTGTTTTTAGGTGTGGGATGCTCTGTTAAAGAAAATGCCAATGACTGCAATGATACGTAACTTAAACAAAATGACTTCCATTGGCTTGCTTGCTGAAGGATCACCTCGGGTTAAAGAAGTTTGTGATAAACTGCGTGATGAAGATCTGCTAATGAATGCACGTATCCATCCATTTAACATGTTATTAGCTTTGGCAACTTACCAATCAGGAGAAAGTGAGAATGTTTCTCTAGAATTGAAAGCCAATGAAGAAATCATCAAAGTATTGGAGGAAGCATTTTATTTATCATTTAAGGTAGACAGAACACACAATCAATTTTTTAACACAAGAAGCAGTTAAGTAGCATTGTGTTTTTTGTTTTGTTTTGTATTTTCAACATTTTGTTCTATTTTAGACTGTTGAACCAACAGGTAAAAGGTACATGCTAGCCATGGATGTAAGTGGCTCAATGCAATCCAGTAGATGTGTTGGTTCAAGTCCAGTTAGATCTCACATGGCTTCTGCTGCAATGGCTATGATGACAGCACGAACAGAACAACATTGCAAAGTTGTTGCATTTAGTCATGAAATAGTTCTGATAGGGATCTCCAGTAGCATGAAATTGAATGAAATTTTAAATGTTATTAATGAAGTAAGTTTTTCAAAGTTCAAAACCCTTCACTTCTTTAAGTTTTATTTGTGCATAGGTACACCTCCTTTGCTATTATTGGCTTTGTGGGACTTGTTTTTAGTTTTAAAAACTGTTTTGGGAAAGCATTTTGAAATGCAATGTTTTTGTAAGAAGTGCTTAATTATTTAAAAGAAACAATGGGTTAGTTTATAGTAATGGTGTACAAATGCAACACCCTCAAATATATGTCTGTTAACCTTTTGAAAGAATTGAAGTATGTAGCATAAATATATATTTTGTATTTTTCAGATTCCAAAGGGTGGTAGAGACTGTGCTCAGCCCATGCTTTATGCCATTGACAAAAATTTGAAGATTGATGTATTTATTGTTTACACAGACTCTGAACCATGTCATGGCAAAGTTCATCCAAGGGAGGCTCTCAAACAATATCGTCATCAATCAGGGATAGATGATGCTAAACTCATTGTGGTTGCCATGACATCAAATGGTTTCACTATTGCTGACCCAGATGATTCTGGGATGCTTGATATAGTTGGCTTTGACTCTACTGCACCACAAGTGATGAGAGAGTTTATCTTGGGGAATTTTTAGAAGTTTTTAGCGAACATCACCGTATCTTCTCCACAACGAATGTCCTCATTATAATATGACATAAATTCATAATCTTTGATGGCACAAGTTGAATGTTGCATCACTTGTATGTGGTCGTCAAAGTTGCTTGGAGCAACTTTTCAGCATGAACTTCGTCGTAAAGGTCAATCGGTATGTAATGAGAAAAACATAAGAAAAACTTTAACAAAATGCGAGAAAACTGGAAGCAAGAGAGTCAATAATCTAGGCTACATCCCTATGAGAGGTGATTCCCGCAGAAAGCCTGCTTGAAATTCTGTAACAGCGACCTCAATTCTTGTGTTCCAAATTAATATTCTATCGCAACGGAATTTCAACGAGTGCAATAAATTTTCGTCAACCGAACAAAATTTAATGCGAAACAGAATTTACAAAGACAAAACAGAATTTAGTGCGACACGACAAGGTTTAACAAAGTACTATATATTTTAAAACGACACAACAAAATTTGAGTTGATCCTCAATTCTGATATTTCCATAATTTCTTAATAGCTTTCTATATATATAAAGCATTTCAAGTGAACGTCAAGTTTTTTTAAAGTAAACATGTTTCGGCATGCTTATGCCATCTTCAGTACAAGGAATGACTATGCTGTCTATTTGCAGTTATATTTACATTAGATCATTCTCCAGCTTCCGCTTCTCTTTTGATCGTTTGATTATAGAAGAGCGAAGCAATCGTTTGCGTATGGCGTGGACAATGGACATCTTGGGTATAAAGTAAATGGTTTGAACCCGGGGGGTATCGTTACGTGTTTGTAAATGTACATCGTCCAGGTTGGTATAGTCCTGAGAAGGACTGTTTTTGTCGTTGTTAACTGACATTTCGACAACCTTAGCGGTAGTCATCTTCAGAGTCATCTTCACTTTGACAAGAGAACCCTAGAAATCATGCTTGAACCTTGTCGAAAGCTTCACGTCAACACTTGAATGGACATGCCATATCAAAAGTGCTTTGTATGATGTTTTGTCCATCTTTTGTTTTCGCTGAATTCTTGAAAAAAATATATGAATAATAAGTTGTTAAATCACGACTGACATTCTATCACTAACACGAATGAGTAGAATGGTCAGCCGCCATATTGACACAAACAAAGTTCTAAGCGAGAGGACTGGAACAAATGTGTTGTGCTAAAATTTCGAAGTGTGTTGCGCTTATAATTTCGAAATGTGTTGTGCAAATTTGAAATGTGTTCTGCCTCTTATTATTGAGATGTTTTTAATTGCAAACATGTTTTGTTAATTTTAAAACAGGTTTCGAAATGATTTTAATTCTCTGTATTATATTTACAATGTGACACTTATGGGCCACCGTAACCACGAACCAGAAACGTCATCTATAGAACTCAATGACGTCATCCCACAAAGTTTATTTCGTACGTCACAAATGTAATCAAGGGGAGAAAATTCTGCGTGTAAATGCTTTAGCTCAATATCAAGCTTTGAGAGGTAAAATGGTACTTTGGTTCATAAACAACAACGTTCATGCTTCTTTAGTTATTTCCCCCTTAGCAGGACATCTTCCAAAGTCTGATCTACTTTTAACATTGTTCATGTTTGTATCCAGAAACATCTTTAAAACGGTTTGCCAAACAAAATCTACTTAAAACTTACGCCAGTCATTGTAATTGCTCTGTTTAGAACAGTGAACTCAATATTTAAATAACATATGTATATATATGGAGTTCTCTGGTTCAGAATAATGTAACTTTCCCGCCTTCGAAATGTTTCATTTTGATTGGCTCTTATATTACTTCTTTGTTTGACTAACCAATCAGGAGCAGTTTTGAAGAGAAATTTTTCGCTTTTAAGCACTGGTGTTTCGCTTTTCTGCACTGGTGTTTCGCTTTTTTGCACCGTTGTTTCGCATTTCTGCACTGGTTTTTAGGAAAAATTTCACTGCTTTTTACCAATTTTTTCATGAAATTTTTTTATGTACATGATTATGGCGGTAATCACTCCTCATACTATTGTGCATTCCGATTCTGACCAATCCCAAAGTACCCTTCTTCACGTTTCAAGTTATATCGATGTTTTCGCCGGATGTAACTTGATATGATTGTACTAAAAGTTAAAAGACAATACTTTAAGCAACAAAAACTCTCGAAAAACAATCATTTGTCTAATGTCGTCCTCTGATGGATGGGAAGAAGTTAACGAAACTACACATGGCACATGAATCGACGAATAAAAATGAAACACAAAATTTCTAGATTAAAGTTTCGTAGGAATAAAAATTTGTCTTTAAAATTGTAATTAAATTGTTTTAAAAAAAATTTCACGATAAAAGTTTCGAAGAAATGAAAATATGTCTTTAAATTTGTAATCAAATTGCTTTAACACTGCAAGACGTCAAGAAACATCGAAACTCAAGTAAGAACGACAGCAATTAACGTTAACTTTTAACTTTTCTTATACCCCGTGTATAGATGCCCGGCAGCCGGGTAGGAAATTTAAAATACTAAATACCCAGCAGTATAATACTTTTACTTTAAAGCCTGACCCAAACCCTAACACTAACCCTAACCTTAACCCTAATTATAGATTGTTTTTTGTTGCTTTAGTTATAAAACACAAAAGATTTAGATGATTTTTAAAAGATTTTACGCGCACATTGGTGTATGTAACTCGTCACACTTTCCACTACACCATCACAGGGATTCACAGCAATCTTGTCAAATTTTTTGTACAATTTTTTACTGCCAGATATGTAGAAGTTGAATAATTTATTTCCGGCTGCTGAGTATCTAGATCTAGACTCTAGACCATTTAGACCATTAGGTAAATAGTATACAGGTCAGAGATCTAGACAAAGTGTTTCTTATAAGGATTTTGGAATTCTCAACACTTTCAAAATTGTCTGTTTCGTAGATGGACGGTAAATTCAGCATCGTTTGCAAATTTTCACTGAAAAGGCTGCAAGAAGTTTGTCTGGTTGGTTCGGATATTGAGGAAATTCTTGTAAATAAGGTCAGTGATAGACTTTGAAAATTTTGCTTTTAGGTTCTCAAAAATATGAATATTGAGTTAACCTAACACAATAACCACTTTTGATGCTCTATTTGTAGTCACCATGCTTTGAAGACAAGCAAAATCTTTTGGACAAACTCTCCCATTTAATGCTTGATGTCAGTATGGCTTTGTGTATTGCTCGACAGTTTAGAGGAATCCTTTTGGAAATACTGAAAAGAACACAGAGTTTTATTGAAGCTTGTATTGATATGAAGATATTGAATCATCAACGATTTAGTCTGACATTGAGTCATTTGTTGCAGACATATCCATACATAATGCCGTTTGTATTAAAATATTTTCGCAAGAATGGTCCCTTCTTTTATAAGAAAATTGTGATTGAACATTCGGAAATCGCTGTTGTAGTTGAAGCTGCATATCGATTTCTTTCACTCTCTCCCTCAACTTTTCGAACATTATGGAATTGGGGAGACTTTTGTGAACTGGTGAATGTTTTAACTGATGATTTTAAAGAGATGTTTATGAAGACACTGACAATTCTCTTTGGTTGCAATAACAAAGAACTGATCCAATTGTTTGGTAATGATGATGAACTAAATTATTCGGGAATTTCATTGATTAGTGATCGAGAAAGATTGGAAAGAGACACGAACAAGTTTATCAGTTCATCAGACTCTCTAAATCTGGATGAAAGAGAAATCGTGTTTCTTGAAAATGATTTATGTGAAGATTACATCATCGTGGCAGGCAATGTGCTTGTTCCGAAGATTTCTAAAAGCATTTCATCTGGAGAAGATCTTGTTACAGTCTCCTCCATGTTGAAGAACATTGAAGCCCTCTCAATAGCCATTGTCTCTGGAAAACCAATATTGATATCCGGTGATGTTGGTTGTGGAAAGACATCTCTTGTTGAGTACGTTGCAGCCTTGACTGGGAGATCAAGACCGCCACATTTATTTAAAATACAACTTGGAGATCAGACAGATAGTAAGGTAGGATGTAGGGATGAACTGAGGCCAATCTATAGGCCTATCCCTAGTATACAAGTTTCTTTGTAAAACTTATTCTTTCCCCCCCCCCCAAAAAAAATAAAACACCCAGGACCAGTCAAACGTTGAAAAAATTATGTAAATAGAAAATTCTGAGTATATACATGTCAGACTAAATGAACTTTTCTAGGTGGGGTGTCTGACATTTCTCGTACATACATCTGAAAACTTGTGTATGCCATGTATATGTCATGTATATGTACGCTGTTCTGGTATGAACTTTTGACTGATGGACTCAAGTGGACTGCGCAAGTTTTCAGTCATGTTATTGGCATGTGTTCTTCAGCTTGTTTTAACAAATGCATTTTATAAGTTTTGTTTTTGGTTACATACATTTCAGAAACCATACATTGTATTTTTAATGCTCTGAACAAATGATTTAATTTAAGGCATTAATTGGTTCATACTGTTGTTCCGATATACCCGGTGAATTTATCTGGATACCTGGTGTCCTGACTCGAGCTGTACGAGAAGGTCGCTGGCTTTTACTTGAGGATATCAATTGTGCACCAATGGATGTTGTCTCTGTTCTTATACAATTGATGGAATCGCGTGTTCTTTCAATTCCTGGTAAAGAGAATGTTTCAGCTGCTCCTGGTTTTCAGTTGTTTGCTACTCAAAGGTAAACCTGCCCTTTTTTGATGCTACTTTCAGCCTTTGGACGGTCATTTTCCTCTGTAATTTTAAGTTGAAAATATTCGACAAAACGTTCTCCACACAATTTTAGAGTTGGTCGTGACGGCAGACTGTATAACGCGGAATCATCGATATTAGATCATTTGTGGTCAAAAGTCGAACTAAAAAATTTGACTAAAGAGGAATTTGTAGAGGTGAGGTCACTCGGTGGCGGCGGAATATTGATATTTAGGGGGGGGGCTATATTCATGTATCCGTAAACACGATTGATTTCAATAGAAACTAATTAAGTAAAACATGCATATATAAATAATAGCCCCCCCCCTCAATTATCGATAGTCTGCGACCCTTGAGGTTACTGTTTTCTATGTTAAAAGAGGAAGTGAAGACCGGAGAATCAAAAGAATTGAATAATTTTGACGATAAAGAATTGTTTTTTCGACAGATATTATGAACGTTATAACGCTAATCCTTTGTTTCCCTACTAAGAAAGTTTTTCGGTAGAAAGTATAGTAAGTGCGATTTCCCTTTTAGATTGCAGAAGCAAAATTTCCAAGTCTTCAACCTTTTGCTGAGAAACTGGTGGATATTTTCTCATTACTGTCACGTGACCTTGAGCTGATGACATCACCCGATACGAGAAGGACAAATCTGCGTAATTGTGAACGGTTGTCTTCTGCACGTGACTTTATGAAATGGTGTCGAAGACTAAACTCGTTGAGTGTTGCGGGACACGTCCTGTTGAGCCCGCAAGATGTTTTTCAAGAAGCTATGGATTGTTTCTGTGCTACTGTTTCCAATCCTGAGAAGCGTTTAGCTCTGGCACTGGCTATTGGTGCAAAAGTCAACATCAACAAAGCAAAAGTGAAATTTTTTTGCAATATGTCAAAACCTACAGTTAATGTGGCACCTCTCTCTTTTACTATTGGTCGGATAACTCTGAATCGTAAGCAGCCAGAAAGAGAAGTTAAATATTTTAACTTTGCTTTTACAAGGCATTCTCTTGCATTACTCGAGTCTATAGCTGTTTGTGTATCGCAAAATGAACCCGTTCTTCTAGTCGGGGAAACTGGGACGGGCAAAACGTCGGCTGTCCAATACCTGGCAGCAAAATGTAACCGCTCATTGGTCGTGGTCAATATGAGTCAGCAAAGCGATTCCACCGATTTGATTGGTGGCTTTAAACCTATAGAAACACGGCAACTGGTCGCTCCAGTTCGCGAGGATTTCGAGAATTTGTTTTGTGAGACGTTTTCACGAAAACAGAACGTAAAGTTTCTTGCAAATATCCAGCAATGTTTTGGTCAGCGGAAATGGGAAGTCTTGTTCAAAGTCATGTTACACACACAACAGGCAGCTTTGAATAAATTATCAAAAGGTTTGTAGAGTCTTATAGCGTTGAAGGCGTACACTTAACTGCAATCTACTAAAGTCTGAATATGTGTCGATGGTCATGATTGAGTCAGTAAAAATCTATTGTTGTACAGTAGAATATTTTCTTTCGTGCCTATTGCTCAAAGACAGTGGCTATAAGGAAGAATATCTTTCTTCACCGGGAGTGAAATTCCATGGTTGTGTTTGGAGAATGTTTTATACAATTATCATCACACATCTTCACGATAAACTGTCGGAGGGTGGGAAGAGTTGAACAAATAAGTTTTGTTTAGATTTCTTACCGAGTTAATATGTGTTTATGTGTGATATGACTTCTCATTTGTAGCAACTGTGGACTATTCATTGATTGTTTGAGTTCTGCTTTTTTTTTGCCATTGAGTTTGTTATTAGTTTGTTTCATTGTAGCTATTTTTTAGAATTGAATGGCGACGACAATCACTTGCTGTCTTGTTGGAAGAAAATTGGTGAACGTATCACTCATATACGTCAGCAAATCAAGCAATGCGAGTCTGCTCAATTGTTTTCGTTCGTTGAGGGTGCTCTTGTCAAAGTTATTAAGCGTGGAGACTGGGTCCTACTTGATGAGGTTAATCTTGCGAGTCCTGAGACTCTCGAATGTTTGAACGGGATATTAGAGAGCCAAAATGGATCTTTAGTAGTTCTTGAAAGGGGGTAAGTGGGAACAATAGTGATTTTATATATTATTGAATGTCGAGGAGTAACGTGAAGTAGTAAAAGTTTAGTAAAACATTTTGCTATTATGGAAAATAGTTTCTATCGTTCGTCAAGTGGTGGATAATGACTTATTTGATGACTCAAGCTTTATGAACGATTTTTATGGAATTTTTAAATTTAATTGCTATAAAAATATGTGTTTGTTTTAGAGATTGCGAGCCTATTGAGCGTCATGAAGGATTTCGGATGTTTGCTTGTATGAATCCAGCCAACGATGTTGGCAAGAAAGATCTTCCTGCTGGAATCAGAAATCGTTTCACTGAAATATTTGTCAACGAACTCCACGACGTTTCTGATCTAAAAACCTTGGTACATAATTATCTTCAAGGATTATCTCCTCCTGGCTCTTTGGTCGATGACATTGTCAGGTGTGATATACGTGATTGTGTTTTTGTTGCGCATGCTCAGTGAGTTGCTGTAAATCTTCATTGTGAAGAGGAAATGTGGAAAGATTGAAGTTCTATGCATACTTTTTGTTCTTTGTATTTGTAAGTGTATATCACAAATGTTATTTTCACTATATCAGCTTTGTTTTGCTTTAGTTTTTATTTGAGTATTCGTGAAATGGCCAATGAGAAGTTATCAGATGGAAGCGGAAATCGACCTTATTATAGGTACTTGCAAACTTTTATAATTCTTGTAACTGCTATAAGTATCATAACTCTTGTAAGTGTTATTTATAACTGTCATGAATTGTTATAACTAGAGGAGTTTTATGATCTCATAATTATTTCACACAATTTGTTTATTGACACGTCTTTGCTCATTCTTTCCCAGTCTTCGCACTCTGTGTCGAGCAATGAAATATGCGTCTGGAAATCCCCATGGCAACATACTGCGCTCTGTATACGAGGTGATTTTTTTATGAATTTAGAATCCGTTTTCGAGCTAGCTTTTCTGTCTGGCTTTCATTCCAGATGATTATGATATAGCTGATTATAAAAAAAGCGTTGTGTTTTATTACTTATCAAGTTAAGGATAGTTTTCAAACTTAACGATGTTAGCCATGCAATCTTCTGCTGTGTGATATCATAATAGAACGCCGTATCTATACTTTATTAGTCTAAATTTTACTTTTCTCCGTTTCTTAGGGTTGTTGTGTTAGTTTTTTTACACAACTGGACAGGTCCTCCCATAACATTGTTGAGAAATTACTTCAACATAAACTTTTATCACATGTTAACACACGTGGCTTGCTACATCAACCATTGCGTAAACCAGTGGGGAACGAAACGTTTTTGAACTTTGAAGGATATTGGGTGTGTCAGGGGAGCATGGAACCAATCATATCATCGGAGTACGTTTTCACATCCTCCGTGAAAGATAACTTGAAATGCTTGGCGCGAATCGTTTCTGGCAGGTTAGTCCAATGAATAAGTATGACTACTGCTAAGGTTGTCGAAACGTCAGTTTATACCAACAACAGCCGTCTGTCTTAGGACTGCACCTACCTGGATGATCTACATCGACAAACTTGTAACGAAGGATGTCTGTTGCGAATATTTTATTGTCCATTATAAAATAAAAACAATAAAACGCGTGCGCTGATTGGTGTATAGCTATATTTGCATTAGCCAGTGGAAAACAGATCTGAGCTCAACCAATCAAATCAATCAAAACAATCAATCAGTCAAAGAGAATTCGCAAATCGATAAAAACGTTCGTTTTTAATTTGTCTGTTTCGCATAATTGTTATTTTATAAAAGAAATAAAATATGTTTTTCATGTTTGGACTGGCTTATGCAAACCTCGGAGACGTTTGTGCGAACTCTCGAGCATGTGCAACGTCTCGGGCTTGAACTGATTTGCTATAGAATTCTCCCAAAGGTCTCATCGGTTTGCATAGTACATATGTTTTTTTCTTTACTTTTGCTGATTTCGCTCTTTCCATGTTTTCTAGAGATTTTCCTGTGTTGATTCAGGGTGAAACGTCCGTTGGTAAAACGAGTCTGATAAATTGGCTCGCTAAAGCAAGCGGCAATTACTGTGTACGTATCAATAATCACGAACACACGGATATTCAAGAATATATGGGATGCTACACGTCCGATAGAAATGGAAAATTGATATTCAAGGAAGGTAAGATTGTAATTTTATTTGTTTAATTTATTGTACGTACATCGTTCACCGTTGAAGTTATTCGTTCAGGACCAGCGGAAGGAGTCTGTTTAAGTATAAACGTTGTGTAAGAAAACTCAAAAAATCGCTCCTTCATTAGTTTTATCTAACAAGTGCATTAAACATTTACCTGAAATCACAATTTTTGAAAGAGTTAGAAGTTGCAAAGTGAACTCGGTTTTGGAAATCTGGATTAAAGCTTACATTGCTAAGGAAAACCTAGTTGAGTTTTGCTAGTGGTGGGTCAAGACGAAAATTGTTTGACACACAGGGTAGTGGCTTCCTTTTAATGCATAGATTTTTGCAGGAATTCTTGTCGATGCAATGCGCAAAGGATATTGGGTAATCCTGGACGAACTCAATCTCGCTCCGACTGATGTTTTAGAAGCTTTAAATCGGGTACTGTATTACGACTAACTCTTCCTTTGAGAACGTGAGGTGTGCACATGCGCGTCAGGCAGGCTACTTATACATGGATAAGGGAACATTTTCTTAAGCTTACTATCACTTACACAAGTATTAGAATGAATGAGCGTCTGGTTATTAATATACTTTTGTCGTGTGCTACATTGTTGAATTTTTTGTTTGCAGCCGCTGTGCATGTGCGTTATTGCCCGTTGTCACTTGTTTATACAGAACTGAACATGAGCTTCATTTGTCAGTTTGACTATTTTATTATCGTTCGACTATTTTAATATTGGTGCTATTACTGCGCTAATATGGCGCAAATGCTGTGCGTTAACCGCACAAATTCGCTGCAAATAGCAGCAAATACAGCACAAATGCGCTGCTGGGCAAATTCAGTTCAAATGCAGTTCAAATGCAATGCAAATACAACGCTAATGCGGCACAAATGCTGCGCATAACTTTTAACACAAGATGCTATCTCAGGAATCGACATTATTTGCAAGTAGAATTGCTGTATATACATACATGGATGTTCACCATTAATTTCTACTATTTTTTAGCTGCTGGACGATAATCGAGAACTTTTTATTCCTGAGTTACAAGAAACGATTAAAGCACATTCGAAATTCATGCTTTTTGCAACGCAGAATCCACCAGGACAATATGGCGGACGGAAGGTAAGCGGTGTTCATCATGCCATACAGCGAAGATGGCAAATCATTTTACGTTTGAAATCTTTTCATTTGTGTTGCAGGTTTTGTCTCGAGCATTTCGTAACAGATTTGTCGAGCTTCATTTTGAAGAACTCCCGAGTAACGAACTTGAAACAATTTTACACAAAAGATGTCATCTTCCTTTGTCGTATTCTAAAACCTTAGTAAAAATCATGTTGGAGTTACAGGTCTGTTTTGAAGTACATTTGTGCCCGCCAATTTCATTGTAGGCATCGGTCAGCGGCACGGAGTGCCTGCTCATCTGCCGTTTTGCTTATATTTTCCATATTACAGGTTCGTCGACGTGGATCTAACGTGTTTTCGGGAAAACAAGGTTTTATTACGTTACGAGATTTGTTTCGTTGGGCAGAACGCTACAGTAAATCAGAAAACGACGAGAGCACATTCTTTGACTGGAACCAACAGCTTGCAGAAGATGGTGAGATTTGAAACAAATAATGTATAGGCGAATGAAATGTGTGTATGGAAATAAAATAAAACATATCATTTATGGTATATATACAACACCATCAACACACTTCGATTTATTGGACTATGTTCTTTTGGAAATCGTAAACATTGCTTTGCCGCATTAAAGCTCGACCTGCCTCCAACACGAATAACATTTTTTTCAACCATAACACAAACAGGTGGAGAATTTTTTCAAAACTTATATTCGGCATGTTTTACTTAAAAAATTTTTGGTGTTTGTTTTTGTATGATCTCTCTGCATTCATGTTTTTTTCTTCTTAATGGTAATACTTAATATTATAAAATCTTTCTAGGATATTTTCTTTTGGCCGGCAGATGTAGAAATCCCCGAGAAGCCGAAGTTGTCAAAGAAGTCATCGAAAAACACATGAAAAGAAAGATCGATGTTCATTCACTGTTTGGTGATCCATTCTCAACGAAGTTATCAAGTTTCTCAGACAAAGTCCTGCGTCAACTCGTTGGGCAATGTCCAAAGGAATTCAATCACGTCGTATTTACACAAAACATGCGGCGTCTAGCTGTTCTTGTTGCAAGAGCTTTAGAGTTTCATGAACCTGTTTTATTGGTCGGAGAAACCGGGTAGGATTTACGTTTTGAATTTTTTAGGCCTGTTTCAAACGTCGCGTTTTACGTGAGCTGAATGCATTAAAGACAAAAGAAAAGGAGATCAAATTCCTTATCATCTTTTGTAGTGTTAGATTGAATTAAACATTTGTTGATTATTTCTAAATGACTGGGCTTTACAATTGCAACATTTGACGTATTTGTTCATGGTAATGTTGTCCGCTTTGCGTGAAAATAAATTGTTCCTTTAATAATATAATTAACAAGTGTATGTGCATGTCTTAGCTGTCTTTGTAAAAGCTGTCTTCAAAACAAACTTTCATAATGGGTTGCATACAATACAATTAATGCATTCATATTGATATGAGCCATGTAAAACAAAAAGTCTGGTTTGTTTTCCGTGACAGTATTCGCCTGCAAGAAGCATAACAATGGACCTTTTTAATTTCTAGCATTTATACGATTGTACAAATAGTACAAGTCATCGTCACTAGAATAAGAAAGCTTTAAAGGTCGTATTTTATAAGAATTATCTTTGATAGTCGTCATTTTTCACGGGAAAATCTTACAACAGCGAACCTCTATTTTCATAACTTTCGTTTCAATGCTTAAGCATAGATGAAAAACGTTGTTGACGTCTTTGTAGTTGTGGAAAGACGACTATATGTCAAATTTTTGCCGAAATAAATGGGAAGAAGTTGCGTACTATCAATTGTCATATGCACACAGAAACGTCAGATTTTCTTGGTGGTCTACGACCTGCAAGAAATCATCAAAATGATGAAAAGGTAAATGTTGTAAATTTTGCTTCTTTGTTACGATTTGAAAAATACTTCCCTTCTCAATAGTGCTGCATTCTTCGCTTTTATCTCTGTGTTGTAGAACATTCCAAATAAAGTTTAGTTAGTGTTAACATTTTGCATGATTCTTTATCATTTCATAGGAGAAACATTTGAGGTTGTTTGAGTGGTGTGACGGGAGTTTGGTGAAATCAATGAAAGAAGGAAACATGTTTCTAGCTGATGAAATCTCTCTTGCTGATGACTCTGTGTTAGAAAGACTTAACAGTGTACTCGAACCCGAGAGAACTCTTATTTTGGCAGAGAAAGGAGGGAACGATGAGGAGGAGTCTGAACAAGATATCGACATTGTTCATGCTCAACCTGGCTTCGAGCTGTTAGCAACCATGAACCCAGGTGGAGATTACGGAAAGAAAGAGGTTGTACACAGTATTGAACATGCGTGTGTTCGATGAAACTATCATATTTCAACGAATATTTGATGTTTAGCTTTCGCCAGCATTGAGAAACAGATTTACGGAGATTTGGTGTCCCAGCAATGATGATCGTGAAGATTTGATTGCCATTGTCGAGCATAATGTTGCTTCGGGTATAACGCTTACAGTTCATGAAGATGGTAGGTCGTGTTTGGGATTTCGTGACAGGCCATTCCGAGTGCAGACTGCATCGTCTTGTATTTTGTTATAGAAGCCTAGACTTGCAAATGTTTTTCTTTTATAGGCTCAACTGGTTTTGGCAAAGCAATGGTCGAATTTGTCGAATGGTTTAAAGACAAGAACTTTGGTAAAAGGTATGTTCTGTGTTCCTTTTTCTTTTAAAAACGATTATGTATGTTTTCCTTGTTTGACCGCTATCAATAGGGACCTGACTCACGTCATATTCAGCCGGCATTTGTGATTGGCCAATTAAATGGCTAGTGGTTCTCAGTTCTCACTCTTTTTGACTGTGAAGATGACTACCGCTAAGGTTGTCGAAAAGTCAGTCAACAATAACAAAAACAGTCCTTCTCAGGACTATACCAACCTGGACGATCTACATTTACTAACATGTAATGGCGAGTGGTTCTCACACAACTTGATTGGCCAATGAAATGGCTAGTGGCTCTCACACAACTTTTGATTGGCCAATTAAATGGCTAGTGGTTCTCAGTTCTCACACTACTCTTAAAATACTTTCAGCGGTCCTTTCAGCGCGACTGTTTTATTCAAGGTCTTAGTTAATAAAGTGCGAAAATGTCTCTTAAGTCAACATGAATTTTTACAGTTTCAGAACCGTTGCATGTTCAGCCTTTTATTCGAGAAAAACTTTTCATAATCCTGTCTTTTATAAAATAAGTGCAGATCAGTCATTGCACGCGTTGTATTGTTGTTTTATAAATGCTGATATTACTTGCTTTTAAATTTAGGTGTATCATAACAGTCCGCGACTTCCTTACCTGGGTTCAGTTCATCAATATCTGTTGCGCAGAGACCGCTATTGAGCATCTCACAACATTCCATCCGGCGCAGGCCTATTTTCATGGTGCTTTTCTGGTTTTTCTTGACGCATTGGACTTTGGAGGGTTGGTCGATAGCCAGACAAAAAATACTGCTAGGGATATTTGCGTGCAGTTCCTAATGAATCAGTTGAAAGGGATCTCGGGAACGACCAACGTTTTCGATGAGCATCACACGTCAAATGCCGAACTCAAGCAGAAGATGTTCAATGAGGAAGTGTTTAATTTTGGTGCATTCGCCATTCTCAAAGGTGATTTATTGCATACTCGTTTCTTGAGCATTGCTTTTCCTCTCGTAAGATTAAGGTTAGAACCGCATATTTAACCAAAAGTTTGTGCGTGAAAGCAATTAGTGCAGTACATTGTAATTTAACAGTCTTGAGAAAACACATTATAAGCAAAACTAGCAAAAATTCTCTTTCGTTGAACTGTACAAGTTTACGGTTCCTTCCTCGTCATATTCATAATTGAGTAAGTGCATTTGTATTGTTCTTCCTTTGTAACAAAACTTCCCAAACCCAACCAACCAATGAAAGGCAACCATGTTTTTTTCTTTCAAAAAAATCGAAACCGAGGTATTTTTTCCACGATTGCCGTTATTAAGAGAGAAACACAATCTTTTCTCCGCGTTGTTTTAGTATTTAAATAATTTCCATTTATTTATAGTTCTTGCTCTGTTTTTTAAGGTCCAGAAGTGTCGTCGAATTTTTGCAACAACTACGCCCTGGATGCGCCCACGGTAGCATTGAACGCTCAAAGGGTGTTGCGGGCAATGCAGTTGAATCGTCCCATCTTACTGGAAGGATCACCGGGTGTTGGAAAGACAAGTTTGGTGTCTGCTATTGCTAAAGTTTCACATCATCGTCTTGTGAGGATAAACCTTTCGGAACAAACAGTGAGTAACACTTTGCTATTTGACATTGACATTGGCACATTGTGTAGAATGGCTCTCTGATAGACTTGCGAATTTACGTCGATTGTCAAACTTATGGGTATACAGAGAGTGCTTAAGTAATGCAGTCTGTCACAGTTTTTCTTTGAGTGCGTCGCCTTTGATGTCCTATTTTTGTCTAAATTAATATATTCTACAAAGACATTACGGGTTTTTTTAGGACATCAGTGACTTGTTCGGTGCCGATTTACCCGTGGAAGGAAGTGACGGTTGTCGGTTTTCATGGTGTGATGGTCCTTTGCTTCTTGCGTTAAAATCTGGAAGTTGGATTGTATTGGATGAGGTATGTGAACTCGACGAAATCTATAAGCATAAAATCAATGGGTTTCATGTTTCTTCGTTTATTGAAATATCATTTTGTCGTTGTTTATTAATGCATTCACTCTTTTTGATAGCTAAATCTGGCTTCTCAATCCGTTTTGGAAGGTCTAAACGCTTGCTTCGACCACAGAGGAGAGGTAATTATTATTTTGCTTTGTTTTCATTATCCTGCAGTTTTCTTGATTATCCCGAAATCATGAAATTTTTGTGTCTTTCATAGATTTTTATACCAGAACTTGGAAAGTCGTTTCAAGTGCAACACACGAGAACAAAATTCTTTGCCTGTCAAAATCCTTTAAATCAAGGCGGTGGAAGAAAAGGACTGCCAAAATCGTTCTTGAACAGATTTACTCGAGTGTGTAAAAGGATTTTGTTTTGCATGCCTTGATGACTTACATGCCATTTTGCCCATTACTGGGGAGGGGGGTGCATCAACTTTGGATTAGATTTTGATGGCCACTTGTTGCCATAACATGCAAGATTTTTTTGTTAAATTTTTTTTTTACTTTTTTCTTATAAACTTGAGATTTTTGTTAAGCGTGTTCCATCAAACACGAATATCAATTGCTCTTGCTTAATTGTTCGGTATGTTAGTATTTTATAAGGAAATTGGGTACCATCCGCCACCTTCTGTTACCAAAGCAGGGAGGGGTGTGCACCCTTCCCGAAATCTGTTCCTGTATTAATAACAATTTGAATGTTTTCCGACAAGATACTTTTTCAAATGTTAAATTTACTGTGACCTTTGATTCTTTGTGAAACTTTATTTTCGACAGGTGTACATTGAAGCATTAACTCGCACTGATCTGATGTTTATCACCGAATCATTGTATCCGAATATCGAACAAAATACATTAGAGAAAATGATCAATTTTAACGACAAGGTGGGCTGAAATCGTGACGATAGGCTTTTAATGTTTTGCAATCTTTGTTCATGATTACCTGGACATCAACGTATTTTAGGTTCATCATGAAATCGTTGTGAAAGGTTTATGTAGTAAACATGGTGGAAAATGGGAGTTTAATCTACGAGATCTTTTTAGGTGGTGTGATCTTATTGTCGAATATAAAGTAAGCGCCTGGAAATGGTGATTATATGATGTTCTTTTGTTCATTTTTGAACTTGTAGATCTGAAATGCTCTGTTCCACTTTTCTTTTGTTCATTTTTGAACGTGTAGATCTGAAATGCTCTGTTCCACTTTTCTTTTGTTCATTTTTGAACGTGTAGATCTGAAATGCTCTGTTCCACTTTTCTTTTGTTCATTTTTGAACGTGTAGATCTGAAATGCTCTGTTCCACTTTTCTTTTGTTCATTTTGAACGTGTAGATCTGAAATGCTCTGTTCCACTTTTCTTTTGTTCATTTTGAACGTGTAGATCTGAAATGCTCTGTTCCACTTTTCTTTTGTTCATTTTTGAACGTGTAGATCTGAAATGCTCTGTTCCACTTTTCTTTTGTTCAATATTGAACGTGTAGATCTGAAATGCTCTGTTCCACTTTTCTTTTGTTCATTTTTGAACGTGTAGATCTGAAATGCTCTGTTCCACTTTTCTTTTGCTCATTTTTGAACGTGTAGATCTGAAATGCTCTGTTCCACTTTAGAGCGCAACCTGTTGGAATCCTGAAGCATTTGTCCACTTGATTTTTGCTGGAAGAATGAGATCAGACGAATGCGAGGCTAAGGTATGCAGGACAGATGAAATGTTGTTTTTAGCAATAATTATTTTGCTTAGTTTATAATGAATTCTTTAGGTGTGGGAAGTGTGCGATGCCATATTTGGTTGGAGCTCGGCTAAGGATTCGGCCATTTTTTTTCATGCAACACCTTCAACTATTCAGGTATTTTATTTGTCATTTGATTGGCTGATGTTTCCACATTAAGTGTCACTTTTGTGTTTTGTCCAATTAGGTTGGCAGCTGTGTGTTTCCAAAAAGCAAATCTTTGATAGAGAATGCAGCACTTCACTGTGAACCTTTGTATGTTCTTCATCGTGCGTTAAAACCGTTGGAAAGTCTTCTCACTTGTCTGAAGATGAATTGGTTGACGATCTTGGTTTGTGCTTTTTTTTTTGTTTTGCCGCATAAATCAAAAGTTTAATGTTGGTAGAGCAATTGAACAATAGAAACTCGTAACCAGTGTTTCAGAGATGTAGTTAATGGGGAAATTGTCACATTATGTAAATTATGGCCAGTATTGCAATGAGAATTTCGCAATGGTAAGTCTTAACCTTATGTTATTTGATGCATCAGGTTGGCCCCAAATCGTCAGGCAAAACAGCTTTGGCAAAACTAGCCTCCCAGTTGACTGGTAACAAACTTGTTGTCATGGCAATGAACAGTTCTATTGACACCACTGAACTTTTAGGAGGCTACGAACAGGTTTGATCTTTTTTTTTCGCATTTTATATCCTCAAATTCACTTTAACTTTCTCTATGTTAACATGCTAGGCTGACTTGGAAAGGCAGCGGACAGACTTGTCTTTGAAAGTTAAGGAAGAAGTGTTTAGATTGTGTCGTAGCTTACTCCTTTTGAAGAGCTTTGATGAAACGAAGGCTGACTTGAAGAGAATTTCGAAGATGTTGTTTAACCTTCGTGATTCTGTTTTCAACAACAACAACAATGATGATGTGTTGGAGATGCAAGAGGATCAAAATATGTTGGATTATGTCGATCTTATGACTCAACTGATTGATGAAGCAAGCAATGTATGCAGGAAGTACGCCTCGATTGACATCGATTTTGGTGAGTTCTTTATTTATTCGTTAGTTTATTACGTCATTCATTCAGGCTTGCGTTGTTTCGCTTGAAAGTGTTTGAATTCAAAATTTTTTCATCAAATTTTTTTAAACTTGCGATCGCACTACTTTCTTTTCAATTGTATTTTAAACGCTTTGATTCTAACTAACTGAAGACGGATACATTTTCAGAACATCTTGAGAATGCTGCTACAAAGCTTCGTGCTCAATTGATTAAAAGCAAGGGAAACACGCATCTTAGTGGTCAATTTGAATGGGTCGATGGTCAGTTGGTGAAAGCATTGAAAGAAGGACATTGGCTTTTGATCGACAACGTAAACTTTTGTAGGTGAGTATGCTGTACATGTATGTATTATACGGTTTAGTTGGGGATCAAGTTGTATCAGAGTTGCTATCAACCATGCAGAGAAAAATAAGGTGTTTTTTATGTTGTTGTAGTGCATCTGTTTTGGATCGTTTAAATGGTCTTCTGGAACCGAATGGAGAATTGAGTATAAACGAACGTGGGATTGTGGACGATGAGATACCTGTTGTGAAACCACATCCAAACTTCCGGTGAGAAATTTTTTACGGCATTATTGTTTATGATCTTTGCTGTAATTTCATTATCGTAATTTGCTGCTACGTGTTTACAGGTTGATTTTCACTATGGATCCAAAACATGGAGAAATCTCTCGTGCGATGAGGAATAGAGGCGTTGAAATATTTATGCCTTCGAAGGTATACATGCTTTTCCCTTGTTGATATGAATGAAAATGTACTTATATGTGTACATGTATGTACTTATTTATGCATTCGAAGGTGTAGATGCTTTTCCCTTGTTGATTTGAATGAAAGTGTACTTATACGTACATGTATGTACTTACTTACACCATTTTTGAAAGTAATGATAGTGTTTAAATAGACTTAACGAATGCATAGGAAACTGACAGTAAAACTTTGCTTACAGAAAAGGGTAAATGAAGTGGTATATAAACAATTGCTCTCTACTCTTGTATAGTTCCTGCTTATTTCGCATTTGCTAAATACTTAAATAATGTGTTTCTTTCAGTTGTGTGATGCAAGTGATCTTTGCAGTATGTTGAATGCGTCAGGATGCAAACATCCTTCTACAATAGCCGTACTTTCAAGATTTTACTACGAACAGGAAGAAGGTATTTTAAGAAGTGCTTTCCCTTTAGCGAAAGTTGATATTTATTATTAACCATTTTACTCAATGGCTTGCTTTAGGCACGCTTGTCCAGACTATACACGCTGCATCTCTTGCCACCAAACTCTATCAAAGAGGACTGGAACGAGATAAATCAATTGTCATGTCGTTAATGCACGCTGTTGGTTACACTAATGTGGACCTTTCTTTGGTAAAATATTAATGAATACATTATCATACTTTAACATACATTTACTGTTTCAGTTTTACCCAGTGAAGTATAAAATACCTGGAACGCTATACAAAAGCCTAATAGTTTTTTGAAGCCAAATCTTACACCCAGACACCCGTGTGTACTCAATCAATTTTCACTCCGCGAGAGAATCTCGAAACACAATACACGCATGTCTGGGTGTAATCTCGCGTGTCTGGGTCTAAGATTTGGCTTCAATTATTTGCTTTAGGTAGCATTCCATATATTTTAGTTCAATGGTTTTACCTCACTGGTTTTTAATCTCTTCTTTATAACGACGTTCAACTTCATATGTTTGATTGTATTCAACTTCAGATGTTTTTTAGCTTAGTTCAAGAATTGGACTTTTTGAATTTTCTTGCAGCTGTCAAATGAAGAGATGATGTCTCCTTCAAAAGGTTTCATTTGTCTCGAGAGTCCTTCTGGAATCGATTTTCAGAAAAAATCTGTTCATTCTATGATCGTCTGGCATTTTAATGCATTGAAACGAATTTTGAATGATGCAAGAAATACTTATAAAGAAAATACTTTGGCCATTTCTCTCTTTCTGGAGTGGTGTTGTGTAGGAGACTGGAGAATGAGATTGCAATGGTTGAAATGTTCGTTACCTGGTTTGATGGAGGATAATGTGTCAACGACAGAAGTCCAGAAGGCAGAATATTTTCTTGAACGTTTATTTGGTAGCAATGCTTGTAAAGGACTGCTCGACTTTTTCACATTTATGGCTAGTGAATTTAAAGGTACGTTTTGCTTTTTATATTTTTGTTGTATTTGAAGTATAATGCTGTAATGTATATGAAGATGTTAAAGGTATGTAGTCGCTCTGTCGAACAACTTGCTAACAACTTCCTTAGAACTGACTCTGAAGATGACTACCGCTAAGGTTGTCGAAACGTCAGTTAACAACAACAAAAACAGTCCTTCTCAGCACTATACTAACCTGGACGATCTACATCTACAAACATGTAACAATACTCCCGGGTTCAAACGATTTACTTTATTAAGATCTTAAAGATTGTCATATTTACAAAAAATTGTTGTAGTTGTCCGACGTTTTAGTTTGCATTATCTATGCAAATTATTGTATATGTTGAATACTTTTCATGTTGAAAAAACCCTGCACCTGTTTATGTAGATATTTGTTTTGATGACTGCTATCAACCAATAAATCTCAGAGTAAATGGACCAATGTTTGAGCAGATTTCTCACAAGTTTTCGTCCGACCAGCAGGTCGTAACTCAGCTGTATAGTTACACAAACAGGTAAAAGTATATGTAATGGAAAGATTTCACGTATTTTAAGCTATATCATCATGTTTTCATTTGTAACTATTTGAACGTAATGAATGCTTTGTTTTATATCAATAGGGTGTTCTTGTTATGGACCCTTTTGTGGTTGGAGGCTAAAATAGATTCTTCAATTAAGAAATTACATCCGAGAAGTCCTTTGGCATTATCATTGGCATACACGAATAGTATGCATCAATATTTATTTCAAGCATGTTGAAACATCTCCTCATGTATTATCCTGTCTGAATTTAGATGAAATTAGTGTCGAGAATCTCCCTCATGAAGGTCTTCAACATATTTTCCCACTTATTCAATCATGCCAAGAATGTTTACGATGGCTTTTGGACAACTCGGATGTGGTGTTCGATGATAACTTTTCATACAAGGTATACAATGTGATTGAAGACACTAAGTCATAGTGATCGAAAAAATTTTTGAGTGTTTTTACTGTATGTCATCGAAGTTAAACTGCGTGAGTGAGGTACACTAAGTGATGTAGGTAAACATTGCGTGAGAAGTACATTGAGGTACATAGAGGTACACTATGGGACTGTTGAGGCTCTATTGATATTGCCAAAAATTTTGTTATTGTGTTTGAGAATATGAAATTTGAGAAGGATTCGAAGGATTTTAGCAAAACCTTGTCTTTGTTAGTGTTGTCTTTGAGGCACTGCTCTAGCTGCTAAAATATGAATAAATGTTCAGTAAAACTTTGATGTTGTGAATGGTGTTTGAATGTTGTGAATGATGCCTTGTGTCATTGGATGACATTTTCCTGATTCGTAATTTTCTCGTTTTCAGACATGGATTGCCTTGCGAAATTACCGAAAGTTTTTAGACGCGTGTACAGAATGTTTGACTTCAAACGAGAGTTGTCATTATTTATTTGACATGTACTGGCGATTTTTTAGCTGGGAAACTGTTGACTTCATCTCGAAAACTTTCGACGCTCATTCTAGTCAAATGTAAGTTGTCAATCCCTTCGAAAGTTGTTATAGTTGAGATTTCTAGTGTAGCCATCGTCGTTACTAAGAATTTACGTGTTTTTTAATTGTTATAATTCCTTTCAGTGTTGACTTGCAAAAGCTTTTGACTGTTAGAAAGTGTCTCGACGACATCTGTCATCCTTACAACGAACTTTCTTCGTGCCACTGGAGCTTAATGAAAAACTTTCACCGCCCAACCGCTTTTAACATGAAAGAATTATGTGATTTGTGGGTAAGTCGAGAGTAAGTTACTGTTCATTGAGACTATTCGAGAGTGATGTGGGGGCCTGGGTACGAGGCTGCTTGTTGTCGTGGAGGCCTTGGGACGTGGCTGCTATGTGGATGTTATGTATGAATTTCCTTCTATGTTTTAGGAAACTAAAAACTAAAATCGACAGCAAATACCTTAGTTGTGTAGAAATTATCGTTTGTTTTTATCAGGCAAAACTTACCTACTTATACCGTCGCTGTAACAATTGGATCATCAATCATCAAGCAGATGGAACATTTGGTGTTTGGATGAAGCAGTTCCGATTTTGGGGAATTTCTTTAACGGAACACTTGATGGCATTAATGGCACTTCGTCATGGACGAATTACGAGAGAGAATGCAGTAGATACGTTGTGTAAGTTAAATATTGAAGATTGGTGCACTTGAATGATTTCATTGTAAAAGCTCACTCACACTTGCTGAGTACAACATAGAAATCGCTCTCTCTAATCAATGACAAAGTTATTCGTTCATTTATGGTAAGATTTACATAGAATATATCAATTCAGCATTCATTTGAGAAGAAACACCTTCACTTCATAATGAAGTAATTTTGAATCCATTCTGTTGAGTGTGCGTGTGAGTGAACTTTAATATTACGTACGGAAGATTTAAAATGAATAACGAATTCCACTTTTTTGAAAAAAAAACATCTTTGCTTATGATAATAGCGACGGTTAAGAAATTTATCGAAGACGTCATTCGACATCTGTCCGAGAAAGAAAAAAAGAATCCTTCCTTTGCTGATCTACCATCACAGTTGGCTCAGATATCTATAGCTGACCATGAGAACAAGGACAGCGGAGTTTCTGTTGAATTCCTGACTTCGGAAATGATCGAGACTTACCGTGAACTTGTTTCTTATTACGCTTTTATGGAATGCGTGACTTTGTTAAAGCTGATGTATGTTCGTGAAGCGAGGTATGTATGCATTTTAAATTCACTTAATAATGTCAGAATATTAATTCAACCCTCCCCTCGTCTCCCCGCCTTTAATACACAAGACATCAGACAGCACCAAAGTTACAATGAGTTTATGCGTCAAATTTTCCTGCATTGCAGGACAGATAAGTCGAACTCAAAGATGGCGAGGATGTTAGATTGCTTGCAGCAGTTTTGTGTTGTCCATTGCTTAAAGATTCCTTTGCACTTGTCATTGGTACGATTAATTTTGAAAAATCCTGAGGTACGTGTAAGTTTTGTTTGATTCATTTAAAGGCATAATCAAACAAACGCTCGGGAAGCTTAATCAAACAGGTGAATAATCAAACAAATAATCAAACTGTGAATAATCAAACAAACGCTCGGGAAGCTTAACAATAAATTATAGTGGTTGTAGTATGGTGTTTAATAGAGAGAGGCGTTTAGATCATTTCTATAAATTATAGTGCGAAAAATAAAAAGTAAGACTAAGTAAACTAAAGTAAATGCTTTGAACCCGGGAGCATTGTTACATGTTTGTAAATGTAGATCGTCCAGGTTAGTATAGTTCTGAGAAGGACTGTTTTTGTTGTTGTTGTTGACTGACGTTTGGACAACCTTAGCGGTAGTCATCTTCAAAGTCAAATGTACTGAAGATGTACTGAAAATGTGCTGAAAATGTACTAAATATACTGTTTCTAAGTCCAATGGAGAACCCACTATTATATTATATTGATATTCATTGCAGTGTGATGTATATTAAAGGAAAGTATCTAATATAAGCTCACGCTTTGAGGTGGGCAGGAGGTTGCTAGTTACGCGCGACGTTTGTTTGATGAGAGTCATTCATTTTCAGTAGATATATGTAGTCGTGAAGTGGTATTTAAGTTCTATCATCTACTGTAGATCAAAAATATGCTCAGCATCTGTGATGAGGCAGAATTAGGATACGTTGGAGACAAGGTACGTGATAAAGACTTTGTTTAGTTTCTCATCGTAATATGTGAAACGTTCAACTGTGTTTTGTACTTTCACAGAATACTCTTCCTCTTCACTCCTCGTGTTTTACTAAAACGTTTCAATTCTTACGTTGCAACGCGAGGAGTGAATACTGTTTGATTGGTAATGAAAGCGGTTTCCCGAGTTTAATGAATGTGAAGAAGAAGTTTGATGAATATCGCTACTTTGTTTCATTTCTTTGGATTAATCAAAATTACTTTCCGCATATGAAGCTCGTGCATTGGTGAGAGAAAAAGTTATAAGTTTTTCGTTTTTCAATGTTAAGGTATTTTTTTAGTTGCTAATGTGCTTTTCTTCTTTTAGTCAAGCTGAATTGAAATCGATCTTTATTGCATTTGTTCGGCTGCTTCAATGTTTCAATGATCAAGGAGATTTTGCTTCTATATGCACTAAATTGCTTAATATATCATGCGCTGGAAGATTATCGAACGAAGATAAACAAATAATACAGGAATGCGTATCAAAGATCAAAGAAAACATTTCTCAGCTGGAAATGAAACTAGTTGCTCGAGGTATTCTTGAAAAATGTTTATCACTTCTTGGTATTGGCTTAATTCAAATGGCAGATTTTAAAAATTTCAATAAAGGTAAGTGAATTTAGTGCGAGTTTTCCCTTCATTTACCTAATTAGTTTTATAGCTTATCGCTATTCACTCGTTCTTTCAAATGAACAAATTATGGGAGCATTAAGATACTTTATCTTCGTGATTTTTTTAGAGTCGAACCGTACGTACATGAGACAATTTTCTGTGGGTCTTTGCTGGATTCAGCTGGGAATGCTTCAATCAACGTTGCTTCGTCCCGTTGGCGTATTGGATCCAGTTGAAGAGACAAATTTCAAGGTTGATAGTATGAATAAAGAGGTATGCTCGTCACTGCATTTGACTCTGTTTTACCAGAAGAAAAACGATTAGAATCAGTGAAGAATGTGGCGATATACTAAATTTACTTTCGTGTTGTTTTAGATTGAAGATATGAACACTGAATTGAAGATTCGAGCACGGAACGAGGAAATGCTGACAGGTGTCAACATCAGCAGAGAACGCGATGCAGAATCAACGCTTCAAGTTAATCCAAGTTTCGTAAAGAATCTAGTCGAATATCAAAAGTTTCTAAGATCTCAACTTTCCTCTCTGGGTGAAGAGGTGGCCTACAGACCTGTTCCATCTCAAGTGAGTTGCTACATCCATAGTAAACATTTGACCACAAGATGTACAGCTGATCTTTTTTTACGTTTTTTTTAGTTTCGAAAGATAACTGGAATTCTCGAACATTTTTCAAACAATGTGGCAAACTACATGGAAGCATTGACGACACTTCACGCGATGTCGTCGTTCGTTTTGATTGGAGAAAATATAGAGAAGTCAGTTGATCTTAGTCGTGGTATTTCCTACTTGAAGACATGGAAGAAAACAATTCAAACATTTACAGAACAACTTGTAGAGTTCGTAGCTTATCAGGATATCTTGGGTCCTTATATTTGTGGCTTGAATCAGGTATGTACTCATGTCGGCAAAATAACAATTTTTGGCTTGAAAATTCTCGCAAAATCAGTAGAGTTGAGTTACTCCATTTTTATATGTTGTATTATACTACAAGAATGTTACAAAGACTAGATTGTTTCATTTATTGTGTCATCTTGATACACAAGGATTAATATGTTTTTGACATATTTCGTTATATTCTTCTCAGATTCTTAAAGGAACAGACATTGTTTTGTCGACTGTACAAAATGCTGTAAAATGGGCTAAATACGGAAAGAGCTTTAAAGATTTCAAGGTAATAATCATGTCGTCACATTTTTGTCAAACGCCGAAGCATTCCTAATTTGAATCTTAACTCGTATCGAAACAATTTTATTTTTACAGATTTGCTTTCCTAACGAAATGCTTTCACTTGTGCTTCCATTCTCGTTTTCGCATCGTTCAACTTCATCGACGGTCTCTGCCTTGTTGAGTGAGAAAGTATCTCTTGGCATAGAAGGTTTAAAAGCTCAGATTTTCATTATTTTAATTGTCTGTAATAATTGCTTTGCTTACTTTCAAATGTTTTAATCTTTGTTTAGCTCTGTTCAAAAATTATTCGTCTCCTTTTGTCAATAACGAAGAATATTGTGAAATGTTTAAGTGCAGGTAATTTTCTTTTAAATCTGAACTTTGTTTACTTATAAAAGGAACTTACCTTCATCTTTTATGTAATACTTATTCGAATATTTATGTCGTGTGATTACATTTCCTGTTTTTGTAGAATTTGGTTGCTCGTCCTGCGTATATTAAGACGAAAAGTCTATTTACAAGGTTACACGACAACGGATGACATTCAATTTCTGAACATCATTGTAAAATATTACCAAACTTTATGGTTGAAACGCGAGGAAGAAAGAAGACTTGAAGAAGTCGAAAATGAAAGCTTGTACAAGTTTAAAACGCAAACGTATTGTGAGGACGAGTCGTCCGAAGTTGAGCTAAATCAGAAAGATATCGAAGAAATATTTACAAGATTTGATGATGACTTCAAAGAACTTGAGTCAGCAGAAACACAAGAACTGTCACATGGCAGCGCGAAGAATACAAACGAGAAGAAGAGCGATATTGGTGTTTTAGACCTAACACAGTTCTGTAATATGCATCAGTTCATATTATGTTGTTCTCCCAATGTATGCGATGTGTTTTCAACCTTCAATAACAAAGATTATCTGAAGGTGGATGAAGAAAGAGATGCGTTTGAAATCGTGTTTCACCGTTATAACATTTCTTCTGAAGTGGTCGCACTTTCTGATCTATCCGGTTTGTACAAGAATGACATTTCCTTGTTTTGTACGGTTTATACTTTAGCCTGGAGAAGTGACTGTCTTCAAAGGGACGAATACATTGAATTTAGCAAAGTTTTTGTATTTTACAGATGGTGATTTACGGGACGATAGTTCTCCCAGTCATCTCATTATGAGCTCGATGTTGATGAGATATTTGTCTAGCCATGAAGAAGGAGCTGAAATTAAGGTGATTAGTGCAAGACCCATTTTCTATGTTTTATTAGCTTGAGTTGTCAATCACGTTTGTTTCTGTTATTTTTCTACTTTAAATTATAGCATCATTTCATGAGTTCTTTGTTCGAGAAAAGGTAAGGCGTTGCGCGTATCACATAGCATGCTTAATATTTGTCTTTTGTGGTTGAGAGTTTACATTTTTACAGAGGTGAAGAATACGATATTTACCACGACAGCAATTTAAAGGAAACTGTAAAAGTTGTACCGATACTTCTACGCTTTAAGACGAGATTAGAACAACTGCTTGTAGAATGGCCGGAGCATCCAACGCTCGCTCAGGTAAAGAAGAGACTCGAGATCGAAGCAAATCCTGTGCAATATTATATTGGTTTTCCAACTTTATCGATTCTTATTTTACAGTTGTGTCAAACCATCGAGCGTATTCTTTCATTTTCTGTAACAAGTCCTGTAATGAAAATTCTTAATGGTTTAGAAATCTTGTTAAAGTATTCACAGGTAAAGAAAACACTGTGAATTGTGGGTATGACTTATCATCTATTGTACTCTAATGTCTCAGTACTCTGTAGTCGAGTTACGTCATTCTATTACATGATAAAATATCCCTGGTGTACTTGTATGTACTTTGTTGTCATGTAAGGTCATGTATATAATGTTCCCGATGTATCCAAATGCTTGAACAATCGTTATGATTTCAGGAGTGGGAATGTAATGCCAGTCGCCATGTTTCCATAAGGATCAATCTGAATGAAGTCACCCAAATGATTATCCAATGGAGAAAGTTAGAGTTAAGGTAAAGTTAGATAAGTTCAAAAAATTTCTGAAGAAGCCTGCTAAATGGAGATGGTAATTTGTTTCAAGGTGCTGGTCTTCTTTGTTGCGAGTTTGTGAAGTGAACGTGAGTGATAGAGCCAATCATTGCTGGTTTCATCTTCATCACGTGATCCAGGAATTTTCCCGCTCTAATGAACAAGCAGATTGCACGGAATTCATCAATATCTTACAGCAGTTTATTGAGAAATCGTCCATAGGAGAATTCTGTCAGAGGTTAAACATGCTACGGGCCTTTCATTCTCAGAAAATCTTGGACAAGGAAGATAATTCAGGTTTACACACTTAACGGGTTTTGTCGCTTTGAATATGGTGACATCTGGAGTTTTTTACACACTTAACGGGTTTTGTCGCTTTGAATATGGTGACATCTGGAGTTTTTTCTTAATGTTTTTTTTCCTAGATATCGTGGTGATTATACTGTGGAACGTATATTGTTACTACAAACAATTTCAGTCGCAAGTGAATGATTTTATTCAGAAAGCAAAGACTCCGATCGAGAAAGAGTTAAAGGTTGTGTATAATTTATTGATATTTTTGCCTCCTTTGTATTGTTAGCAAAATGTGAACGTACAGTTCTTGAGTTACTTCATAATCATGAATTCTTGATAGGATTTCATCAAGATTATCAAGTGGAAAGACATCAATTATTGGGCCATGAAGGAAACAGCGTCAAAATCTCATTATACTTTGCTGAAATTCATGAAAAAATACAGAGTAAGTTCTTTTCAAGTTCTTAGAAATGATTCGTGTAGAATATGCACAATATTTTATTGCTCTCAATTTCATGCAAGGCTTTCTCCGTGTTCTGCAAGTATGATTGTATGACAGCTTTTTTTAGATAATATAGTCATGTTTAGTGGAAAGTTGTCTGGCAACTTTGCAATATATTTATGTTTAGTGGAAAGTTGTCTGGCAATTTTGCAATATAGTTATGTTTTGTGGAAAGTTCTCTGGCAATTTTGCAATATAGTTATGTTTAGTGTAAAGTTGTCTGGCAATTTTGCAATATAGTTATGTTTAGTGGAAAGTTGTCTGGCAACTTTGCAATATAGTTATGTTTAGTGGAAAGTTGTCTGGCAACTTTGCAATATAGTTATGTTTAGTGTAAAGTTGTCTGGCAATTTTGCAATATAGTTATGTTTAGTGGAAAGTTGTCTGGCAACTTTGCAATATAGTTATGTTTAGTGGAAAGTTGTCTGGCAACTTTGCAATATAGTTATGTTTAGTGGAAAGTTGTCAGCAACTTTGCAATATAGTTATGTTTAGTGGAAAGTTGTCTGGCAACTTTGCAATATAGTTATGTTTAGTGGAAAGTTGTCTGGCAACTTTGCAATATAGTTATGTTTAGTGGAAAGTTCTCTGGCAATTTTTCAATATAGTTATGTTTAGTGGAAAGTTGTCTGGCAACTTTGCAATATAGTTATGTTTAGTGGAAAGTTGTTTGGCAATTTTGCAATATAGTCATGTTTAGTGGAAAGTAGTCTGGCAACTTTGCAATATAGTTATGTTTAGTGGAAAGTTCTCTGGCAATTTTTCAATATAGTTATGTTTAGTGGAAAGTTGTCTGGCAACTTTACAATATAGTTATGTTTAGTGGAAAGTTGTTTGGCAATTTTGCAATATAGTCATGTTTAGTGGAAAGTAGTCTGGCAACTTTGCAATATAGTTATGTTTAGTGGAAAGTTGTCTGGAAACTTTGCAATATAGTTATGTGCCGAGCGATGAATATGAGAATAATACTTCTATCTCAACTTTTTCGGGATAATTTCGATGTATCTGAAACTTTGTGCTTGGTCTGTGTTGCAGGCCTCATTATCCGTAGGAATCGATGCAATTCTAAACTCTACTGGTAAAGTGGTCGCCTTAGAAAAGGAAAATCAAACGAACGATAACGAAATGTTTAAATTGGCAGTTGATGATTTCCTGTCGCCTAAAGAATTCAAGGTTTTTTATCAAGATAAAAATTTTGTTTAACAAACTGATTCCACTCTCTCTCTATGAGTTTGCTATCCATATAACGTGCGAATTTTTGCTTTTCACATATTCGTCTGCGTCATTTCAGTCATTTCTATCGAGGTTTTTAATCGTCCGTATTGGACTTCCCCCAGTTTGATTGTGTGACAAAAACGGCTGAAATGACACGAATGATTCTGCGAAAAGCAGTCTTTGTAGTGCTCTATCAAACGATAAGTTTGACTCGTTTGTTTATGTTGTAAATCGTATGGTTGTGATGATATTTTTAGATGCCGAATCTTGAGAATGAAGAAAGTGAATCTCAACTATCATCAAAATTGTTTACCAAAATGCGAAAGTTAACGCAACGCAAGCTGAACACTTCAAGATACGAGAGATCATCTTTTTCTGTGGATAAATTAGCCGGTATTTGTCTTTTCTACAAGTGCAGCATCATTTTGCTTGTATCTGACGAGTACATTTATATCTTAAGGTGAGATAGTGAGCAAGGCACTAAGTCTGCAACAATGGGAAATTGGAAAAAAGGTTTGTGACTTATTTCATGTAACTTGCAGTGCACAAGCTTCGATTTAGTAACTTGTGCACCATATTGTAGACTGGTGAAGAACGCACTCGGTTTATCAAACACGTTCACGTAATAAAAAAGAGATCTTTAGCTTACTTGTGCACCATATTGTAGACTGGTGAAGAACGCACTCGGTTTATCAAACACGTTCACGTTATGAAAAAGAGATCTTTAGCTGACTTGTTCAAGGAATTAAAAAAGATAGGTGATGAACGTTTCGTTGACGAAAATAATGCAAAATAAACTATGTTTCGTCTCCAACGTTTGACAACTTCAAATTTTATCCAGGTTTGTCGTACCGTAAAGGCATAAACATTTGCCAGCAAAACTCTTTGAAAAATCCTATGTTGGTCGATACCTCTGACCTTTCAAAACGACTGAAAAACATGGACAATATCATGGAAGACAAGTAAATAGCTTTGAAAAATGTTAATTTGTTGTGGGGAAAGTATTCACTCGCTTATTTTCTTTTTCTCTTCAGAAAATATGGATGTTTTGCATCATTGTGGGAAAGTTCGATGGAATATTATCAAAAATGTGTTTACCGCAACACTGCCGTGAACAACCTTCTTTCATCACCGTCAAAGGTAAATGGATTTGTCGTTAATAAGATTGCTTAACTTTATAAAGTTTGAACCAAAAAGTATTGTTACACGTTTGTAGAAGTAGATCGTCCAGGTTTGTTCAGTCCTAAGAAGTTTGTGTTAAAGTTGACTGACGTTTCGACAACCTTAGCGGTAGTCATCTTCAGAGTCAAGTAAGAAGTAAACAACCAGACATAAGAACCAGATAACAAATACGGCAAACCTGACGTTTACTCCTCACTTGACTCTGAAGATGACTACCGCTAAGGTTGTCGAATTGTCAGTCAACTTTAACACCAACAGTTCTTCTCTAGACTTTACTAACCTGGACGATCTACATCTACAAATATGCCTAGCTTAACTTTCCTATCATGACGACGGCTCATTTTTCCTCTGGTTGATAGTAACAGTCATTTTGTTTTTTTATTAATTTTATTTTTGACCACTGAACGTTGCTTCGTGTTGAGTTTCTTTAATCAGTAGTCTTCGGTTGTCTTTGTTTCGATAGTTTCTGTCTTGTAGGATTTAACGATGGGCGATGTTGACCGTATTAAAGGTATTGCTGAACATTTACGACAAATCACTCAAAGGCAAAGAGAAATAATATCAAGTGTTGGCAAGATGTTTTCTAATTTGCGGTATGAATGAACAATCGATACTTTGTCTTGCATTGCCACTTGTACCCCTTCATCATTACTTGTACCCCTTCATCATTACTTGTAGTCCTTCATCATTACTTGTACCTCTTCATTATTACTTGTAGTCCTTCATCATTTCCTGTAATCCTTCATCATTACTTGTACCCCTACATCATTATTTGTAGTCCTTCATCATTACTTGTACTCCTTCATCATTACTTGTAGTCCTTTATCATTACTTGTAGTCTTGTATCATTAATTGTAGTCCTTTATCATCAATTGTAGTCCTATGGTACGTTGTACATTTTGTTTAGCATGACAGGAAAACAACTGGAGAAGCTAGCACTAGAACCATCGTGTCGACTACCTCATCAAATCAAAGTTTCACAATGGACAGTTAGTAGAAATTTAATTCAATGCTTCTTTCTTTGAACTTGAATCGAAATCTTCCCTTACCGGTGATCTTTCTTCATTATTTGCAGCGAAAACTTGATGATCTCCTGAATAGATGCTTGGAGACCTCTGATGAAATTCGGATTTTCACAGAAGCTTGTCCTGATGTCAAAATCGATTCTAGCATGAGTCCGGATTTTCACAGCTTATCGAATCTTGCTAAATGTTCTAAAGACGATGATGTTTACGTTTGCCTAAAGAATGCAGTTGAGGTAAATTACAATATACTTCTCTGCCTTGTTCTCAAAACAGAAGTTGAAAGAGTATAAATGTCTTCATTGCTCTTCCAAGTTTTGGATTTAACAAACCTTTTTCTTGCTCATCTCATCTAATCAATATTTTCTCGCTCGTGTTGTCCAATCAATATTTTGACTGTCCTATCATATTGTAGACTTTTCTTGTCGAAATATCAAAGATCAAATCAAATCTCTTGAAGCAAGCTTTAGTTCTAAACCAAGAACCAGCTAGGGATGATGGCGTTTTTATCGCCTCTCGGTACGATGAAATGTCTTTTGATTTGCTCGTCACTATAATTTTTCTTCTCAACAATTCCATGCATTGTCATTCAACGCAGGGATGAATATGAAATGTTAAAGACGTCGTTTGAGAATGTCAAAAAATGTAATGAATATTTGGACGAGTTTTTAAAATATGATTCAAGGTTTGTTTGAAGACCATGAAAACAACTTTTTACAAGTGTTCTTCCCTTTGCTTACCTTTTGTCTACGTTTTCAACTTCATTGTAGTCCTGTTGGTTTGGGAAAACGTGTTCACGATTTAAGAAAAGAAATTTCCGTGACGTACACAACGTTTACAAAATGGTGTCAAATTGAGTCCAGAGACAACCAACGTAGTCATAATGAAGGTAAATGGCCTTGAGTATGTGGTACTTGTTCTTGTATTCATAATATTAATCCTAACACGGTTTTATATGCACGAGATTTGAACTCGCACCGAGGGATACTAGTCCGCCGGTCTATATGTTGAGCTCCCAAGCCCACAGGGATTGGAGACGAGTCAAATCTCTTTTAAACTGCGTATGGACGAGATATTCTCGCCACTATAACAGTTTACTGGATGGCACCGTGTTTCGACTTTATTCCAAAGTGTTCTCATATTTTTTTATTTATTTTTTGTACTCCTTCATCCATTACTTGTACTTGTTCTCGTATTGTTATTTTTTATTTTTTTCTAGTTCTCGTCTTTTTTTATTTTTCTCGTATTTTTATTCATTATTTACCAAGTTTTTTCTTTCCCTTACATACGTAGAGTCATCAGCACACTATCTCGAAAGAGTTTCGCAGATACGGAATCGAATTCTTGTGACCTTTCAGAAATGGTATAAGATAAGGGATTCTGAGAAAGATTTTGAAACATTTGACGATGAGGGTGAGCTTTTAATATTTTCTGCTCAAAAGCTAATAGGTTTTTGAAATCCCACAAAATAAGTTATAGACGATCGCGTCTTACAACTTGTATAAACCGAACTATGCTGATGCACTTCTATTACTTTAGCAGACTTCACTATTGAAAAGTACTTTGTTGGAAAAATGGAAGATCTTTTTGAGGATATATCATGTCTTTCGATCAAAGAAATAACGAATGACATCAATTCGTATGTGGAATTCTTTACCAAAGCAAGTGATGAAACGGATGATTGTCCTTCATTGAAACAGTTAATTTGCAAGATTATGATAAGTATTCTCCCACATTTTTCCCAATACGTTCTTCTTGTGGAATATCATTTTCACCAATTGTTGATATGCCATCGAGTTTCGTGTAAACTACAGTCGATTCTGCTTGCCGTCTTTGTGGAATTATTGACGAAAGGGTTCTGTCTGCCGCCCGACCTGGATGATGGAGAAGGCGAGGGAGCAACCTCTTTTGAAGATGCCGAAAATTGTGGCGTGGGGGAAGGTGAAGGCATGAAAGATGTCAGTGATCAGATCGAGAACGAGGAACAGGTAAGGGGGAGGTGTATATTTTTGTAATTTTACGAGGAATATTCATTTCAATGGAGGAACTGTAACTTTTCTTTCGAAATATGATGTAGAAATGATTTGTTCTATGGCAGACACCGGAGCCCATATTTTAAAAGACTAAAAATATCTTAAAAATCACAAATCACATGAATATAATCTAACTAATATGTTAATTAAGGACTATTTGATAGACATCTTCTCTGTCCACGTCCTAGCGTACGCTTTAGATCTTCATCACTTTCTTGTTGTAAGGGTACGGTGTTCTGGCGAATCCTTTCCCTTTGGGTCAAGCCACCCACTCACCCCCCACCGTTATACTTCATTAAGTGTCTGCCACTGGATCAGTTTCAAAAGGAAGATGCAGTGAAAACCTTCCTTTCAAGCTCGGTTGTTTGAAATCTTTTTCTTTTAATTTTTCGTTGTAGTTACACGGTTCTGCACAGCAAGATAGCGATGAAAAGGAAAACGAAAGTGGTGAACAAATAGCGGATGAAGAAAACGGTATTGAGATGAGTGAAGATTTCGATGGTGAAACACACGATGTCGATAATGATTCCGGAGACGAGAGTGGCGAATCTGAAGACAAGGATCTTGATGAACAGATGGGGGATATTGATGGTGCTGATGAAACACTTGACGAGAAATTGTGGGCAGACTCTGATAATGAAGATAACGAAGAAAATGTTAGTTTTATCCATTTCTTCGATATGAACAGCATACATGGACTTTTTTTTAAGTTTTGCTTCAAATCATCAAGTTGTTTTTTAAAAAATTAGAGATGTGTGAGCGATAGTTTCTAACAAACAACTATCTTCCATTATGTAGAATTGAACTGCACGAATGATTAAGATGCATAATGTTATTAAAGGAACAAATGAAATGATGTGGAAAGCGGATGCAAACTCTGTGTTTTCTTAAATTTAGTCTGTGCATCTGTGTTTTCATGATGGTATCGTATTTTTTGATAGAATGGTGACGAGAAGGCAGAAAGGGGCGCAGGGACTGATGGGATTGAAGAAAGTGAATTAGTGGCAAAAGAGGCGAATCAAGGTTTGGTGAAACGGCATGCATACATACGTCTTTATACAGTTTTTTCTCTTGTTTAACTTTGGCATTACACGCGTTAACCGTATTTTGTTCAATTCCAGGTTCTAGCCAGGAAAATCGAAACAAACTGAATGAGAAAAAAGTTGAAGAAGATAAAATAAACGAGTTAGCACATGACGAAGATGATCAAGGAAATCTTGAGGAGAATTTCCGTGAAGATGCAAGCCAACAACAACCGGAAGAAATTGAAACTAGCGATATGGCGCTTCCTGATGATTTGCAGTTGGATGACCTAGAGGATGATGGGAATGATATTGATGATTCAAAAGAGGACATGGCCACTGAAGAGTCAGCAATGGAAAATGACAATGACGAGATTAATGATGAAAATGAAAAAGATGATGGTAGGAATATTAAGTTTTTATTTCCCATTCAATTTTCGTCTTCTCGTCACTTCTTTTACAAAAATTGTAGTAGATATAAAAAAAGTGGATAATCAATAAGAGTTAGATAACGTGATAGTTGGCATTGAAAGTGTAATGTTACTCGAGTTGCGAAATTTTTTAGGTAGCAACTAGCCATCGTTGCAGTAAAATATTGATTTGGTATCACAGGCTAAAGGAATAATTTTTAATTGTGACATTCTGCGACATAGTTTTTTAGATTGTTACAAGAATTTGTGCATTTTCTATGGAACTGATTTTCGACCAAGACTTTTAATTCAGATATTTAAGGAATTTTTTTCACAGCTGCAGTCTTTATTACACATTTGTATATAACTCTTAAGATAATGTTTCTTATAATTGTTCTTGGGATGGCGAACAAGGAGATCATTTGGAGTAAATATTTTGATGTTTGCTCAGGAATTGAAGAAATGGCGGATGTGAAAGATCTTGAGCAAGTCAGTGATAATGAAGACGGCGACATGTCGAAGAAAGAGGAACAGATGCAAGATGAAATCGATAAGAATGATGATATTGACAAGGTAAACTTGATTTTGCACGGGATAGCTTTTGAATTTTAAAATCTATCTATTGCTGTTCAATTCTTTAGAACGAAAACGAGGATCATCTTGAAGAGGAGTGGAAAACAGACTCGGAAACCAAGGTACTGTAGAGTGCGCCATTAAATTTGCAAATTGATGCCCTGAGAGTTTGCTTTTCTTCAAATATTTGAAGGCTGAAAATGTGGAATCAGTAGAGGATCAGGACAAGCCTGACGGATCATCGGGTTCTTGTACGGGGAAAGAAAGAAATGAGCCAGTAGACAATGATGTCAGCTTGGCTGACGGTGATAGCGAGGGGACTGGTAATAGCATAACGCATAAGAGTGGAATGGATTTTGCTGATAGCGTAACTACGAACAATACAACACAAACAATCAGCAACGATACGGTACATAGATATTTTATATGCTTCATTATGACATTTTGAAGTATAACAAGTACCACTATAGATTATCTTCTTTTTACACTAACTAAACTGATTTGTGTTAATCCTAGAGTTTCTATCGCAAGCAAATAAATAAATCCAGAGCCGATCGCAGTTTGGGATCATCCTATGAAGCAGTTTACAAAAAACCCAAAGTTCTCGATTCGTCTAACGAAAGCTCGATTGAAGAGAAGGTTTTTACTATTTTTCATACACCCTATCATATATTTACCGCGATGTTCAACTTTCATGATAGTTTTACATGGTTTTTCTTTTTATTTCTAGCAAAACGATTCCTCGTCGGCGGAGCAGTTTGAACATTTAAGAAACAACGAGGAATCTCACGACTTACAAGTTTATGATGCAGCAACGTCTGAACAACTGGATGAACAAGAAAGTGTCAGCTACCCCAATGAGAACGAAAAGGGAGACGAGGCCGAGAATATGCAAGAAGACTGGGAACTACCTCCTGAAAATGAAGATGATTCTGGAAAACAGGTATGACGTCAATGAAATTTGAGAAGTCTGTCGGTGTTCATGTATTTGCATTTCAGTCGGTGCCATGAAATCTGTTCTTGATAAAGTTTTAAAAAATACAAAAAAAATGCGAACTGAGCCATGATTTTTTTCATACGTGTATAAATAGCGATAGTGTAGTATGTCCAAAGGAATCAAATAATATCAATATGAATACTGTTGATTATCATTAAGAATGGAAAGTATGAACACGAAGGAACATCGTTGCAATCTAAGATGTCTCGAGATGACAAAGAAAAGCAAGGAAAAGATGTCGAAATGAATGAAGAATATGTACATGAAGTATCAAGAAAAGAATGGACAAGTTATGAAAGTTCTGTCTTCATTGGTAGCAATCTTACTTTGAATGATGACCCGGTAGGCGAAATCAAAGTTTGCTAACTACAAAACATGATCATGTCGTCAGTTGTAGTGTTGTGCATTTGGTTAAAGTTTTACGGTATAATTGCATTCTTAACCTGTGTCAATCAACTTAAAGGTTGAACCATTGAATCCAGAGGAATGCCGCAAAGAACTGCAAGAATTATTGTGTCGATGGCGGGAACTTAAAGAAGGAAGCAAACAAGAACAAGCTATGGCGCTCGAAACTTGGCATAAGTACGAGAGCCTTACTTCCACGCATGCTCAGCAGCTCTGTGAACAACTAAGAATAGTTTTAGAGCCGTCAATTGCGAACAAACTGAGGTATTGTGCTGGGTTTTTTGTGGGTTTTTTTTTAGCGTAATGTTGACGTGAAAGAAACAGTATTTGAGGTCATTCGTGAAGCTATACCGTAAATTTTTAAAAAATAGTTAAAGCTCCTAGCTAACTTATGAAAAGATTTTACATCGAACAGATGATTATTTTTGTTTGCTGTTTTTCTGTAATGTGGATTTTCCTCTTACATATCAGAGGTGATTATCGTACGGGCAAAAGACTGAACATGCGCAAAGTAATCCCTTATATTGCAAGTCAGTATCGCAAGGATAAGATATGGTTGAGACGGACAAAGAAGGGTAAAAGAGAATATCAAATCTTATTGGCCATTGATGATTCTTCCAGTATGTGCGACAATCAATCAAAGCAGGTATAAATAATCGTATTTTGTGTAGGTTGCATTGTCTGTTCTGTCGTTTCCATATTGTTCCAGTTCTCACAGCTCAATCATCCTCATGTATACACTTTGTTTTTTTCTTATTTGCAGCTTGCATTCGAATCACTTGCAACCATTACAAACGCTCTCACTAGATTAGAAGCGGGTGAAATAGCAATATGCAGGTCAGACAAGAATCGTGACTCTGTATCGTCTTCCGTTGAGGTTACACGAGATTTAATTGACTGTTTGCATTTATAGTTTTGGCGAAACAGTGAATCTTCTTCATCCATTTCACGAAGTATTCAGCGATCAGTCAGGTGCAAACATCTTGCGTCAATTGCGTTTCGAGCAAAAGAAAACAAGAATAGCTCAAGTACGTGTTGTATAAATATTTTCATGTTTCAAACACAAAATGTTCAGTTTTCATTCACAATTGTTGTTCCGCAGTTGCTTGTGTCATGTACCAATATAATGACGTCGGCAAGATTCAACGCAAACACCAAGAATCCTGTTTCACAACTTCTGCTTGTTGTGTCCGATGGTCGAGGAATATTTTTGGAAGGTGTTGAGGTAGATTTCTTTACCGATCGTTATTTTTAGCAAATAAATATATCACAGTTGCTTTGATTAAACTCATAAATTGAAGCAACAATTTAAACCAGTATATTTCAAATCAATCCGTTTATCTTCAAGATATGTTACTAGCTAGAAATGTTTAACTACAAATAGCATGTGATTGCAGTTATTCGCTTTCTCTGACAGTCAATCTTTTCTCTTTTCTTTTAAGACTGTTCAAAGGTCAGTTAGACAAGCCAGGGATTCTGGAATGTTTATAGTGTTTGTCGTACTCGATAATGCGACCACAAATAAAGACTCCATTCTCGATATAAAGGTGCCAATCTTTCGACAAGGTCAACTACCCGAAATAAAATCCTACATCGAACAATTCCCCTTTCCATTCTATATCGTACTACGAGATATAAGCTCTTTACCAGAAACTTTGAGCGACTCTTTGAAGCAATGGTTCGAATTGGTTGTAAATATGTAACAGACATCGCCAAGGACTGTGTCAAAATGTGTATTCTGCGCATGGCTCTTAATGAAAAATTAACAAATTTAATTATTATCCATCTATGTTCCTTATTGTTCATCTGATATGTTTACGTCACGGCCGACATGTTTGTTGGTGGTAAGATTCAATGCTTGAAATGAAGACGTGAGATGTTCATAAGTTATGATTTATATGGATTTGCCAACATTAATCAGTGGAAATGCAATACATGTATTTAAAAACAAAAAATAAGGGGACTACTGCAGTGTAGCAGACACCTTAGATGCTACCCCAAACATAACCGAAAACAAGCCCGCCCTCTGTATATAAGCGCTTCGGTGTCTGCTAAACTGAAGTCTGGCCAAAATAAGACTGCTTTCACAAAGACTACAATTCACGCATTTTCCAACATTTTCACACAAAACTATAGTTCATGCATTTTCACGCATTTTCACACAAAGACTATAATTCACGCATTTTTACACATTTTCACCCAAAAACTGCAATTCATGCTTTTTCACACTAAGACTATAATAAACATATTTTCACACATTTTATCACAAACACTATAATTCACGTATTTTCACACAAAGTCTATAATTCACTTATTTTCACACATTTTCACATAAAGTCACATGTAAAGGGAGCTCCGACAGTCGGATCCGTTAATCTAAGAAATCAGATGGAAATAGAACTTGCTCTATTTCCATACGATTGCAACACGTATGTTGCATGGTTTATGTGCAACACGTATGTTGCATGGTTTATGTGCAACACGTATGTTGCATGGTTTATGTGCAACACGTATGTTGCATGGTTTATGTGCAACACGTATGTTGCATGGTTTATGTGCAACACGTATGTTGTATGGTTTATGTGCAACACGTATGTTGCATGGTTTATGTGCAACACGTATGTTGTATGGTCGTAAGATACGCGAGATACTCTCAGACGTACCTTTGATGTAAGGTATCGTTGCTTTTGTCGTTGAGTTGTTCGTTTCGTTGGGTTCATTGTGTTTATAAGTGCTGCGTTTGATGAAGTCAGATTTATAGTTGTTTTTGTCACAAACGTTTACGTCTGTGGTGTTTGTAATGAGGGTTTTTATACAAGTAAGTTCAAGATCAAGTGGAATACTGGTCAACAGTGATTTCACGTCAAAAGACACTAGTACTTAGTTGTCGGGTATTTTTACAGTATTCAGTTTTTTAACAAATGGCTGTTCTCACTGCTATAAATATGTAAACGAATATAAATATCAACACAATTATCGGGCCGTCTGAACAAGCAACCAAAAATCGGAACCGAAGCCATCGGGTCCGACAAATCGGATCGTATGAACGGGCTTTAATACTTCCAGTTCTCATATTTTGACGTGAAAATCACAATTCAGATAAATCGGAAGTGACAACGGACGACCTCAGTATCTCGAGAATGAAAAGTGGCATGCTTAAACTGTTATAGAAAGTCATGCATTGTCATTTTGAAATATTTCTTCAATGAAAGTGTAACTCAGATAGCAAAATTTTTGTTTCGATTGAAACGATTATAGTCTTTGGCATTAAAATGTGTGAAAATGCATGAACTATAGTCTTTGGCATTAATATGTGTGAAATGCATGAACTATTGTCTTTGGCGTAAGAAAGGTTTGAAAATCCAAAGACTATAGCCTTTGGCATGAAAATGTGTGAAAATGCGAAGACTATAGTCTTTGGCCTGAATATGTGTAAAAATGCATGAATTATATTCTTTGACATGAAAATGTATGAAAATACATTAACTATAGTTTTTGGCGTGTAAATGTGTGAAAATGCAAAGACTATAGTCTTTCGCATGAAAATGTGTGAAAATCCAAAGACTGTAGTCTTTGACATGAAAATGTGTGAAAATCCAAAGACTATAGTCTTTGACATGAAACTGTGTGGAAAAGCAAAGACTATAGTCTTTGGCATGAAAATGTGTGAAAATGCAAAGACTACAGTCTTTGGCCTGAATATGTGTGTAAATACATGAACTATAGTCTTTGACATGAAAACGTGTGAAAATACATGAACTATAGTCTTTGGCGTAAAAATGTGTGAAAATGCAAAGACTATAGTCTTTGGCCTTAATATGTCTGAAAATACAAAGACTATAGCCTTTGGCATGAAAATGTGTGAAAATGCGAAGACTATAGTCTTTGGCCTGAATACGAGTAAAAATGCATGAACTATAGTCTTTGACATGAAAATGTGTAAAAATTCATGAACTATAGTCTTTGGCGTAAAAATGTGTGAAAATGTATAAACTATAGTCTGGCGTAAATGCAAAGACTACAGTCTTCTACAAGAAAAGGTTTAAAAATGCAAAAATTATAGTCTTTGGCATGAAAATGTGTGAAAATGAAACGATTATAGTCTTTGGCATTAAAATGTGTGAAAATGCAAAGACTATAGTCTTAGGAATTAATATGTGTGAAAATGCATGAACTATAGTCTTCGACATGAAAATAGGTAAAAATGCATGAACTATTGTCTTTGGGGTAAAAATGTTTGAAAATCCAAAAGTCTATATTCTTTTTTTTTACAAAATTTTACACTAAAGACTATAGCCTTTGCATTTTTACACACTTTTACGCAAAAGACTATAGTCTTGCATTTTACACTGCTATAAAGACTAATCTTTGTATTTTTACTCTTTTTGCTAAGGATATGATGCTTTACCGCCAAAGACTATAATCTTTGCATTTTTTACCTTTTAAAAGGACTATAGTCTTTGCATTTTACTTTGCAAGACTATAGTTTTGTTACCTTACAACATAAAAGACTATAGTTTTGCATTTTACACTTTTTCTCAAAGACTATAGTCTTGCATTTTACTTTATAAAGAGACTATAATCTTGTTTTTACAGGACTATAGTCTTCACATTTTCACGCCACGCAAAGACTATAGTTTGCATTTTTACACGCTATTATAAAAGATATAGTCTTTGCATTTTCTTACATAGACTATAAACGTTGCATTTTCACCTTTTACGCAAAGAGACTATAGATCTTTCATTTTACCTTTTTTTGCAAAAGACTATAGTTTGCATTTTACGCTTCTTATAAAGATATAGTCTTTGCATTTTACCTGCCCTGGACTATAAACGTTGCATTTTACACTTTTTAATGCAAAGACTATAACTTTGCATTTTTTACACTTTTACGCGAAAGACTATATCTTTTACATTTTTACTGCAAAGACTATAGTCTTTGCATTTTACTTTTACAAAGACAATGAATCTTTGTATTTTTTACTTTACACAAAAGACTATAGTCTTTGCATTTTACCACTAAGAAAAAGACTATATTCTTTGCATTACCTATTTTACACTAAAGACTATAGTCATGACTTTTAAACACTCCAAAGACTATAGTCTTTGCATTTCACTAAACCAAAGTATCACTCCATTTTACACTTTTACGCAAAAGACTATAGTCTTTGCATTTTTAAACACTTTTACGCAAAAGACTATAGTGATTGCATTTTCACACATTTTCATGCCAAAGACTATAGTCCTTGTATTTTCAGACATATTAAGGCCAAAGACTATAGTCTTTGCATTTTACACACTTTTACGCAAAAGACTATAGTCTTTGCATTTTTAAACACTTTTACGCAAAAGACTATAGTGATCGCATTTTCACACATTTTCATGCTAAAGACTATAGTCGTTGTATTTTCAGACATATTAAGGCAAAAAACTGAAATCTTTGCATTTTTACACACTTTTACACTAAAGACTATAGTCTTTGCATTTTTACACACTTTTACGCAAAAGACTATAGTTTTGCATTTTCACACATTTTCATGCCAAAGACTATAGTTCATGTATTTTCATACGTATTCATGTCAGAGACTATAGTCATTGCATTTTTACACACTTTTACGCAAAAGACTATAGTCTTTGTATTTTCAGACATATTCAGGCCAAAGACTATAGTCTTTGCATTTTCACACATTTTCATGCCAAAGACTATAGTTCATGTATTTTCACACGTTTTTATGTCAAAGACTATAGTCTTTGATTTTTACACACTTTTATGCAAAAGACTATAATCTTTGCATTTTTACACACTTTTACGCAAAAGACTATAGTCTTTGCATTTTTACACACTATTACGCAAAAGACTATAGTCTTTGTATTTTCAGACATATTAAGGCCAAAGACTATAGTCTTTGCATTTTCACACATTTTCATGCCAAAGACTATAGTCTTTGTATTTTCAGACATATTAAGACGTCTTTGCATTTTCACACATTTTCATGCCAAAGACTAGAGTTCATGTATTTTCACACGTTTTCATGTCAAAGACTATAGTCTTTGCATTTTTACACACTTTTACGCAAAAGACTAGAGTCTTTGCATTTTTACACACTTTTGGCAAAAGACTATAGTCTTTGCATTTTACACACTTTTAAGCACAAGACTATAGTCTTCGCATTTTACACACTTTTACGCAAAAGACTACAGTCTTTGCATTTTTACACACTTTTACGCAAAAGACTATAGTCTTTTCATTTTACACACTTTTACACAAAAGACTATAGTCTTTGTTTACACTTTTACGCAAAAGACTATAGTCTTTTCTTTTTACACTTCAGATGAGACTATAGATCTTTGCATTTTACTCTTTTCAAGATATGATCTTTGCATTTTTACTCGCATAAAGACTATAGTCTTTCATTTTTTACACTTTTCACAAAGACTATGAGATCTTTTAATTTTACCTGACTATAGTCTTTCCATTTCTACTGCAAAGACTATAGTCTTCATTTTACACTTTTAAAAAGACTATAGTCTTTGCATTTTTACTTTTCGCAAAAGACTATATCTTTTCATTTTTACTTCTACAAAAGTTCTAGTCTTTGCATTTTTTTACATTTTTTACAAAAGACTATAGTCTTTTCATTTTCCACTCTTTGCAAAGATATAGTCTTTGCATTTTACTACTTTTACGCAAAGACTATAGTCTTCTTTTACACACTTTTAAAGACTATAGATCTTTACATTTTACCACTGCAAAAGACTATAGATCTTCTTTGTTTACCACTATTATGCAAAAGACTATAGTCTTCATTCCATTTCATTTAAGACTATAGTCTTCCATTTCACCTACATAAGACTATAGTCTTTCATTCCCTATACCTAATTTCAGATCTTTCTTTCAAACAAAAGACTATAGTCTTCTCATTCCACTTAAGATTTTAAAGTCTTTACACTCTTACGCAAAAACTATAGTCTTTATTTTACTACTACTAGACAAAGACTATAGTCTTCATTTTACCTTTACATAAAAGAGACTATAGTCTGCATTTTACACTTTTACGCAAAAACTATAGTCTTTGCATTTTACACCCTTTATACAAAAGACTATAGTCTTTGCATTTTTCTACTTATAAAGAGACTATAGTCTTTTCATTTTTACACACTTTTACGCAAAAGAATATAGTCTTTGCATTTTTACACACTTTTACACGAAAGACTATAGTCTTTGCATTTTTACACACTTTTATGCAAAAGACTATAATCTTTGCATTTTTACATACTATTACGCAAAAGACTATAGTCTTTGTGTTTTCAGACATATTAAGGCCAAGGACTATAGTCTTTGCATTTTTACACACTATTACGCAAAAGACTATAGTCTTTGCATTTTCACAAAAGACTTTAAAATTTTGCGTAAAAGTGTGTAAAAATGCAAAGACTATAGTCTTTTGCGTAAAAGTGTGTAAGAATGCAAAGACTATAGTCCTTGGCCTTAATATGTCTGAAAACACAAAGACAATAGTCTTTTGCGTAATAGTATGTAAAAATGCAAAGACTATAGTCTTTTGCGTAAAAGTGTGTGAAAATGCAAACACTATAGTCTTTGCATTTTCACACATTTTCATGCCAAAAACTATAGTCTTTGCATTTTCACACGTTTTCATGTCAAAGACTATAGTTCATGTATTTTCACACATATTCAGGCCAAAGACTATAGTCTTTGCATTTTCACACATTTTCATGCCAAAGACTATAATGTTTGTATTTTCAGACATATTAAGGCCAAAGACTATAGTCTTTTTGCGTAAAAGTGTATAAAAATGCAAAGACTGTAGTCTTTTGCGTAAAACTGTGTAAAAATGCAAAGACTATATTCTTTTGCGTAAAAGTCTGTAAGAATGCAAAGACTATAGTCTTTTGCGTAAAAGTGTATAAAAATGCAAAGACTATAGTCTTTTGTGTAAAAGTGTGTAAAAATGCAAAGACTATATTCTTTCGTAAAAGTGTGTAAAAGTGCAAAGACTATAGTGTTTGCATTTTCACACACTTTTACGCAAAAGACTATAGTCTTTGCATTTTTTTTTACGCAAAAGACTATAGTCTTTGCATTTTTATACACTTTTACGCAAAAAGACTATATTCTTTGGCCTTAATATGTCTGAAAATACAAACATTATAGTCTTTGGCATGAAAATGTGTGAAAATGCAAAGACTATAGTCTTTGGCCTGAATATGTGTGAAAATACATGAACTATAGTCTTTGACATGAAAACGTGTAAAATGCAAAGACTATAGTTTTTGGCATGAAAATGTGTGAAAATGCAAAGACTATAGTCTTTGGCATGAATATGTGTGAAAATACATGAACTATAGTCTTTGACATGAAAACGTGTGAAAATGCCATGACTATAGTTTTTGGCATGAAAATGTGTGAAAATGCAAAGACTATAGTCTTTTCGTAAAAGTGTGTTAAAATGCAAAGACTATAGTCTTTTGCGTAAAAGTGTGTAAGAATGCAAAGACTGTAGTCTTTTGCATAAAAGTGCGTAAAAATGCAAAGACTATTGTCTTATGCGTAAAAGTGTGTGAAAATGCATGAACAATAGTGTTTGACATGAAAATGTGTGAAAATGCAAGAACTATAGTCTTTGGCGTGAAAAATGTGTCAAAATGCAAAGACTATATTCTTTGCTCTAAATATGTGTGAAAATACATGAACTATAGTCTTTGGCATTAATATGTGTGAAAATGCATGAACTATAGTCTTCGACATAAAAATGTGTGAAAATGCAAAGACTATAGTTTTTGGCATGAAAATGTGTGAAAATGCAAAGACTATAGTCTTTGGCATGAATATATGTGAAAATCCAGTCTTTGGCATGAAAATGTGTGAAATTGACTATAGTCTTTGGCATGAAAATGTGTGAAAATGCATGAACTATAGTCTTTGGCGTGAAAAATGTGTCAAAATGAAAAGACTATATTCTTCGCTCTAAATATGTGTGAAAATACAAAGACTATAGTATTTGGAATAAAAATGTGTCAAATGCGAAGATTATAGTCTTTGGCATGAAAATGAAAATGCAAAGACTAGTTTTTGCATGAATATGTGTTTAGGAGATAGCATTGCGCATGCGCATGTATAACGTCGTGCATGTGAAGATCGTATCTCGTAAAATATAGAAGTTACGGCGATTTTCATTAGCTTATTGGAAAGATCTCGACGAGAGCTTTCAGATGAGCCAGAACGGAACTCTTCCTTTTCTCGACTGTTTGGTAAAACATGACAATCAAAAACTACGAACAACAGTTTATTGCAAGCCAACACATAGGTTAAAGGTTAAAGGTTTTTATTTTTCATCTTCAGATTAAAAAGTACGATGAATTTACATTGATTTTCTATATATTTATCATACTATACTAAAAATTACATGTTAACTTTATTATATATATATTTACAAGATCTAGCAATAAAAGATTGTTTATGACGTTTGGTCCGAGATAAAATACTATACGTTTTGCTTTTACGCAACTCGTGCGAGTTTTCTTTGGGATAAGGTACCAAAAATTTGCATGGATGATCAGGTTCTTCTATAATCCTTTTGATCTCTTGGGTAATTGCTAGTTCACGTCTGTTTTTCAAAGAGGGCAAGTAGTTTTTATCTAGTTGTAAAATTTTTAAACTTCTTCTTTGTACACGTTCAATTTCTTGCTGTAAAAAATGTGGAAGTCCTGCCCAGACTGCCGATGCATACTCTAATACTGGTCTTGTTTTTGATGTATATGTTAATAATCCAACATCTGAAGGTAATTGAGACTTCCTACAAAGTTGAAGATGATATAGTCTTTTATTTGCCTTGCTTGTAATTTGGTGTACATGTTCATTCCCCTTACAAACCCAACGAACCCAACGAAACGAACAACTCAGTGACAACAGCAACGATACCTTACATCAAAGGTACGTCTGAGACTATCTCGCGTATCTTACGACCATACAACATACGTGTCGCACATAAACCAATCACAACGTTACGACAAGTACTAACGAACATAAAGGACAAAGAACAACCCAACGACGACAAGGTGCAGTTTACAAAGAAACTGCTCCGACTGCCACGCCTCCTATATCGGGGAAACTGGCAGGAACTTAAACATAAGACTTACTGAGCACAAACGAGCTACTAAGAAACAAGACAAAACTAATCACATTGCCGAACATCACCGAATCACAAAGCACAACATTGACTGGGATTCGGCAAAATGCATCACTTACAGTACTGACTATAGACAACGGCTAACATTAGAAAGTTGGTATACCAACTTGGAACAAACCCCCCTGAACAGATCACAGCAATTACCGGCACCTTACAAACGACTTATTCACAATACAAACAAACGATCAACTAAAAACACTACACTTCAAACTAATTCACAATGACAATACACAATTGACACCCACACATTACAACTAAAAACGTCACACCTAAATCACACATCACAACTAAAAATAAAATATTTCACTTCACACTAATCCACAATGACAATACACATTTCCTGTACACAGAATACAATGACGTAAGAACCAGATAACAAATACGGCTAACCTGACGTTTACTCCTCATTTGACTCTGAAGATGACTACCGCTAAGGTTGTCGAAACGTCAGTCAACAACAACAAAAACAGTCCTTCTCAGGACTTTATTAACCTGGACGATCATCATTTACACACATATATAGTGGACTTACGACGATTTTCATTAGCTCATCGGAAAGAGCTCGTCGAGAGCTTTCAGATGAGCCAAAGATCATCGCCGTAGCCCCAGTAGTTTAGGAGATAGCACTGCGCGTGCCAGATCATATCTCGTAAAATATTGGGGTTACGGCTATTTTCATTAGGTCATAAGAAAGAGCTCGTCGAGAGCTTTCAGATGAGCTAAAGATCATCGTGGTAGCCCACGTGGTAGCCCCAGTTGTTTAGGAGATAGCATGGCGCGTGCGCAGAAATAACGTTGCGCATGCGCAGATCGTATTTTTACAGCAAAAACATTAGCTTATTTTAATATGCTGTTGACGATGTGTTTTTCAAGGTATTCACAGTCAACTGAACAAATAACTCCAGTAGGTAATTTTTGTTATACTATTATATGGCGTTGTAAAAGATTTTTAAATAAATTTTCTTAAATCAGACTGCCCTATTGTATTGTTTGTTAATGTCAATTGTCAAATTACATTGTCATTAATTGTGTGTTGTTTACAATAGTATCACTAATAATAAAACCTCCACTCCAAAATATTGAAATTTAAAATTGTGGATAGAAGTCATAGAAGATTGTACCATTACCCACTGCAAACTTCCGTAACAAAGATAATTTAAACCAAAATAATACTCAGCTTTAAATTCCAAATTAAGGGTCGCACATCCCATCAATAATGACATACCAAAGAAAAATTAGAGTCAATTAGAACTCAAACACATTTTCCTTTTTCTAATAGTAATAATAATGCTGTATATACATGTGCAAGGTATATTGAAATTCACACATCTATATGTACCTCCTCTTTAGGGGAAGTAAAAAATAAAAAAATGTTGCTAAATAAAAAGTAAAAGTGAAAAGACTATTATCTAGCATTTAAATAATAATATTGGTACACTGCATGGCCTCCCATAGACATACAATTGAATAGTAAAAGAATAATAGAAGTAACTTTCGTAGTAGAAAAAGGATTGTGAAAGAACTAATTACTATAGATAGATGAGTTAGATTGTTTACATTTTTTGGCAAGCATATTCGGTCAAGTGCTTTTAGAAAAACACCAGCAATTCTTAAACTCTCTTGGGATGAGCCTGCCTGCCAGAAAACGTAAACAATCTTACTCATCCATCTTTACCTTTCAAATTACTAAATTGAACCAGTCTGAACCGTGCTTTCAATTTGACAACACGCAAAAATACCCACCGAGGTCTAAATAAAATTAATTATAAATAATCTAATGTAAAAGATCATCAAACTCACTTTGCTTGGCAGCTCAGCCTCTCTACATTTGTGCTGGTTTTTCTTTAAAACATTTTCACGAAACTTCTCGGTTAACGTTGACCACAGAATATGATGGGTTTATTAGCGTGAAACAATTCATGAGCAAATATTTCAACCACAATTTTTACACAAGACATGGTGCCATCGCGAAACATGTGTAGCCAAGTTTACAACTTTATAACATCTTGCACATTAGAACTTTGACTAAGAATTCAATCAGCCATCTTGAATTTAATTGTGAAAAGACCATGCTGAGGTAGCCTTCCATCTAATTATTTCAATGGAAAATACTTGGAGTCTTGGAACCGCCAGTTAACTGTAATAACAAGAAAACAATGAAAACATTAATCAAAACAAGCATCATTTCAGGGGGGAGTTGATTAAAATTTAGCTGCATGTTTGGCTTCGACCAATCACGGGACAAAACTTTTGGAGTTATCGTTTCAGTTTACATCACAGATCACAGGAAACCACTTCTTGGAACGAGACACGGTTGCCATGTTTTCGACGATATGCAAATTTATGTTCAAACACTGAAATATACAAATTTAGTAGTCTTATTCGCATTTTTACATCTTCTGCTAAGTATAACATTAATTACATACACCCGGACCCATTCACACATTCAAACAAAAAGTTTTCAAATACATGGCTATCACTTCGCAGTTTACTCATGCAAATTTGTCAACTTCTGTACAAAGGACACTACCAAAAATACTTATTTTTGTAAAAGAAAGTGACACGTGCTCATCGTTACAACTGTCAACTGTTTCTTTTAAAACTTTCACAAATCTATACAGCTTTTATTCTTTTTAAACATCAGGTAGCTCTTTGATGTATAGTTCAAGTTCCTCTGCATCTTTGTTCGCTTCTCGAGGCACACTCCATGTAATGTATACGTAAGAAGGTAACAGTTGAACAACATTTAACCAATCCAATGATTTCTAACAGTTCAAAACGACATTACCATTGTTTAATTTCTCCTTAGACTTATATAATTACACTGAAATTGGCTGTTGTGAAATTCACAGTTTTGATCGAGAGTTTAAATAATCTCAGAGTCATCAACAAAAAAGTTGAGAAAACGAAACTGAAGTTACCATTTTACAAATCCTGAGCCATATCGAGTACGGAAAATGCTACAATGAATTTCCTTGAAATGTAATTCTTATTTATACGTTTTTTTAGGTCAAACTGTCGTTACCACGAAAAACCTGATTTCTCAGCAAGTGAGAAATACAATCGCAAAGTTCAAAAGCCCAAGTTCAAAAATATTTCTTATGAAAGCGTGAAAAAATTAACAATACAAGACACTAATTGTCGTTTAAAAACACGCAAAAAATATTTGCAGCATCCAACACAAAACTATGTAAATTTTAAAATGACCGTACGCAATACTGTAATCGGATAGTTGGAAGAGACCACAAGCATAAGCTTATCTTTATAGCAATTTAACTGCCCATACATCATCCTCCAAAACATTGAATTCTCCTCCATAGCATTCTTATCATTAGATGTAGAAGTCCTTCATGATAGTTCGGCAAAGAATTTAAAATTGTGAATGTAAATTTTGAAATAGTACAAATGCGCATTCTTGGAATTAGAATGCCAGGAATGATAGACGTGTAAAAAATGGGTAAGCGTTTGTGAAAATTGCTTGTGTATTAAATGAACTAAGCATTTCAAACAAAGACAACATTTTTATGGTTTCTGCTGCCAACTAAGCCATCTTCAATGCGAAAGAAACGTTAGTTGGAGCGTCATTAAATGAAGTATTAACGCGTGTAGGATTAATTGAGCAATTAATTTGTATACTTTGACGATTTCCTAATGACAGTTATTAAACATCTACATAAAACTGCTTTTGAAATAATGAAGCAAGACCAAGAGTTTTTCGCAAAAGTGATTTCAAAGTACTTTGATTGGGTAAATATATGAAATACAGTCTGTCAGAGACACATACAAAGAAATCCCAACATATCTACATATTATCATAAACAAAGCATGCGATTCAGGTTCTTTGTGACGTGTACTTTTTACAAACTCATAAGTTGTCGCTACTACCTCACATAAGGCATGGACAATAAGTAATGAAAGAGTACATTCTTGGTTAGATGTTAAAGATTGTCTTTTGGTGGATAGAAAGGGTTAGTCTTTAGTCACTAACCGACACAATAAACCATCTCAATTATAACAGGCGTATTGAGCAGCTGTTTGGTAACTCGATCACGCCAACACAAAGACTCGACTCTACGATACAACCACTTATTTTTACAGACCAAACAAAATTCGCGAAGTCATAAAGTTCATAATCTTTCAAAATGGCATACATATATTTCTAAGAACTTTACGTTATACATTTGGCTTCTTGGAATACGATATTGCCTGATTCCGTATATTTTAATGAAAAGAAATTGACTTGTAGAAACTAACTTCGAGGAAATATCTACCTACCGTGGTATAAAATGTCGTATGTATCTTTCTCAGAGTTACTTTGCTAATCGTGTTTGGCAAATGACAGTGCAAATAATTTGTAAAAATATTTCCCAAATTTTCTCGTCAGCAACTAACATACAAAACAAAATCGGTTACAAAGTGAAATGGAACGAAATGCACATGTCGTTGATTTCATTTTGCTCGTTTGTGCAGCACTAAATGTGTATGCTTGTAACCAAACTGCGTTGGGTAATCTTGCTTGTATACACATACCTCGCTACAATGAAGAGCAGTGGTCTAGTTGTGTTACAGATCTGTATATAAGACAGAAGTCAAAGGGTCGTCACGGCTGTCCAATAGGTCAAATGGTTTGTTTTTATCAGTGCATGTTAGAAGAACACGGTGAGAATGCGGGTATCGTAAGAGATCCATGTACTTGCTCAAAAGACGACCGACAGAATATGGATGCTGTGAAAGCCGTAGAAATGTTGACACCAACATTGCCGCTTCAATCGTGGTGTTTTACACCAAGCGGAGCTGACTGTAACTGGTTTGAAACATGTCTTGCTCGACGTTATTCTTGCGGAGAAAAGTTTCGAGGTGAGGTAATACGCTTTGCTAAAGAGTTCTGTAAATTGTACCTAAATCCCTACTCGGAATTGTCACGAAAAGGATTACTTTGGGTGAACGGGTGAGAAAGTGCATGCAAATAAGCCTGGTAACGATGTTGAGAAAATGGCAAGTTGAACGCACTGATGTGCGAAACTTTGACAAGGAACGCTCTGCGGTCATTTAAACACTGCTTTCATTCACCATTTCCTGGAGTTTTGCCGACCCTTTGAATTACCTTTGAACGATTTGTGGCGAATATTTTGGAATCTCCGTCAGAAGTTAGAAAATGAGAAGGCACATCGCAGCCTTCTGGCATTTCTTCAGATTATTGAAAATGCAGAAGCTTCAAGAATCCACGTTGACTAAAGGGAACGTAAGAAAACTGATATTCCAAGTAAAGCCAATGGAAATACCCAACAGCGAATTGAATATGAAAATCTCAAGACAACACTGAACAAAAAATCACACCACAATTTTGCTTCGACAGGAAGATATTTCATGGTTTGCTTACGCTAAGAAGCCTAGATATTCTTTGAACAATAAAATAGACTTTCACTTCTTCGTCGCAGACAAACGTGAGCATTTGATGATTCAAAGAACAAGCTCGAAGACCCTGTAAATCTAAATCGCACCGTTTGGAAATTAGTCGAAGCTGTTCGCATGAACAAAAAGTGTTACAAAAATGGCGCACCTGATGCATATTATGACATAATATCCACGACAGTTTGTGAAAATTTAGAGTGCGGTGAGAACAGTTTCACTGTTCAAACCGTTGCGCATTCGTACAAAAGTAAAGCCACGAAAACAAATCAAATTAGTGGTGGATTCTATGCCATGTTTGTATTAATAACGTACAATATGTTCAGAGTTTAGTTTCCTAGGACCTTCGCCGGCCTTCACATTATCGAACTATGGCAATGACTGCGTTAAACTGAGCATGATGTCAATCTGGGGATTACGCAAGCTTCGCCAGTTCGTGCAAACTGTTCAATCGTTGGGTTAAAACCATCTTTTATCGTACACACATATCACAACAAAGTAGAACGGATTTCATCGCTATAATATTCATCATTAGTCAATGTAATAATTTAAAATACAAAATTGATCATTGTAATAAAATACAGACGCAGCATACAGTGGGTTTAAGTGCTAAGTCAGGCGTACTGTTTAGACTCGATAAAGGAGTTCAAAATTTCAGGGTTTTACAGTGTGTCAGCTAAAACAAAATGACATTCGCGGGTCGCCTACAATTGAGAATTTAACAGCAAATGAAGAAATCTTATCATAGTGTACAATGCATTGCATTGTAACGAATCGTATAGTTTTAAGTTTACACAGAGTAAAACCCATCAATTGTTTAAATTTTCACAAGAAAAAACCATGAACGAATGATGGGACAATGTGCTGACGTATACATCTGTGAAACATATGGATGTCACATGGATGAGTGTTGATTTCATTGAACTTTTTATTGTGTTGGCACCATTCGAGTGGTTTTCAAAGAATTGATGTCCTCAGGAAGTTTGAGCAAAAACCTCCCGATTCAAACATATGGCGAACTCAAACATAGAAAACACGAAAAATTGAAAAAATGTGGCGTGCATGCGCGAAAATAATACGGAAATTTTGTGAATATTTCGAGAAAATTGTTAGTTAGATGATTACTTCAACTAATCGCCCACCGACACAGATAAAGAATTATCAGAATTTTGACACAAAATCAACTAACGTAAGCGGCACTGTCATATTTTCAAATATAAAAAAATCTGATTTCCTTCCCAACTGCTTACGTAGTTATGAGAACCAATCAAGATCGTCGTCATCATCGTCATCAAACAATGGCGGAGGAATTGCTTTCATCGTAGGAGTCTGGGGAGAGAGGTGTTAAAGAGCAATAAAATCATATTAGAATCTGTATGAATGGAACCTTGGTAAAGTATTCTACCTACCCTGACTAAATCATATAATCACTGATAATGATTTGTGTTATGAGTGTAATCTCGGTAAGCAACCCCCCGGGACAAGGATCATGTGAACACATGTCATAGTCTGTATTACAGGTTAGACTGAGGTAAGCACAACAACCCTCCTGACAAGGATCATATACAACGCTATAGAGGAGAGAGGGAGTCCTTGCTTCCAAGCAATTTCTCTCACAGATTATTAGGATCATGTGCCCCTACCCGGTAGTGTGTTAAATCAACTACAATGTTCAAACCTCATCTTTCTTCGGAGGAGTGTGTTTTGTTTTCAACGGTGGACCATCAAACAATCCTTCGACATCATCTTCGTCGTCACTCAAAAACCTAAACAAGTGTTTACAAACTACTTAACATACTTCAAACTTTTTATACGTACCATTCCTCTCTCTTGGAAAATGCATACTGACTACTTAAAACCTGTATACTTACTCGGATAAAGTCTGATTTTTCTTCACATCACTCTTTGCATCAAGTGAATCTTTTACTTTTGTTTCAACTTTCTGGACATCAGTTGAACCTTCAACTTCGTCCTTCATGTGTTCTACTTTGCTGTCATCCGTTGTACTTTCAGATTCCTTATTTTCAACTTCAAGATCGGTTGGACGGTTTTCATTATCCCCAGACAGACCTTCAACGTTGGGTAAATGAGACACTAAAGACACTTTAGGATCACCTATCCCTGATTGTTCATAATTGTCCGGTTGATCTTCTTTGCCTGAATTAGAGCTCTCTAGTTCCTCCAAAGGTGGAACTTCAAGTGAATGAATATAATCATTTTCATCATCACTGTTCTTCACGATATTTGATGTATCCTCGATGTTTTCCTTTTCCTCAACTACTAAAATATCATCCGTCACACTGTCGGTGTTGTTTGCAGGAGGTTCTAAACCATTACCACCACCACCAATACTTGATTCATCCTCAACTACTAAAGTGTTATCCTTTATATTATCGGTGCCAATTACAGGAGGTTCTGAGCCATGACCATGAGTAGGTGATTCATCCTCAGTTACTAGAGCTTTTCCTCTATGCTATTGTTGCTATTCGTTGGAGGTTCTTGTCCATTACCATTGCCATACTCAACTACTAGAGCTTCTTCCTCTATGCTATTGTAGCTATTTGTTGGAGGTTCTTGTCCATTGCCATTGCCGAGTGAACGTACCACTTCTTTCTCATTCAGTTCTTCAAAAGTTTTGTCTGCTTTACCAGCTTTGTCGTTTTCTTCAACAATTTTATCATCATTCTTCGTTTTGTTTTCATCGAAATCATCAACCACGTTTTGAACATCATCTTTCTGATCCTTCTCGCTGTCTTTAACAATAATTTCCTCTTTCTTACTGGCAACATTAACCTCTGTCTTTTCTTTTTTTCCACTATCGCCAACATTACCTTCAAGTCCCTCTTTGTTACCCCACTCTCCTCATCATCATCCTCATCATCCTCATCATCTCCACTTTGCTCCTCTTCATTTTCACTTTCTTCATCATCATTTTCACTTTCCTCTTCATCTTCATCACTTTCATCATCGACACCGCTGGTCATTTTCAACGTCATGCTCTAAATAAAAACCAGAAGAATTAAAACTATGCATTCAACAAGCAAAAATTAGCATCTATTATTCTCACGCATGAGGTATAGCTAAGAATATGAAACAAATTTTTTGCATTCACGAGGTTTAGCCACCACACACTCCTCCCCTAAAACGTTTTGCACTGCAACACTGCTACGAGTGTAAGCACCAATGGAAGTGAAATATATTATTTTGAAAAAACAAACAAACCTATTATTTGCACATTTGACATAGCAAACCTATTATTTTAATTTGCCAATTTTGCAACAAGAGGTTTCAGGGTTAAAAAGTTCCATAGCAGAATACACTTCTAGTTAATAAAATCATACAAAGCCTTCAAGCACATTTTCATGGAACAACCCAGTGGTTTAAGCAAAAATTTTTCACAGAGAAATTTCAAGCACAACAACTAATGGTTACTTCCGAAACTTTATGATAACCGCGGACCATTTAAGCATCAAATATCAAATATACATGACCTAGGATACCTTAACCACATTAAGCACGACGGAGACAACAGTAGAGCCATTGTAGTTATCGGAAGGAACAAACTTTTCTCGTATTTGGAAAAACACTTTGTTCATAATTTGTTTGACTTCAGTCACAATTTTCTCTCTCGACGGCTCGGGAGCATCTGTCTTTTGTAAAGATTCGGTTGCCTTTGCCGCCAAAGAAAGCTTCTTTATCTCATTCATGGCGCTCTCCTTTTCCTAAACGTAAATACAAGTCTTAGTCAAAATGTAGCTGTAGCAGTCTTTCAAATGGGCATTTTTCATTGGGGAAAAATCCGCTAAAGCAATATAATAAAACGTGTATTCCAAAGGATGTATGTTGTTCATAGGTAGCATCACGAATACAGAGGCGTTGGAAGCTTTCAAAAATTGCGGGTGTTCCATGTTCGCGATGTGATAATGCAAGAAACTAAGAATAGTAACGAAACCGTTTCATATTAGTTATTTTTGATAGTTTTTTTTCTTCCTTTTGCGGCACCTATTACAAAAATTGTCCAAAATGCATTACATACAAATGATTTGCATATATCGGCTATGCTCAAACCATTTGAAATTTAGTGCATGCTGGCGCTCGGCCCGTTCCTTAATCTGAAAACTCAGTGAGCTTGCAAAACTCAGCAGGCAATATGTCATATATTTTCAAGCAAGAAGCTAAATTTGAGGGTGTCCTTCCCATACAGAACACCTACACTCTAAAAGTTGTGGTGTCCTTCCTATAAGGTACACCCACACTATAAAAGTTGTGGGTGTCCATCCTATAAGGTACACCCTCCTAAAACATTTGTGGCTGTCCTTCCTAAATGGAACACCCACACCCTAAAAGTTGTGGGTGTCCTTCCTATAAGGTACACATCCACGGCTTTCCAAGCACCTGCACGAAAGAAATCTTCAGTATGCACAATCTTGTTGGGAAAAACACACTTAAACAGAAAACAATACAGATCGGGAAACATTTAACTTGTATACAAAATGCTAATTGACAAGTGTTAATATCACATATAGTAATTCTAGTTTGGAAATTTCGAACCCAAATATGACGATAATTACAAAATAAAATCTACCAGAAATTGGAATTGAGTTAAATTCAAAAAGATGAATGATTCCAAGCTTTCCCGTTCAAGTCATTGACATACTGGTGGTTTTAGCCAGTTGGTAAAGAGCTAGGAAGGAGACATAATAAAAATATAATCACGAAAAATATTTTCATTACCTTTTCTAATTCTTTGATTCTCGTTTTGTATGTTTCTTTCATTTCAACGCTTTTCACTTTCAAATCTTCGTACTAAAGCGCGCAAAAACAAAAGAAAGTTAAACGTTTTGCATGGTGTTGGTTAAAGCAATTGATCCGAAAAAACAAACTTTGTTTTGAGTTAGTTTCAATTCCTTGGCCTTCTCGCGAAGCTCGTCGTTATCTTCGGATTGTTCCGTTAGTTTTTCTTGAAGTTTTTCAAGTTCTTGCTTTTGTTGACGGCAAACTTCTTTCAAACTCTCACACTGTCGGGAAGATAAGAAGATAATACAGTTAACCTAATGGATGTTTAATCTTTAGTAAATATAGTTTTTGTTAATAGTGTTTTATAGCAGATGTAGCGCTGTTTTCAATGCTGCAAAAAAATTCGTTCATGCCCTACTAAATAACGGCTGGCCGAGCTTGAAGCTCCATAATCGCCAATTTTCACCAAAAATAATATAAAGGATGAAAAGGTTTTCCAAAAAAAGAAGCTGGCAATGATTTTTAGTGCAACAAGATGATATGGACACATAAGAGTGCCAAAACCACGATACATGAAACAAGTTACCTTGCTCTGTAATTCATCTTTATCACGAAGTTGTTCCTGAAGTTCGCCAATCTTTTGCAAATGCTGTTTTTGAGAGGTTTTGATGGACAAGTGCTAAAATAAATAATAACTATTTTAAAATATTGCGATGGGTAACAGAGCCATGACATAAGTATGGTGGTAGGGGATGGAGTAGTAGGGAGTAGGGCAGTAGGGGTGGAGTAGGGGCAGGGGTGGTGGGGGTGGAGTAGTAGGGAGTAGGGCAGTAGGGCAGTAGGGGGTGGAGTAGTAGGGAGCACGGGTGGTAGGGGGTAGAGTAGTAGGGAGCAGGGTGGTAGGAGCCAAGGGTGGAAAGGTAGGGAGCGGGGTGGTAGAGGTCAAGGGTGGTAAGGTAGGGAGCAGGATGCAGCACTATACGCAGATTCATGACACGAAGAAAACATTCATGGCCAACAATTACTTAAAATAAATTTAATCAATGTCTTCAAAAAAAATCTTAAAATATTAACTTTGTCATCGTTTTCAATCAACTTCTTCTTCAAAGTTTCATTCTCATCAACAATCTCATCATATTTCCGTTGCCATTTTCTCTCGCATTGAGTCACCATTTGTTTGGATTTATCCTGCCATTTCTCTTCTATTTCAGTCTCCAATTGTGATAGCTTAACAAGGTTTTGGAAAAAGATTTAGAAACGCTTGGAACAATACATTTTTAAGCCAGGAGGATAGACTAAGAAACAAATTCAAAAGAATCAAGAAGAACGACTTCTTGCTGGAAAAACTACTTTGAGAGGATAGAAGTTAACAAAATAAATATATTTAACAGAACTAATATATTTAATATATTTAAGTTTTCAACTCATTCACCTGTTGCGATGATGATGAATTGCTTGTAGTCAATTCTCGTCGATGTCTTTCTTTAAGACTGTTTATTTCTTCCTAGGAAAAGCATATTTTTTATTCTTGGCTTCGATAAGCAACAGTTTCATGAGGCACTTACTTCGATTAAAAAATTTACTTTGATGAACACTTACTTCGTGTCCTGCTTTCAGTTCTTCAATATCCTCATCCATGCGTTTTTTCGTTTCAGCGAGTTTCTTTTTCCGGTCAACCAAATTCTTTAACGAATGCATAATATAAAACAATGTCATAACAAAGCACATGATGAAAACAACAAAACTATGCATTAATTCAACGAAAAGTAGCTAACAGTTGTGCAGACCTTTTCTAGAGAGGCTTTCTCTTGTTTCAAATCAGCAATGGCATCTTGAAGAGCAGAATGACTACTTTCCACTTTTTTGTTTTCTTGCTTGAGATTTTTTAATGAAGACGACAATTTTTCAACTTCCTCTTGCCTCTCTATAAAAAAATAGATTATTAGACGATAAAAAATGCACCATCGGCATTTATGCATGTGACATGCCAACTACCTAATAAAGCCTCCTTTGTTGTGCTCAGTTCTGTTTTGTGTCTTTGCAACTGCGAAGATGTCTTTTGCAACTGCTCACGATTTTCAACATCTTGCTGTCTTAAGAATTCAAGTTCTGTTTCGATTGTCACCATTCTCTGCTTGTAAGAACTGACTTCTGTGGACAGCGTCGTCTGATAATCACACAAAATTTTTATGCCGAATAGAGAAATTTTAGACAACAGACGCAATGCCAATTGTAACAAAGTATATGTTGCATGTTGACGTCAAATGTTCATCAACTTTGTCGCAAATATTATAAAAAGCTAGAGAAACCGTAAGAGGATGTTCTTATTTTTCCAGCAATTAAATGATACAAGACGCAGTAGGATATCTAGGTGCTCGTAGGTATTTCAAATGAAGTATGATTAAAAACGCAGTGTTTAGAAGCCTTTAAGCTATTCATGAGATAAATACGTGATTTTATTCCAAAACAAAATCATTTCAGTTGAAGATGAACTGACCTTTTCTCTCTCCAGCTCAACCAACTTCGACTGTGAATAAGATGTCGATTGTTGTAAACTCTCGTTTCGTTGTTCGAGAAAAATATTACTTTGCTCGACATACCTGAAAAGAATAAAATATAAGCAAACAAGAATTACTTCAATTCCTAGAGCGTTCATTTAATTTTTCAAATGCATTCAAATTAACAATATATGAATAACAGTATATTTGATGGTGTAAATGGTTTGAACCCGGGAGTATCGTTATACTTTTGACTCTGAAGATGACTACCGCTAAGGTTGTCAAAACGTCAGTCAACAACAACAAAAACAGTTCTTCTCAGGACTATACCAACCTGGACGATCTACATTTACAAAAATGTAACGATATTCAATGGTTAATTAAAGGATTAACAGTCTTACTTTTGACTTTGATGTAAAAGATGAGATATTTTATCGTTGAGAACTTCGACTTTCTCCGTTTTTTCAGCATTGTCTTTCTTCAACCTCTCATTGTCCTGTTGTAAATTTGAATAACATTAACGTACATTGGAGTTACCTTTGAAAGGTTACGCAGCAAAAAACAATTCGTCTCCAGACTTAAATGTGTCTCAAAAAAGGAGTTGGACGAACACCGAACTTCGTTACCTGAACGAGTTTCACAATACTGTTCATCAAAACAGACGCTTCCACAATATTTTCAGATGTTAAACCAATCCCTGCAGGCTTTAACGCAACGCTATTTTCATCCTTAGATTTCTTTAAATGTTCGATCTAAGAGAATAGAATGTATTTCATACGTTAATGTGACAGTGAATGGACAACGTTCACATAAAAGTTATGTTCTGGTAGCATAGTTTCGACTTACAGACGGTTCTGTACACAATGGTAGATATAACCCATATATCTAGGCATACTATACAGATACGTAAGATATAACCGTTCGCTAACAGAGAAAACTAGACTTTGATAAATTGATGATCATGCTGAGAAATTTACTTAAACTCCCAGGTTGTCAACGCAATTAACTGTAATTATGCAAAGGTTGTCTACGTTATTAACTGTAATTATGCAAAGGTTGTCTACCTTATAAACTGTAAGTATGCAAAGGTTGTCTACCTTATAAACTGTAAGTATGCAAAGGTTGTCTACGTTATTAACTGTAATTATGCAAAGGTTGTCTACGTTATTAACTGTAAGTATGCAAAGTTTGTCTACGCTATTAACTGTAATTATGCAAAGGTTGTCTACGTTAATAACTGTAATTATGCAAAGGTTGTCTACGTTATTAACTGTAATTATGCAAAGGTTGTCTACGTTATTAACTGTAATTATGCAAAGGTTGTCTACGCTATTAACTGTAATTATGCAAAGTTGTCTACGTTATTAACTGTAATTATGCAAAGGCTGTCTACGTTATTAACTGTAATTATGCAAAGGTTAATGTTTGAAGTTTCAAAATATTTACTTCTGAAAGTAATGCATGAAATGAAGTTCAATGATGTTACACAGAAAAGACAATTTATATATCATTGAGTTCTTTAATAACTGGAGCGGCTAAGTGGACTGGGACCTGACGCCAAAAATTGTGAGATTTTCGGAAAAGCAGTCAATTTCGGTAAATATCAGCGGTAATGGAACAAATCCTCCAATTTTTGGCGTCAGCCGCTAATTAAAGCCGTGATAGAGATAGGCGCTCCAGTTATTATAGAACTCAATGATATGTATGCTTATTGATAAAAATTTACTATTGCGCCATCGTATCATTGTAGTCAGAGGTCATTTCTCCAGCAATCTAGACTGTACTTTATATTACACAAATTCAAAACACACCTTGTTCTCTATTGAGTCAATTTTCTCTGAAACTTTATTTATCGCCTGCTTTACTTCGTTTTGATGTTGCCGACTTTCACTCATCAACATTGGCATCATTACGTCACTGGCGCCACTGCTAACTGATGAAGGGGGTGGTACTGGAGGCGCAGGTTGGAAAACAGGTGGTGGGGGTTGTTGGTAAACGGGATTATACTGAGGCTGGGGTTGTATATAGGGTTGCTGGGAGGGTTGCTGGTAATATGGCGGTGCTGCCTGTTGAGGAGCCTGGAACAAAACAAAAACAATGTTTTAAAAAACAAGAGTGAATACCAACTTTCCCCGGTTTGCATTAACGAAAAAAACAAGCATTTATTTAAATGTAATCAAAAATTCAGTCGGGCAAAGTATTATCAAAATCGAAGCAATGCTTAACTCATAGAACATGCAATATATCAATGTTTTAAAGAACTTTTACTGCAAGTATTTGCAGATGTTAAAATTGGCATCAAAATATGGCAAAGTGCAAAGTGGTTGTGGCAACGAATGGGGAAGGGAGAAGAGGGGACAAGGGGGCAAGAGAGACAAGGGGAGAGGCTAGAGGGACAGAGGGAGGGGCAAGAGGGGACTAGGGGAGGGGCAAGAGGAGGAATAGTAATTTCTTGACAATTTTCTCTATTTGAATGAAAAAGGATAATATGTACGTAAGAGCAATTTTTTGGTCGTTTTTGCAAGCTCCTTCCCCTTCCTCCCAAAAAAACCTTTCCAGAGCCATTGCAAACTGGCATGACATCATTTCATTGTACCTGGTATAATGCAAGAGTTTGAGGTTGTGACGGGATTTTTTGTGGAATGGGCTGAGTGTTATGAAAATCACTGGGGTATTGATGTTGTGGTGGAGTTTGAGGCACGTGGTGCGGTGCAGGATTTGCATGTGCCATCTTGTTCACGTGGGCGGAACGTGGAGGTACACGAGGCCTTCCAGGGGAATGGCTGTGAATGTCGTCCATTTCGTGAACCTGGGCACGAGGTTGTTCCGGCACTTGCTGCACTTGAGACCTTCTTCTAGTTGGCAGCTCTTGAATCTGTACGTAGAAAGTTGGATGCGCATGCGTATATCGCTTGTCAACTGTTAATTAACTCTTCTCCAAACACAAAAACGTCTGAAATACTCATGGCCATTAAAGTAATTATTTCATTTATTTACAGAAGCTCAGGTCAATCTTTGTAACTGAACACATATCACTAAAATTAATGACTTAATTTGAAGCATAAGCGAGAAAAACGAGTTAAAATCTTATTCAAATTCGCAAAACTCACATCGGTCTTTGACGGTTCAGACGTGTCGGCGAGATCATCTTCATCGTCCTCAACGTCTGCAGCAACAGCACCAGGAAGAATGAGAACATTTTTACCCATCTTTGACATGCGAGCGAGTAGTTTTGCCTTCTCTGACCCTTTCTCTGCTGACTAAATAGGAAGAATTTATCCACATTTACTACAAAAACATTTAACTTTTCTAATAGTCGAATTTCAATATTCCGACAAATTGGAGTTAACGTCAATTTCATGTTCAATAAATGAAAAGAAATAGTGAAATTTCGACGCGATTTGCTCCGTACAACCAATAAAAAAATGTAAGCAAATTACCACAGGTACTTCAGCTGTATCATGAAGATCTTCGTCGTCTCTGAAAGACAACACAAGACATCAATTGGTTAATAACAAAACATCAACAGGACGACATTAGACATTAATAAGATACTCAATACAGGATGTAAGTCGGACGACAAGTTATTCTGGGGATAAGACATCAGTTTGACGATATAAGCAGGTACGTAAAAGTTGTTGATCCACTATTCTGTTGTATTTAATAAGCAAGAACTTTGTTGTGCAATTACTAACATAAGGTAGACGCAAAAACTAACATAATAGTAAGTTGTTTGAGGTAGCTTCCTGATAACCAATCAGTAGTTTCTTCGATCACTCATTCTGCTATATTTAATGTGCATAAACTTTGCTTTGCAATTACTAAACACAAAAGTAGATACGTAGAGGTAAGTCGTTGGTAACACTTTGAAAACTTGCTAATCTGAAATTCTGTTGTATTTTATTTCCAACAATTTAGTTGTATAATTACCAACACTGTAGTTAAATGTAACTCGTTCTTTAATATATAAGAAATTTGCTGTACACTTGCAAAAATGGAGTAGACACAAAAGTAAATAGAATAGAAGGTACGTCAAAGGAGCTCGTTGGTAACTTGCCCATCTGACATTCTGCTGTATTCAATAAGCAAGAACTTTGTTATGTAATTCGTAACGTAAATTTAACACGAAAATCAGACAAATATAAACAAAAGAGCAGGAAGATGAAGGCAACTCGTAGGTAGCTCGTCAGAAACTCGGTCAATGACTAGTTGCTCCGACACTCTGCTATCTTTAATATGTAAGAACTCTATTGGGCATTTACTAACGTAAAATAGACACAAAAAATAGACATAGAATTGAGTACAAATATAAGACAACTGTGAGACTACACAGATATATCATTAGGACGACACAACGCTAATGGAAAGATAAAATCTTTCGGTGGGGAGGTACAAGGAATCAGTGGAATGATAAAAGACACTAGTAAGAAAACAACAAGACGTGTTTTTAAGATAACATGATTGAAATCAATTGCAAAAGACAACTTACTTAGAATGTACAGAGCCTGTGACTGAATTTATTTCTTCGTGACTCTGATTGTGTGCTGAAGTTGGTGTTGATGATGAATTCTCTGATGAAGTGCTGTCTTGTTTCACCTTAGCAAACTTTACTCGCGATATTTCAACTTCAAAAAGCAGCGTTGATTTTGGTGGGATGCGCGATGGTATTCCCTTTAGAAAATGTTATTTGTACAGTAAATCACGATGCACAAAATGAAAAATAAAGGTTTAAGAGAAACTGTCAGTTTGGTTGGAGAAGGTTCTCTCGCCCCAGATCCCCATGGTGTCCAAACATATCCACAACTATCTTGTACCTTATCCCCATATGCCAAAGCAGGTGGTATCACCAGCAAACGTTTTCCAGATTTCTTCATACCAAGAACACCTTCCTCCCAACCCTAGTAAGGTAAAACATCACAGTTGCAGAAAGAAAAAGAAAAACTTGTTGAAACATGCACAGGAATTGCATTATTTAACAATAATCAACTAACCTTAATAACTTTTCCCTTTCCCGGACGAAGTTTGAACAACTTGTCTGCATTCACATTGGAATCAAACTCCTTGAGACATAAACCATTGAGATATGCATGTCAGAGAAGTATCAAATGAAAGGATAAAATACTCTTCATACCTTGCCAAATGTATTATTCACCAACAAAGAACCTGTATACTTGACTTCAAGCACATCACCTGTTTCGACCGCCTGTGGAAAGTAAATCAATTGAACTGACACCATGCACTAAGTTGAATTTCCAAATGTATGACATAAAACATCTTGGTTGTAAAGCATCTGAACTAAGGCTCTAAATAACTTTAATTTCATGAGGAAAAATGCAATAACCTGTCCATCGCCAACTTGCAAATCTTGCTTCACTAGACTTCCTGGAGCAGAGTTATACTTTGTCAAACCAATCTAAAAAATATCGCAGTATTTATGTGAATATTCTTTGGACATCAAAAATGCTTTAAAATGTTTAAATTTCACCTGCTTCGCAAAATTAATCACATCTTGTTGTGTATCGAACCTTATTGACCAGGACTGTCTTGCATCATCATAAAAGGATGCATAGTTATTTGCTTGAACCTTAAACAACAGGGATAGATAATGAACGAATGACGAACAGACAATCAAAGCTTAGTGAAATGAGTATGATAAACACAAATGAAAAATTGCTCCTTACCACAAATGAAAAATTGCTGGTGATTTTAGCGGTGGTAACTTGTTGCTTTTTACTAGCATACACCAAAATACGATACTGAAAAATGAATTACAATGAATTATATTTTAATCCACATAATGGAAACAACAAGTCAAAGGCGTCATTCTGGATAAAAAATCAACTATGTTGAGACCTAATACATTACACCCACAACAAACAAATAAATTATACAACAACATACAACATCAAGGCATTTTTTCAGCAAAACCTCAACAACATATAAAAAGTCTTGCTGACATGTCTCTTGATCGAAATTTCAATAAATAGAAAAACACTTACCTCTTTTTTGGTATGTTGTGCCAAAATGGCCACACCTAATTTCCCCTGGCTTGCATATTGACCATTCACACTAAAAAGATGATTTGCTTGTAATGGTCTTTCAAACTCAATGAAAAAAATGTAAAGAGCTTACAATTTGAATATTTGGGCAGCCACTGCATGCACGACAGCCGAAGCCTCTTCCTGTTTTCCTAAAGGCAAAAGTTTAAAACAAATTCATCTACTTTTAACAATACAGCTGAGATCACAACAATATTGCTGAGATCACAAAAATATTGCTGTGCAAAATCAGATTATGAGCAGATATTTTGGCCATCAACCCACCTGACTGTTTTTTAGGCTGCTTTGGCGCGGTGTATGTTAAAGACTCATTATTTGACGAATTGAAAGTCGCCTGATCGGCTCCAAACAAAGATGATAAATTGGATCTACAAAAAAATGAATCATAATTGAAAGTCACAACAAACGAGGCACGTGGTAAGCTAGGTCTTTAAAACTAGCAATTAAAAATAATAATTGCAACAACAAACAAAGCATCAAACGACTAAAACATGTTTTGAAACAGAAGTATTAAGGCTATTTATTACCATTTTAAACGAGCAGTTTAAAGTCATGAAGATATACTGAAGCACACGCGTAAAGCCGGACCGTCGGCGAAATAGGTGTCCTTATTTAGGAGATTTGTTTCTACAATCGTACATAACTATAAACAACGTGTACACTGCATATAACACACCTGCCTTGTCCGTGCCCAAGTGAAGGGCTGAAATCATCGTCGTCTTCAGCATTGAAAAACATTCCTTCACAAGTACAGAATTTCTTTCATAAGTAGTAGGTTCGGCAAGAAGGAAGAAGCTCAAATCGAAACCACCTAAACCATATCCTTCGCCAAATTCTACGTAATCCGAAGTTGTCACCCGATTCGAATAAATCCACGAAAACGAAAAAATTGCAATCCGAGAAATTGATCAGGAAATCATGAAAGAAAAAACATGTTTTTTATCACTCAACAACAATGATTATTTATAATGAAAAATGAAATCATCCCAGGTTTCGATAAATTTAAAAAATTTTTACGTTAAATTTTTACGTTAAATTTTTTGCGTTTTGACGTCACAAGGTTACACAAACAAGTTACAATAATGTTCATAATTAAATATATAATTGCGACTCACCCCATCACGCATCACCCCACATCACAATAAACGCGCTATTGTTCATCTACAGATCTACAGTAAAAAAGCTGTACTGCAATAATGGTTAACTTAGGTGATGTCTTTCCGGATTTCGAGGCTGAAACGAACAAAGGTCCCATCAAATTTCACCAATTCTTAGGAGACAGGTTAGTGTCAAATGACTCGGTCATTTTCTTGCACAATCATAATCCCTTGATTTAGCATGCATAACGATCATCAAGCTAACTCTACACAATAATTTGATGTAATTCTTGTCTGAACATGGAAGTGATTATAAAATACATTGTTTAATGTGCCAACCCTTGATAAGAAAAAGGCAAATCCTTACAGCAGCTTCGAACTTTGAATCGTGAACTCAGTACTGTTAATTTATGATCGAGGAAACTCCTCTGGGCTAAGTATAAAAATACCCACTATTGACAAAGATCGGGGACGTGGCAAGCGTAATATTTGCGTGTTGTATTTAAAATATAGCTGGGGGATCCTATTTTCTCATCCTGCTGACTACACACCCGTTTGCACAACTGAACTTGGCCGTGTTGCCCAACTTGCCCCAAAGTTTGCAGAACGTAATGTTAAAATGATTGCATTGTCCATTGATTCACCCGAGTCCCATAATGGTTGGATCAAAGACATTCAAAGCTATTGCTCATTGAAAGGCGATTTCCCTTTCCCAATCATTGCTGATGACAAGCGTGAACTGGCTGTTAAATTTGGTATGCTTGATCCTGATGAAGTTAATGCCCAAGGAATTGTGTTGACATGTCGAGCTGTAAGCATCCTGTTTCTTTTTTAATCTTTGTCTTCACTTGCAATGTGTTGATGCAGGTCATATATAAACCTTTGTCTTTTCTTGTGAAGGTTTTCATCATTGGGCCAGACAAGAAGCTCAAATTGTCTCTCCTTTATCCGGCTACCACTGGACGCAACTTTGAGTAAGTTTAACTATGTATGTAAAGATTACACAAAATATGAATGATTTCATCATTTGCAGCATTTGCTTCTATTCTTTATAGCGAGATTCTCCGTGTGATTGACTCCCTCCAATTGACTGCTAAATACAAGGTTGCCACTCCGGTTGATTGGCAGGTATATCTGAAAATTCATCACATTTTCATTTGTTATTTCATTCAGTGTAAGTTCTTCCCATTTATTTTGTTTTGTCTTGTTTTAGCATGGTCAAAGGTAATGGTTGTCCCTTCTGTTAAACCAGAGGAATTCAAGACATTGTTCCCACAGGGTGTGGAAGTGGCCAAAGTTCCTTCTGGCAAAGGCTATATCCGAAAAACAGATGCACCAAAGTGATTTTAAACATTACATATTTACTGATGGTTTTTATCTGGCATACCTAATAATTGCCATAGAAATGTTACTGAATACACATACTCAAAAAAATGAACTGTGTTTTCATATTACATAAATAAAGTCAACTATCATAATGACTGGCCATGTTTTATTGTTGCAGTTTTCATATATAAATGCATGTATTTGTAGAACTTATGAAAATATCTATGGTGTTACTGTAGTGTGATGGAAAAGCACTGCCATATTTTGGATCACAACACATGTTAGTTGAGCAATCTCCCCCCCCCCTCCATTATATCTTACAGTAGAATACTGAAGACCCCCCTGTAATTTACTAACTGCAATCTCAAATTATCATTACTTAAATCAATAGAAGAAAACATTGGATCATACAGCTGAACACAAATCAACTTCAAAGTTGTTTACCTAACCCAAATGTTTATCAAACCCTTTTTATTTGTACAAATCTATAAATACTCGTAAAACTAAAAATACAATGTGTGAACAAGAGACTGATTCAAGGTAATTAGGGTGTAAAATATTTACAATGATTTAGACAATGTTTATAAAAAATATGAAAGATTTAAGGCTGTATAAGATCTGGTATCAAAAAAATGTCTCAAGTTTATCCATCCATCAGAACCCCCCCTCTCAAGTTAAAATTTAATGTACACCATAGCTCATTCATTAGAGCTTATTAGAGCAATGGTGATGTCAAGAATGACTCTTATTTTCATAATAATCCTGAGGTTTCAAATGTACAAACATAGCACTTTGCAATACAATAAAATATTGTGCTTTACTTCTTAACCTTACGAAGAAGAAAATTTAATGCTACTTCTCTACTGTTTACCACAACTGCATAGTAGACATTTGCTTCTTTTGTGATTACCACTTCATCTACAAGGAAAATTTAAAAATCCCAAAATAAATTTTCAAGTATTATTAGTTAAGCAGTAAGATTTGCAAGTGCTTAAATAAAGTAGAATTGGCATTTGAGGTGATAGTGTGACTAAATATTCATGTCTTTAACGGCATTCTCTTTCATTGATGGTAAAAAATGATGTAGGTTTAAGGCAAAGTCTTCTTTAAACCTTATTATTGAGTTAGTAGCATGTGTACATGAAAGTTTTATCACTAGCATTTGCTATAATCACCAGCATTTGCTATCCCAATGCTATTGCAACTGACCCTCTCTGCTCTTTCAACTGTGGTACCACTATTTCAACTGTATTTTAACTTTTACACAAAATAAACAGTGTTTCATTGATCATTTGCTAGTCTAACTACAACAATTAATAAAAACAATTTGTATTGCATTTTTGCAAAAATGATGAAAAAACATATACATACTTCCATTTGATAACACTTGAACAAGATTGTAATTTTCAGCTTCTTTGACATCCATATTGTGTTTCATCAAACAAGACTTGATCACGGCACTAGTTTTCTCACCCTCAGTAACCTTAATGTGAACATGAGATCAGTGAGTATCTTATCTACTTAATAAAAATTGTGTGTGTGATTTGGAGCTTTGGGAAAAGAAAAGTCAAGAAGAAAACACATGTAAAAATAGAAATGTAGAAAAGAGTATAAACTTCATGCTAAGGTTCGAATTGTCACATTAAAGTTGAAAATGACACGCTAAATTTGGAAACGACACATTCAGGTTGGAATTTTCACGTATATAATACAATTATTTGTCAAAAGAATTGTGAGACATGTTGAGATCATCACAGAAAAACAACTGAAGAGTTCTAAGGGGGGTACATTGTTCTACATGATGATCGAGAGCTGCAAGACTTTCCTTTAAAACACAATTTATTAACAGTGTGCTTGTCGAGAACACAAACGCCAACTTACCCAAACACTTTTGTACATATTACAATCATTCTTATTTTCTATCGATACACGAACAATGTGACCACTACCACACGTCCGCAAACATCCTTCAGACTGAACTGACGTACCGGAATCCTGCCGTTTGTGACCTCTCTGACTGGATTCGAGCGATTCATTTCCTTTAAACGAGCCTACTTTTGCAAGGTCAGTCTCGCTCTTCATTTTCCTGAGGGAGAAATAGTGGGAACAGCTTTACATAACTGAACTAGTTTGTCATCGTCGTTGTCGGTATGGCATGTTGTATAGGAAAAGTCTGTCGCTGAAAGGTGTAGGTTAAAGCGTTAAATGGAATGAAAAAGTGTCAAGATATAAGGTAAGGTATACAGTGGTCAAAAATACAGTCTTTATTGTGCAAGTACAAGTTACGTTGACTATAATGAAATAGTGTAAATTAGTTGAAATGTTCAGCAGTTCTAACAAACTCAAGTTCAAATGTCCAACTTTACATTTAATATTCCATCTTACAAAAGTGGTGAGAAAAAAACGTCATCAACGTTTTTCGACATTAAAACAAAACCAACACATTCATTCACAACAGAGATTGATAACGAGGCTATATTCGCTTCCTAATAATTCGTTCATGCAGTGACGTAGCCAGTCTGCAAGTTTGGTCGTGCTATGCAAAGTTCATTATAATAGCACGACTAAACTTGCGCCCCGGCCACGCACGCCACTACGTCATGTAAAGCTAAACGTTTGAACCAACATGTTCTTGCATTTGAGTCTCGATCTTTTTCGTTAAAGTAATTTTTTTACTCCAAATATCAACCTCTATTACTACAATTCTCCGTATAAAAATCAGCACAAATATAGTTCGAGGTTCGAACCATACTTTAATACCTTGATCGAAAGAGAGACGTTTGTCTTTTATGGAAAGAACCCGATTCCAAGCTACAAGAAAGCGCGAAGCTAAAAAAAATATAAAAACATCATTATCCTCTTCAACTTTCAAGTGCAACAAACGTCAAAATTCTTCAACGGAACAATGAAGTATATTGATCCTTTTTACTCACTACTCGCCGTCGTTTAGCGTTTCCAATGAGTCGAACCATTGATGAAATCGTTCATCCCTGGATATGCTATAGTTCTTGGCTGCTTCTTGAAATAGTCTAATCTGAGCGATGATTTCGAATTCCTATAAACATATCACATTGCACTTTAATAATATAGTGTATTTTGAGAAATTTCTAAGGGTGTTAAAATAAAACATACCTTTTGACGCTTTTCGAAGTTTATAAGATTTCCCTACAATAAGACAAACAAAAGTTAAACAAACAATTATTCACTGAGTTATTTTCATATATAAAGCTAGCATGTCTGAAGTGTAATCAAATCGTACGTATATGATAAACAGCACAAATATTGTATGTATGATAAAATATTGATTATATCTAATAACCAACACTAACATCCACCATCTCTAATAACCAACACTAACATCCACCATCTCTAATAACCAACACTAACATCCACCATCTCTGATAACTAACACTGACATCCACCATCTCTGATAACCAACAGCAACATCCATCATATCCAATAACCACCACTAACATCCATCATCTCTGATGACCAACACTAACATCCACCATATCTAATAACCAACACTGACATCCACCATCTCCGATGACCAACACCAACATCCATCATATCTAATAACCAATGCTTAACATCTGCTATATCCAATAACCAAAACTAAAATCCACCATATCTAATAACCAACGCTTACACCCACCATCACTGATAACCAACACCTACCATATTTGATGACCAACACCAACATCCACCATACCTAATAATCAACACTAAAATCCACCATACCTAATAATCAACACTAAATCCACCATATCTAATAATCAACACTAAAATCCACCATATCTAATAATCAACACTAAAATCCACCATATTTAATAATCAACACTAAAATCCACCATATCTAATAATCAACACTAAAATCCACCATATCTAATAATCAACACTAAAATCCACCATATCTAATAATCAACACTAAAATCCACCATATTTAATAATCAACACTAAAATCCACCATATCTAATAATCAACACTAAAATCCACCATATCTAATAATCAACACTAAAATCCACCATATTTAATAATCAACACTAAAATCCACCATATCTAATAATCAACACTAAAATCCACCATATCTAATAATCAACACTAAAATCCACCATATCTAATAATCAACACTAAAATCCACCATATTTAATAATCAACACCAACATCCACCATACCTAATAATCAACACGAAAATCCACCATATCAAATAATCAACACTAAAAAAATCTACAATATCCAATAACCAAAACTAAAATCCACCATATCGGATAACCCACACCAACAATATCCAAATACCAACACTTACATCAATCTTATCAGGATAAGCTGTATCAATCATCATGAGATCGGTAAGAAACGTCCCTAAATATGGCACAGTGCCACTAATGACGCCCTACAAAATATGAACGTAAAATGCTTTGAAACAAAGATGAAATTAACGTAAAATGTCCCCCAATTGATGTTTGCTCAAATTTGTAACAAATGTTTTAAAAAATAATATGAAAAAAGTCTCCTGTCTAACTACAAATTCTACTGCCGATGTATGGGCTCCTGGAATATGATTTCCCTTTTCTAATGCATAGGGCACGCTGAATAAAATCTCCCCTCTGGAACTGTTTTTGACAAAGTCCAATCCTAATTTTTCAATTTTCGCAGAAACGCCTAAATGCCGGAAAAAGCACATTCTTTTGTTGTCCTATACATTGAATGAATGCTTACTTACATTATTGGGTTGTCGATGACTTGAGCCTTTTCGTAATAAGGACGATTTTTTCTTCAATTCAGGGTGTTTTGCCGTACCTTCCTAAGAACAAACAATTTCATCAATAAGAAAATATCGACAACCATATAATAAACAGATAATAAAATGTGACAAACCCTCTTTAATAGCTCTCTACCGATGTGCTGATTGCTATCTTCCGAGACTAAAGCGGCTAGCTCTTCAAATAAAGTCTGATGATTTCTAAAAAAAGTTCTTCTAATAATCGTAAAAGATACATGCGCCATGCATCTTGCATCAACATATAGTACCTTGAAATTTCTGCCCATGTTTTTTTCAGGCGAAATATGGGAGTGGATTGGAGTGCGGACAATATTGATTTTAAAGAAGAAAAGTTCTTTAGATCCCTACATTCCTAGTATAAAAAAAAGTAAGGAATTTGAATGAAATATTATTGACAATGTAAAAGACAGTGAAATTGGTATATAAAAAAATGTTTACTGTTTAAAGAAAGGGAAAAAAACAACAGATGACTTTAAAGAAAAACAAGTTTTCTGGTATTGCACGGGTGAGTCTTCATGTTGAAAATATGGCATGACTGCTCTTTGAACAAGGTTTCTTTGCAAGAAAAATAAGCTCCTAAAATGAGCTAGTATTATTTACCTGAGCAATCGCGATCCAAGCTTCTAATATTCTCGCCCGTCCGCGAATGTTAGGACTGCCCTTACCATCGCCAAAGAGAATAGTTGTCGTCACCCTTCTCAAAACAGCATTAAACTGATTCACCGTAGCTTTGACACTTGATGACCACGTCTTGTTCTCGTTCTTATCACGCCTCGACCAAACGCAACCAACACACTCCCGAGGTTTGACTGCTTTGAATAATTCCTACGAATGGAAGAAAACTTTCAAGTGAAGTACGTACATATAAATAGATAACTCGTGGTTGTTTTTACTATGAAAACAAGGGGCTTTAAAAAGAATCACGTGAGCATTTTTAAGGAAAACATTGCTCTAAAAGATAACTAGAAACGGGGAAAATACAACACGAAATGAAAAGCAAAAAAGAAACTATAATTAGCTTACAGCATCAATTAATGTTAATTGTTCCGCAATCTTCACTGGTTCACGTTCAAAAAGTGTTTTCAATTCAGATAATGGTACACTTTTTTCACTCTGGCCATCGACCTTGTCTTCCACACGAGAATAACACATATCTACAACAACATGAGAGTTACATGTACCTACAAAAACACGACAGTTACATGTATCTACAACAACATGAAAGTTGCATGTATCTACAACAACAAGAAAGTTACATATATCTACAACAACAAGAAAGTTACATGTATCTGTACAACAACAATACAAAACAAATTTTTTAAAGATGCCCTGCATTTTGCAACAAAAATACAAGTCACAAATACAAAGAACAACATAATAAGAAATCACTTACGGTTTAGTTGAGGTTTGTCCAACAGCTGCTCAATCTTACGCAATAGCTCTTTAGAGTGTGTCAACTTAAGCTCACTCTTGGCAAATGTCTGCAGTTGCTTCAATAATGAATTGTCACCATCTGTTTTAAAATCACCAGGAAAATTTTCGATCCACACAAGAAAAACATTGACAATCATCCTTGAGAAAAAGTAACATTGGCATGGTGTAAAAATGCTATCAGACTACACTAAATATAACAGAGTAACTGAAAATCTTACACAGAACTTACAGATTTAATGTTTACACATAACTTTGAGTGATGCAAAAAAAACAACAAAAATATTTCATTAACTTTACTTTTAATGTCTAAAATTGTTTATACTACTATATAACAGAACTAAGTGCCATTTACGTAATTCACTAAACCTAGTGTTTACATGACCAACTCTTTGAACAAACCAATGTTAATCAATCTATTAATACATTATCTACATGTGAAGTAAATTAGAATTTTAGCAATTTGGAAAACCTGGTTCACCATCGAGTACGTAGTGATTTTCAGTGGCATAGCCAGCTTGTAGCGTGTATATTTACTATTTCTGCTATGTAAATTCTGAAAAAGTTTTTCATTATTCATTTCTTCAGAAATATTTTATTCTCAAGATTTAGTGAACACAAAAATATTTGCACAGCGGAAGTTAAATTCAGGCTGGCTACGCTAATGTTGACATTCATACACCTACCTCGAGAAGCTGTCAAAATCAATGGATAAATTCTTCTTTTTCACCATCCTAAACCTAGTCAAAGAAACAAGATTAGGCCCTGTGAAGCCAAAAGCATTTTTCTACTCCTTAATAAGCTGTATGATAAAATAATATCATTTGAGTCCAGTTTCTATGCAGTTCTAATGAAAAACAGCAGGTGACATTTGTTATACATCATTTACATACAAAACACTCATGGTTGAATGAATAAAAAAAGAACAGAAGCAAACACAAAAAAATTTGTATGGTTACCTAGAACTACGAAGTTACAACATAGAGCTGTTAGTTCTATACTGTGATACCTATTCATTGGAATGTATATAACTGCAAGGGGTGTAATAAAAGCTGCATTACCTTTCAATCAACAAAAAAAAACAACTTTGTCACTTGAACAAAATGTCTGATGCATGGTAAGAAAGACTGTTAGAAAGCGAGTGTCAATTTCATCATCTTCATCATCAGCTGGTACCAAATACTCAATCAACTTTGTCATGGTTCCAGCTTTGATTGTTCGTCGCTTTTGGGTTTCCCATTCCAAGTGGGATACAAGCTGATCATTTCCAGGAACTTTGTTAGTAGTATGATAACGTACTTTCTTCAATATAACATGGTAGATGGCACCATCTTCCTTCTCTTCGCCCCAGTCCCTCACCTGAAATAAAATTTTGGCAAAATTCACATTCAAGGTCAATTTGAAGGTCATACAAGGGCAGAGATCTCAGCAAGGAGGGAGAACAGACATTTTTTTCATATATTTTGTAGACACTTGCCTCCTTCCACAACAAAAAAAATTATCTGCCCACTGTACCTGAAAGCTTTAAAATTTCTTATTAATTTAAAAAATTTTCATTTATAATAAAAAGTCTGTTTGGCGTAGCAAACATCAATTGAAAATTCCCAAGGCTATATGAATAATTGAACGCGACATTCTACTTTTAATAAAGAGAAAAACGAGCAAAAATCAATTATTCAACAAACATGTGTAATTTACATATGTTGGTTTTGATTTACAAACTTGCAAGGGCACGATCACTTAACTGTGTTTTTGTGTTTACTTTTCAAATATTGCAATCACAACAAAATAGTTCATTTTATTATTTGTAACGATAAACAGTTTCAATAACAAAACATAAGTTACATAACTATACACAATGACTGGAATTTCAACATACGAAGAACACAAATAGAGAAAATACGCACACATTTACAAGCAAGGGAAGAGTTTTTAACAGTAATAGAACTTTCCCGGACTACGAATTCGGCAAGGTTGGGATGAAACACGATTTAATTTCCTCGAACAAACGGAAGAAGTTTGAGTTGAATAAAGTGGTTGCATAAATTACATAAACAAATACTCATTTCAACAAAAATACTTCGCAATATGCTGCCCTTTTTTTATGCTTAAGTCAAGTACATGTAACATATTTTCAATACCAACCTGGTTCTCGACGGCACTCAGCATGTTCTCCTCGCCATTACTTACTGGTCTTGCAATTTGACTTAACTATATTAAAGAAAAATGGTTGAAACAATCGAAGAAAAGACTTTCCCTCGTATATCGTTCAAGTTGCTTCTTACAACACAGAATGAATGCACACTTCTTTGCTGTAAAGAAGCAACAAAAAATAGGTAAACAAGCAACAAAATTTAGAAAAACCAATCGAATAGATAAGCTCTGTTTAAAGCTATATTGTTCAGCATGCCAGCACGAACAAATCAACCGTATAGATGCAAGTTAAATAAGCTCCAAGAAAAGCTAACGCTTTAATGGAAAAGTACCTGAATTTGCAATTCGACGAGCGTCAGGTAAAAACACGGTTCGAACTCAGCAAAGTGTGGCGTACAAACATGTTGCCTCCATTAAAAAATTTCGAAGTAAAACATTCATAGCTAGAACTTTCTAATTATACATACATTTATAAATATTAAAGAAATGTCGCAATTAATTTATCCCACAATGGGGGAATCGTCTTCCTCATAATTATTAATAAACTTAATTCGCTTCAAGACTAAGCTCTTTTGTTTTGGGAACATTTAACACGTTAAGAAATTACAACAACCCAGTTGCTAAGAATAACATTCGCACACAACAATATATAACAATATTTATGCTTAGCGCCATTAGGATAAAACTTAGCAAACGTGACAATTCGTGAAAACTGGACCGCGCGAAATTTGACACATATTAAAACAACATATGAATGAATGCTATGCCGCAAGCAGCGTAAATTTCCACTAAATCATTTCAAGTCAAAAAATGGTGACAGAGTTAATCAAGAAATAGCACAATTATCGTTTGTAGTAAGACATACCGTGATGCTGTCGGAACTGTTTCGCCATTGTTGTCGGCGAAGTTGTTCCAAATTCAACGACTGTCGATTTAAGAAGTTGAACGGCATATTCACGCAACGATACTCCAGTTCATCAAACGAAGCATACTCTCATTGACGCTGTCATTAAAAGTGGACGATTATTTCTCACGGAATACAACAGAACTGTCAAAAAGTATAAATGAAAATAAATCACAGAGGCTTGAGCACATATGTAGAGACATCCGCAAAAAGCACTTAATTTAAAATTTCGATACAATGGCTTCCCTCTTCCGGTAATTTTATCGAAGCGAGTTGTGAAATTGACAGTGCTTTAAGCAAATTACGTTAATATTAAAAATATTGAAGCAGGACCATGTAAAGGTTGAAATATTTTGTGACATTCCCAAGCCAATCAAACGGCAGAGGTTAGCATGTTTGTCATCATATACTTATGATAATCCATTATTTGGTTTAATCGTCTAAAATGGAATCTGCATTCGAAACTGAAAATCTGACGAGTCAATACATAACGTCATGATTTCGATAATCTGCTGGGAAATCCGCAAAGTGGTAAACATCATTCAAGTAAGTTAAAAAGAATTCAAGAATCACAAAACATAGAATGCAAATAGCAACCAAAATAATCTTGAAGACTTCAATATAACTTTGACAAAAACTGTTTGCAAATACCTAGGCCGAAACACCAAACCATTATCTAGCAAAGGTTGAAATATATTGTGCTTCCAATATCGAAACCGTATTTCCGTTTCCCAGTAACCTCTTCATTGAGTTCCTTCGCTCGCTGACACGAAAACTCGTTTGCAATATGGAAGTCATTGTACTTTATGGAAATGTACCTGAATTAGTGGGCTGCGAAAAGTCATGCAAGACGCAATACTCACTTTGCCATTCAAAATCGTTCGAATCTAATTAGAGCCTCAATTGTTTCTAATAAAATACTGTGGCTTTTTTTTTTTTAAAGTGTGATTATCCCAAATCATCCCACCTTCACTCTTGGCCTCTTCTCCGCGAACCTCGTCATTCACAATCATTGCAATAAAAAATAACTGATTTATTATTTACTACAAACGTCGCTAGTAAACAGTCAGAAACGGCATTTGAACTTTGTGAATTGGAGTAAGGTCAAACACGACCGAAGATCGCTTCAATGAATGCAGTAAATGTTGCAAGTCATACTATAGCATTGATATTACCGACCTAGATACAGTAAAAAATATATACAAAAATATTTGCGTTATATGATTTATCTCCAAAAGTTAATAGCTGTCAAATACAAACCTGAAATGTTCTCTCAAAGGAAAGTAGGAAACCATGTTTAGCGTCGAGCCGATGCCTGATTTCATAAAGAAATAAAAAAATCAAAGCGTAGCAATATTACGACAATACCAACACTCTTTTAACAATTTACTTTTTTATGCAAAGACGACATTGAAAACTATGACAGCAATAGGAACTTTTTAACAAAGGGCAATCACAGATGGCCACAAGTTATTAATCGGATTACTGTATCCAACCATAGTATCAGATTTCAAATCACATCGTCAAGTCTAAACAAGAACGCCACATTGCTAAAGATAGGGAAGGTATTATGCAACTGACAAAAACATGTTTGTAAATGATGATCGTCCAGGTTAATAAAGTCCTGAGAAGGACTGTTTTTGTTGTTGTTGACTGACGTTTCGACAACCTTAGCGGTAGTCATCTTCAGAGTCAAATGAGGAGTAAACGTCAGGTTAGCCGCATTTGTTGTCTGGTTCTTACGTCATTGTATTATCAAAAACATGTTGAGGCAGGCATTTCAGGAACGCTGATACAAGCGATAAGATCATAATTGTAAAGTATGTAATTGAGAGAGGGGTTGTTTTTCTTCATTGGCAAAACACATTTGCATGTTTTGGGCGATAGACAACTCACGCGAGCTTGTCAAAAGAGTTCGTTTGAGAATGTGAGACACGTTTCCATGGCAATCCTTTATGAGGCTCACTTTGCTCGCCTAGATGAAAGGATCGTGGGCATGTTTAACAAGGGGAGATTTAGAGACAAAAAATGAACTGAACGTTTTATACATCGAAATTATCAACTTCAAATAAAAAATCGCGTGGACAACATTTTCTCTTGCTCAAACATACATTAAATATAATTCACGAAATTAAATATATGGCTTTGATAAAGAGTACATTAAGTACAGCCTTAAGTGTCATAAAACCTTTGATAGTTCATGAAAGAAGCATAGTCATAGTTTCCTGGTCTGTGTACAAAACGGGTGTCGAAAATTCTTCGCAGACATGGCCATTAGCTTGACTGAACACATCAAAAGGGGGACAACTTGCCATCGTAGGGGGAGTATTTGCTATCGTAGGAGGAAACCTTGCCATAGTAGATCGTAGGGGGAGTATTTGCCATCGTAGGAGGAAACCTTGCCATCGTAGGGGAGTATTTGCCATCGTAGGAGGAAACCTTGCCATTGTAGGGGGAGTATTTGCCATCGTAGGAAGAAACCTTGCCATCGTAGGGGGAGTATTTGCCATCGTAGGAAGAAACCTTGCCATCGTAGGGGGAGTATTTGCCATCGTAGGAAGAAACCTTGCCATCGTAGGGGGAGTATTTGCCATCGTAGGAAGAAACCTTGCCATTGTAGGGGGACAACTTGCTATCGTAGGGGTAGGTATTTACCATCGTAAGAGGAAACCTTGCCATCGAAAGAGCAAAACTCGTATCATGAGCAAAACTCGTATGAGAAGCAAAACTCGTATGAGAAGCAAAACACGTATGATTGTCATGAACATTCTGTATTTCTGACGCGTTGTGGGTTCCAAAATCAGGTATTTCGGAAATCTGAAATGGCTCATCCATATGAGATAATCTTGGACGGGTTGATTGATGGTCAGACATGACACCATTCTGTGATTGGCCAAAGATGATGTCATCCAACATGGCGTAAATGGAAGGAAGCGTTTGCTCTTCGGACGAAACACTTGTTGTTCCTGAACTGTTTTGTGATGGAATTGTTGAAATACCCAAGGGAATTGAAGTGATGGGAAGGCCTTCATAGCGTCATGACTTTAACTGACGTTCTTCCCTTGTGTTAGAAGGGTCGTTGTCTGCATCGATGAATGTGGCTTCATTAGAGCATTCGTCATAGTCTCTTTCTCTCATCCTATATAGGATAGCAATCAAAGACAACTAAATAAAACTGAAGAAAGATGCTTCATTACTTATTTATAGCTTAAAACTACTTAAAGGATGAGTATCAGAGTCATGCGCTTGATTGGCCATTTTAAGGAACCCCGAAAATGGCGACTATGATATATTTGATTTATATACATAAGTACAGCATATAAATACGGCGTGAATACCGTAGCAGCAGTCAAACTATCAACCATAAATGCCTCTTATAAATAAATATGATCACAGAAGTCACTAAACGAAACAAAACCTGAACTGAATACTCATTGGATTGCTTATCCCGAGAAAGTACACGAAGATTCCAGTATATGAAAACATAAGCATTAAGCGTGCAAAGCATAACCCTGATACTCATTCTTTAACTTTTGTGTATAAACTCGCAGTTATTATTAGCATCAATTAGAAATACAAAAATGAGTATTAAAGGGTCGAACGAAGAGGTACTAATAGTGACTAAAACCGAAGTATTCTATGTTGAAAAGTATGTTTTCTGACCAATGAAAAACAAGAACCGGACAATTTGAAATAATTTTCTTGATTTTGAAATCATTTTATAGTTCACTTGGCCGCCATTGTAAAGCATAAATTTGTTAAACTTTATGTCATTTAACGTAAACAACACTCCACGCAATTTCCACGAAAGTTAACTACGCAATTACTTAACTATCCAACAAACTACGTTTTCTGCAACGCAGTTAAGCCGAGCAGTTAAGTTACTACAGTTAAGGAGTTAACTACAGTAGTTAGCGTTAACTGTAGTTAAAGTTTACTACATTTTTATACAACCGGCCCCAGGTCTTATAGAACTCAATGACTCCAAATCGATTTGACGATCTGACGTCAAAATAATTTCCGCTGACGCTTTCTGTGCCCACGCTGCTAAACCTCAAAACAGCTCAAATAGCGCACTTAAAGACGCGATTATGTCAAAAATAAAATTGCTGATATCAAAATTTAAAATATAGTAACCTTTGCATAAAAAATGGAACTTTTAACACCAACATTATGTGAAGGTGGAGTTCCCCTTTAAGCGTGCAAAGCATAACCCTGATACTCATTCTTTAACTTTTGTGTATAAACTCGTAGTTATTTTTAGCATCAATTAGAAATACAAAAATGAGTATTAAAGGGTCGAACGATGAGGTACTAATAGTGACTAAAACCGAAGTATTCTATGTTGAAAAGTATGTTTTTTGATCAATGAAAAACAAGAACATGACAATTTGCAATAATTTCCACCTAGCTCTTTTCTTCTTCTCTCTTTGTTTTGTTTGCTATCCTAAAGGCAGTCGAAGATGGATTTGTGTCGATTTTCAATTGAGCAAGATTGTCATTCTTGTAACCGGTAACAGCAATAAATATTCGGTCAACGGAAACTTGACGTTGATTAAATGCAGTTGACAACACTCGCCACAAATTTTAAGTCTCCTAATCTCGACAGCAATTTTGTGCTTATGGAACGTTGAAAGTTGGATCTAAAAAACATTAAAAAAAAAATCACACACCAGTTTCAAAGATCTCGGGGAGCGATTACAGGAAACTCGTTTATTTTCAAAGTCACCCTTACAAATTCAAGGATACCACATACATAGTAAAACATAATAGTTAATTTAAACTAAAATATCATTTAGTTCTCAATTATTATTTATGTAGTATCATTTAGTATCATTTAATGGTCAATACAAAGAACAAAGTATAAAGAACGAGGCATATTATATAAGTGGAAGTGAGTGGACGGGTATTCTATAATCTAGCTCAATTTTTACAAAAGAATTCGCAACATCCTTCAGCACCTTAAAATTCTCCATTTTTTCCAATCTATTTGTTAGACGTATGTCGTCGAAAGATACAGACTTGTCAGTCTATGTGCATCCGAAATCACCTTTCGTTGGAAAGTTTCCAACGAAAGGTGATTTCGGATGCACATGGACACGGTTCAACTTCATCGTGCGATCGTCACGACGTTTATTTTGAGAAAACCATTCTTTCTTTGTTGAAGAAAAACGATACTCGTACGCATCGACGTTCTCGAAGTAAACAGCTACACTGTACAACACGTCTGGCTCCAAACCATCAATCTTGATCGAAAAGATAGGAAACATAGGCCTATAAAATTTGAACAAGTTAAAAAAACGTTGGCTTTGATGGTGGCTTTGTAACGTACGGAAAACTTTAGCTCATTATTTCTAAAAGTAAAGGCGTGACGAATTGGCATCAGAAACAAATTTAGCACCATACAACGCTACGTTTTTGTGTGGGACAAATACATATAGTGTAATTATCTGTCCTGGCAATTAATAATATGTACGATCTACATCTACAAACTTGTAATGAGTAAATTGACAAATCTTTTAGCGTGAATAACCTTATTGAAGGAAGCGTCCTTATGGAGGACGAAACTACATCTTAGTGTACTTGCTAAAACACAAGGATTTGTTGAATAGTATCAGCTCGTTTATTTAGTCGGATGTGATAAAAAGAAAGGCTGTTTAAAAAAATTGACGTTTGAAAATCTTATTCAAAACAATAACAGAAAGCAAGTTTACAGACCTTCCAGTGTTTGAAATTTTCATTTCTTGAGTCACACGATGAAAATTACTCCACAGTTCCTTGTCTTTTAGGTCGATACTATGATCCTTGAAATATTTCACGTTGCAAAAACCATTAACAACCATCTGACTTTAGATAAGTGCAAGGCGAGGGTTTATACAGCACTCTGTCGCTTTGTCTTCACAAGACGATGCCATTTTTTTGATGGACATAAACGACGGAATTATTATATATATACGATTCTCAAGAATAACGAACAGAGAGAAACGGACCTCTACATCACTCTAGTGTGCAACCTGGTGCTGTATGTATAAGGTTAATAGCTTCGGCTAGCCCCTAAACGCTCCAATTGGTCAGGAAGCGCATTTCATTGGCTGTCACTAGGCTAATAACATGCGTAGTAAGATATGCGCTTAACATAAAATTTCTTAATATGGGCGCACGTAACGGAAGTTGCTCTCAAATTGCATAAAGTGAAATGAGTTATGAGATTCGAGATTTATTGCCGCTATGAATAAGAAACAGACGACAAAATCGAGTCGAAAGATTTCGTAAACATCTATCGAATTCTAAGTTGAAAATGGCATCATGAGATGTTGAAACATGTTTATTTTAAAAAAACTTGTCGTTTTTGTTAAATGCGCAAGAATTCTTAATGAATGAAGTTTCGCTTCACTTGTTCCAAAGGAAAGATAAGATCCAAAGGTCTCAGATTTCGTCGTTCGAAAATGTCACCTGGATGAAAACGCATCACAATCGTATAAATTTACTGAAAAAAGTCCAGCCGAATCCAAGGAAAGATAAAATACTCTCGTAATATAACAAAAAACAAGAAAACATTTGGACCATTAATGAAGACAAAATTTTTCATTCATTTTACAACATATTTCAATGTTGACATCATTCCTAAAGGAATGTTCGTTAATCCCTCCAAACAAATTTCATTGTTTGCAAACAGGAAGAAACGCTTTCGTTTTGAATTATTGTAATCCAATAGCCATGTGTTACTGGACATACCTCACGTTATTAAAACACGGAATCAGTTTGAAATCCATTTGAAAAAAAAATTCCATGCAAAAATTGCTTTGCTATAAAAGCTTCAAGAAAGAGAATGAAAAATTGGCGAAATTCCCGAGATCACAATATCGTCAGTGATATTGAAACTGGGCGTTTTTATGCATTAAAGTGCCTACGAAACGAAAATTTTGCTATCTGAGTTACACTTTCATTGAAGAGATATTTCAAAATGACAATGCACGACTTTCTATAACAATTTAAGCATGCCACTTTTCATTCCCGAGATACTGAGGTCGTCCATTGTCACTTCAGATTTATATGACCTGTGATTTTCACATTGTAAAATGAGAACTAGAAGTATTTAAAGCCCGTTCATACGATCGGATTTGTCGGACCCGATGGATTCGGTTCCGATTTTTAGTTGCTTGTTCAGACGGCCCAATAATTGTGTTGATATTTATATTCGTTTACATATTTATAGCAGTGAGAACAGCCATTTGTTAAAAAACTGAATACTGTAAAAATACCCGACAACTAAGTACTAGTGTCTTTTGACGTGAAATCACTGTTGACCAGTATTCCACTTAATCTTGAACTTACTTGTCTAAAAACCCTCATTACAAACACCACAGACGTAAAAGATTGTGACAAAAACAACTATAAATCTGACTTCATCAAACGCAACACTTATAAACACAATGAACCCAACGAAAGGAACAACTCAACAACAAAAGCAACGATACCTTACATCAAAGGTACGTCTGAGAGTATCTCGCGTATCTTACGACCATACAACATACGTGTTGCACATAAACCATGCAACATACGTGTTGCACATAAACCATGCAACATACGTGTTCTATTTCCATCCGATTTCTTAGATTAACGGATCCGACTGTCGGAGCTCTCTTTATATGTGTTCACACGAACCGTTTTTTAGGATCCGACAAAATCGGATTGTTCATGGCAAATTTGCAGATACGTTACTTTAATCGGTAATAGTTCATGGTATAAGATCCAGCCTACTAATATCAACCTTGAGTTCTCAGTAAATTGAGTATTTGAAACGTTATGGCCACTCAATACGAAATATGACGTCACAAGTTTATAGATGAAGATCGTCCAGGTTAGTAGAGTCCTGAGAAGGACTGTTGTTGTTGTTGTTGACTGACGTTTCGACAACATTGGCGGTAGTCATCTTCAGAGTCAAGATTGTCGAAACGTCAGTCAACATCAACACCAACAGTCCTTCTCTATACTCTACCAACCTGGACGATCTACATCTACAAACATGTAACGATACTCCATGGTTCAAACTATTTACTTTATGACGTTACAAGTTAGATAAATTGGAAATAACAAAAACTTCAATATCTCGAGAATAAAAGACAAGAGACTAGGGTTCAAGAACAAGCATGAGGAAATACTACTATAGGTTATAAGACAAGAGACTTGGGTTTCAAGAACAAGCATGAGGAAATACTACTATGGGTTATAGGACAAGAAATTTGAGGTTCAAGAACAAGAATGTGGAAATACTACTATGGGTTATAGGACAAGAGACTTGGGGTTCAAGAACAAGCATGAGGAAATACTACTATAGGTTATAAGATAAGAGACTAGGCGTTCAAGAACAAGTATGAGGAAATACTACTATAGGTTATAAGACAAGAGACTAGGGGTTCAAGAACAAGCATGAGGAAATACTACTATGGGTTAAAGGACAAGAGACTCGGGGTTCAAGAACAAGCATGAGGAAATACTACTATGGGTCTTAGGATAAGAGACTAGGGGTTCAAGAACAAGCATGAGGAAATACTACTATGGGTTATAAGACAAGAGACTAGGGGTTCAAGAACAAGCATGAGGAAATACTACTATGGGTTATAAGACAAGAGACTAGGGGTTCAAGAACAAGCATGAGGAAATACTACTATGGGTTATAGGACAAGAGACTGGGGTTCAAGAACAAGCATTGTGAAAAATTGTGAAAAATGTTTCTTATGATTTGGAGTTTAAAACCTGTCTTTTCCCACAAATATTAAACCAGGGACGAGCCCCCTGCTCCACCCAACACTTCTACTAATCTCTCTGCGAAACTGCAATCGTAAAAAAAGCAAGTCTCTTCTGTGTTTTCTTGAAATCAAAAGAATAAAACAATACATCTGTAGATCATTTTAAAAAGACATTTCTAAGATAGAGAGCAAAAAACCTGGCTGAAATTGTGTCGCTGCTCATGAGATAAGACAAAGAAATTCAAACATTCATGATACGAATTCAAAGACTAAAAACTCTGACCAAAAAGGAAGAATTAAAGAAAGTGTTGGACATATTTATAAAAAAATGGTTAAAAAATGTTGGCATCTCAACTCCCCCGAAGTTTAATACTTTTAAAATCAAATTCTAGACTTTATGTTGCAACTTATCCAAACATGAAAAAAAAGGGGGAAGGGGGATCATTAACATACTTCATTATTTTTGTTTCTCGTAACAGAAGAAAGAATAAAGCAAAACATATTTAGTAATTTTGATGACAAAAGATAGTTTTTAAAATAAATATTGAAGAGTTTAAGAGGTCGCATGTGTTGAAAGAACATTCTATGTTCATTTCAATTTTGTGTTTCCATAAAGAATTTGCCCTTGCAGGATCAAATGTTCTTCATGCGTTCAATTTGGACGTTTCAAATAAAATTCTATATGCAACTCGCCGTTATGTCATATGACTTAGACTCTATCTAACAGAATTTAATGAGCGAATTAGTCTGCCTATCGCAACACGAAGAAAGTGTTTGCGCAGTTGCGGAGTATTACAACTCAGTAGTGGATCCAGCATTTGTCAAAATAATACATATCTCCTTCATTTTCAATTAAAAATACATTTTCCTATAATTTCACCATTAGATTTGCCTCTAGGGAGCTTAGGCCTGTTTTATACGTCACATTTTACATTAGTCGAATGCAATCAAAACAAAAGGTAAGGAAATTTATCTTATTTTCTTTTGTATCTAATGCATTTGACGTATGTAAAATGCGACGTATAAAAAAGGCCTTAGAAATGGTAATGATACTATTGATATATGCCAAAAGGTGGTGTCGTAATTTATTTTCACTTAGCCTAGATCCACCACTGCTACCAGGGGAGGATCCAAGAATTTTCGTGCGTTAGTCACAAATTTCGTGACGTACAAATATTGCGAAATATTGCGTCATTGATGACGCCATACTTAAAAAAATGTTATTATAATAAGTCTTGGCTACATCAGTCCAGCACTTGCCAGTTTTGCAGTTTAAAATGATGAAACTAAAGAACTGCTCTGCTCAACATGCCGGCACATCAGTATGTAATTTATCAAGTAAAATCTATGTAATGTACAATACTATATGCCATGCACAGCCCATAAAAATTAAAAATAATCTCTTGGTTGTGGTGTAAGAGAATTATATCCTGACGTTTCTTTTATCAAGATAATTTCTTGGCTTAGAAAGACTGAATCAAACTTAACAAAAAATAACATGAATCATAGTTGCTTACACCTTTCACAAACTTTTCCCCAAACAATTTAAGCAATGCAAAAAAACAATAAGTAAATATAAGAACTTCAACAACATAAAATGCTGTCAAGGCAAATATCTAATTTATCAAGGAAGTGGTGAACACTGTCAGGTTCATTTCAATCAAAGATTTGCTCACAAGCAACTATAATTGGTCAAAATATAAGGACAACATAATCATATCGCTCATGCAAGATCAAAAATACTCAAAACGTACATCACAGAGCCTCTACAGTTAAGTTTACTTAAGTAATATAGACGAACGACGATAAAATTTAAACGAGTGTGTCTGTCATGCCGGCAAGTTTTTTTCTGCTACATAAATTTTAAAGCATTTACATTAGAAATCAATTTTTTTTTATTCACAGTTAGCGAGCACGACAATTATGTACAAACTGAAGGAAGATTAACTTAAAGAGTAAGCTACTCCATTATCAACAATACGTATACTATATAACAAACAATCTTTGAGAATTCTCCTCTTACTCTTAATAGTGCTCGTTCCTTGCTAAACAATATTGCCTTGCTGCGCCAGTGCAAAGAAGATTCAAAGATCCGCAAAGTTTAATTTCTCATCTAGAAAACTTTTTGAGTGTTACATAATGCATACATATTATCTTACATAAAGTACTATAGTTTGTGCTATCATATTCATAATTTGACTGACACCCCTGACTTTAGTAAGTCAGAACCTCGTTCAGATCAGTAAAAATCAATGGAATTTGCCTGTACCCGTGGAAATCCTATGGAAATAAGCAGTCGGACCAATCAGAGCCCTGAATTTTGCCTTTTTGGCTGACCAAGTTTACGGATGACAGCTGCCCTGTGACTTTGCTAAATTAAGTTTGATGGCTCAGCCAAAGCATATAATTAATTAATTATCACTGCGCATGCAACTGAATATTAAAATGTGCTCCATATTGTAATGGACTGGCTTGTTATTAAATACAACTGTGTGAAAATGTAACGGGAAATTTTTCAGTTTTCATTAACATTTTACAATTTTTACGTTAGTCGTTAGTCGTGTGACAGATTTGACGACCCCTACATCCGCCCGTGACTGCTACTACTATATTTGTGCAGGTAGTCTTTGTCCAACAAGTTTACATGTGTCATGCAGATTAATGATGACCTACTTCCAAACAAAACTTTAGAAAATAGACAAAATTATTTTACCTTACTTTGCTAACAGCAAGACTGAACTAATGGGTCTTAGTGCTCCATTTCGTTAGTGGTTACCAATTTGTAGCTACTATCTACAATCCTCAATAAATGTGTGTTTATTTTACTTTATTTCTTAATGCTTCTCTAAAATTAGATACATACAAAATGTCAAAACTAGTCAATATTACAGCTACAATTTATTATTCAATATTAAAAAAAGCCGAAGCCAAGCATAGTGCAATTGGCCTGTAAAAAATTATTCAATGTTTAATAATCCTTCACCTTTTTATTATACCTTGTGTCGCTTTTTTCAATCTCAATGTGTTTTGGAAGTGAAACATTTACTACCACAGCGTTTACTATTGAAAAAGGCCATGTAATTCGTATTGCTGTCGCTTATAGAACAATCACAACTTGTCGAGACCAAAGAACAAGAACGTCTGCAGCTTCTGAATGCTAGTAGGCAACACATTGAACAACTTGGGTTGATTTTATGGTTACAAAGTCGTGGAAGATTATACGCTGACGTCATTACCATGGTAACTGCGACAGTGGTGAGAAGGAAGAAATGGTATTTCCACATATTTGACATCTTCTTGCCAAATCTTCAGGGAAAGAAATCATCGAATGAAATCAGCTGTCGCCTTACATAATTTCAAATTAGACGGCATAATTTTATGCGAGTTTTGGGGAGGAAGAGGGTAGTATTTTGAAGAAATTAAACCATTCTTCTTTATCTAAGAATTTTATTTCTTCATTTACAAATGATTTGAGCACGCACTCACAGCGTTCATATCGCTGTGTTTTGTTTTTCTCTTAAATAAGGGAAAGGTATTTTTTGTCCAAATTTTATAGATATTTTTTGTTACATAGAACAATTTGTGTCCTTAAGCCTTCTATACTTTAACATCAATGCAATATTTACGCAACTTTCGGCGAAAAACGTTGGTTCGTCACCACGGAATTGAGGACAATAAACTGTTCTTTAATCTTTTAACTTAAATATTTTCGATTCATCTCAAAAGTACAACTTTCTGTAAACTTTCACAATACTCACCGCGTAAATGTAAACAAACACCAACAAATGCGTGTCCAATGCGTCAGTTAAATGCGATTCAAATGCGTCTCAAAAGAGTATGAAAGCGAAAGAAAATGCGTATCGAAACAGCTTTTACAGCCTCTATATATACTAAATATGCTATGAGATTAAATTTCAAGTTTCCTCATTCCCGAGATTTAAATATAGATCGTCCTTTAGCCACTACGTGCTTTAAACGTCCTATGCCTTGTGAACTTGCGTCAATTTTTCCTGTTTATCTACTTCACTTGTTTGTCATTTATTTATGATTTCCTAATCCTACTTTATACTGATAACCTTTATAACCTCTATGTTATTTTTGCCGAGATATGCTGTTTACCGAGCCGAGGACTCGAGCTCGGACTCATAATAAATCATTTGGTTTGATCGAACGATGAATCAACGTGCATATAGAGTATGGACTTACCTTGACTAACATATATACGAGGGTCTCATTGGGTTTACCGCCGACTAGCGACAACGAGGCTCATACGTCCCTTGAAAACCTCGAAAGCATTGGAAAGACCTTATTACTTTCAATTTTTCTATAAAACCTTTGACAATATTGTATGTCTTAATTAACAACCTAATAGGCACTGCTCTCAAATGCCATATTATTTTACTTGTCAAATACCAAATGATAATTTTCATACAGCACATAAGCTGATTTACTGTACACAGAATTTGTAGTAGATTAATAGTGTTACCTATTAAGGCTATTATTGAAGATTTACTAACATAGCATATCTTCTCTTCCTGTAGAAGTAAATTTATGAAAAAAAACTTGTCAAAACCCAGTATAAAATTTGGTTTGTCAATTACTTGAATGCGACATAATCTTTGTATATTTAGTAGTCGTATATTTTGTTAATACATATAGTCCCCATATATTTAAAACTCCGAGTAGCGACAGCAAATCTTGTCAATTTTATTTTATATTTATTTATATATCACGATAATTTGCGTCAATTATAAAAGTAATATAGTATAATTATTGAATAAATTTATATGTTTTGCCATTCTGACCTTGAGGGGGAATGAATTTCTATCATACTGTTCAATCAAATAACAGCAACATCATCACAATGAAACTCCAAAACTAAACTGTACTCCTAAATTTAATATTCTCAGTGATAGTAAACGTTAGGTTTATCGCTTTATCTTGGTTCGTTGTTCGTGAAGCACTCGTTCCTTTTTTCCCGAAGATATTGCAAAACTCGTACCAGACTCTCAGTAGAAACCTTATTTTGAAGTATGCTATCTAGCGATCACCATTTAGGTATCCTCATTTTTGCCATCACACAAACACATATAACGTACAAACATCACGTTTTACAACACCAAGAAAAAATCTTTTCATCTGATGAAGAAATTTTTTTGAATAAATTTCTTGGCTCACTACACTAATTATCATAATCAGGTAAGCGTTAACGCACATTGAACGTCACTGCTGTAATCTCAGGTAAATAGATAAATGTTTTGCAGGGACAGCTAAAAATCGATAAATGAGGTTGCAGGCTCATATTCATTTACATATATTATAATCCATAGTAGTCAATTGATTTCAAACGAATTTAATGCGAGACATCATGCATTTCTGAATATTAACTCCCCCCCAAGTTATCAATCTTCTGCGTTCTCTGGTAAGTTGTGCGTCGTTAAAGTGATAATGTTGGCGCTCTCAATTTTCATAGCATGCGTATCAACATCTTTGCTGTATTTTTTAGTTAATAAGAAGATTAGTCATGACTACTGCATGTCAGATGTAAAGTTTTTTTCTCTATGATTGGAACTCAACTTGTCGAACTACTCACTTCGATTGAATAAAATATTGAACATCGCAACCTGTTGTGTACAATATTTAGGGAATTTAGAAAAACATTTGTTCTTAACGACAAACTTTTGCGTGTTTCCTGATAATGATAACTTTAACGAATATACATTTTCATAACTTTTTGGTTATCTGACTAGAAGCTTGTAATTACAATCATCAAATAATCCACATGCTGTTATAACTATGTAGCTACTAAAGAATCTTTGTTAAAACTCAATTGTCTTTGCAATTTCATAGTTTTAATACATTGTGTACACAAAGATAATTCTCAAGTACAGGATTTGTATGTTTTTTATAAAGAGATTGCTTTAAAGAACAGTAATTGCAAACAATTATCATGTAGAATAAATGTGATTTTTTCAACTTCGAATGCCGGCCCCTGTGATGTCCTCCATTATTAGTTTATAAATACAACTTATAACGCATGCATTAAGCTCTTGTACGTAACTCGAAAACTGATGGAAATGCTTAATTTAATAGATTAAGTAATTTCTTGTTTTCATCATAAATTGGTCTCCAGCCAGAGTAGCTGTACGTGCAAATATTTTTACCAAATTTGGTCTGATGAGCTTAGACTCACTTAACAACTTTATAAATTGTTACAAAGTTCAAAACTAGGGGTTGAAGATCATTCAACTGAATCTGGTAAAAAGTTGCATAGCCAAATGATCCCACTGAATCCAACTCAATATTTTTTCTTCGAAAGAACCTATTTTCTGCTGTTTGCCGAGTTTAGGTGACGATGGCTGAAAACATGCGAATCAACAGAAAAATGCTTAATCAATATGATAATTTAATACTCAAGTGTTTCTAGACTCAACATTAGCTTTGTGATTTTGTAGACATTTAGGGTACGTCAAAGCAGCGTCAAATTATACTGAGTAAGTTAGATATAAAATGAATAGTTTTTCGAAAATTTCAAAGCGCCTCGATCAAATTGAATGCGAAAAGGAAACTCGCAACTATTGAGAGCAATTAGCTCAGGTTCTAGCTGTTAAAATCTGGTGTCGTCTTAGAAAACAATAAAAATGTTTTACATTCAATAAAGAATAATACAAAATTCGTTGTATAGTTGCCTTCTTTTAGTTAAGCAAAGAAAAGTTCGAATGAAGATATGATCTTCGCACTTTGCTGGACAATTTGCGAAGATCATATCTTCATTCAAACGGAGTTGAACATAGAAAACCTCCATTTTAACGATACTCCAGGGTTCAAACCATTTACTTCATGACGTTACAAGTTAGATAAATTGGAAATAACAAAAATTTCAATACCTCGAGAGTAAAAAGAGACATGCATAAATTGTTTTAGAAACTACGCTGTAATTTCAAAAGTTCTGGTCAATGCAAACATCATCTAACTCGCGAAATCTTTTTGTCATAGGCGCTTTAAGATGGATAATACGTCAGGACAACTTAATCCTTCCGAAAATTTCACATTTGATTTCAAATATGATATGATATGTGAAACCTTATGTGAAATTGAAACACTTCATGTACGAAATGTCTATTTCATACATGAAATCAAATGTGAAATTTTCGTATGGGAAGACGGAATTTTTTGATGACGAATTTTTCTGAAGAATAAAGACGATCATAAGACGAATTAACCGTCCAGACGACTTTAACTTTAAATTTGTCTTGACAGACGAATCAAAGACATTGAATAGATAATCTGGTGAAATTTCCGTCACCGCAAATTCACGATAGCTTCAGTCATGGTTTCAATTAAAAAAATTTGTAGACATAATCACGTACAGAACATTTCAGATTCATTTAGTCCATAAATTCCCAAGTGAGATAAACGCGCCAGAATACAATACAAAGCCTTCAAGGCATAAAGCAAAGTCCTTACTTTTTGTCTTATTGAAATGGGTAAGAGCAACCGCTGACCGGTTCTCCAAAGTAATGCGTTGACAAATCACACAACTAACAATCCATTTGAAAATTGTCTCGCGTCATGACTACAGAAATAGGATATAAAATATTACTTTAGTTTCATGGACACTTTAAGTAGAAGTGAAAGGTAAAAATGGGTACGCTATGCGTGGGGAGGGGTGGGTGGTTGGTTGCACATCCTTGTAGGCAATGGTCAACAGGAGAGCATGGAGGGATGCACATTGCAAAAAATAAAGTAAAAATCCATCTTACTTTTGGAAAAGTAATTTATTGACAATATCATTAAAGTTTTTTGACTGTCAATGTTATTTATTTTTATCAAAAATGTGTCAATAATATTTATTTTGTTGACCAAAATGGGAACTAGTATCCATTTTTATTAATGAGTACATTAATTAATAATTGATCTGTAACCACTGTACTTAACTTTTCACTAAGCCAAGCATCCCCCCCTAAAAAACCCTCTGATCCACCACTGATCTAAACCACAGCCTTCAGGAAACATTATTATGACTTATAAGATGACGAAATACTACTATGAGTTATAGGCCAAGAGACTAAGAGTTCAAGAACAAGCATAAGGAAATACTACTATAGTTTATAAGACAAAAGACTAGGGGTTCAAGAACAAGCATGAGGAAATACTACTATAGGTTATAAGACAAGAGACTTGGGGTTTAAGAACAAGCATGAGGAAATACTGCTATGGGTTATAAGACAAGAGACTAGGGTTCAAGAACAAGCATGAGGAAATACTACTATGGGTTATAAGCCAAGAGACTAGGGGTTCAAGAACAAGCATGAGGAAATACTACTATGGGTTATAAGACAAGAGACTAGGGTTCAAGAACAAGCATGAGGAAATACTACTATGGGTTTTAGGACAAGAGTTTTGGGGTTCAAGAACAAGCATGAGAAAATACTACTATGGGTTATAAGACAAGAGACTAGGGGTTCAAGAACAAGCACAATGACACTTGAAAAACAGACAACTAAAAAATTTCAGGTATTCAACAATATCTCTTGATGCCAGACACAAAAGCATCAAAATACCCACAAACCTTAAGAAAATATGTACTTTTGTTTACCTTAAATTTCTTGGCTTTAGGATTACTTTGATTCTTCATTTCTACTTCTTCGTGACTCCTTTTGAGATAATCTGTTGAGAAAGCATTCTTTTCAAGCTTAAGAGTTCCCTTAACAGTTTGGTTACGAGCCTCGGCATGATACAAAAGACTTCGCACATTCTTTGAAATAGTTGCCTTTGCCTGATCTTGTTTGAGTCCAAAGAGAAGCCCAAGATTGACAATATCATATGGTCCACGTAACTCGATAGTTCGTTCAGCACAACTTGATATGACAACATTTCGACCTCTGCTGACTCTGATCAGTTCTAAGGCATTTATAATTGTATGTCTTCGTTGGTTTTGATCTCGAATTGCTGGTGTGTATTGTATCTCAAAGCTGATACCCCTTTCTATGGCGAGATTTACTTGAGGGTGTTTTATATAAAATGGCATTCTTGAGGTCATATCAAATGTTATGACGTCACATTCGACCGTTTGACATACTTGTTGGAAGAGTTTTTCTGTGGTCGGTTGTACACTTAGAATATCATAACTTTGTACCGTTTCGCCTGGGATAAATCGTACTTGTTGTTGTTCTTCAATCACCACGGTTATACGCGAAAGTAACTTCAGCTTTGGACAAATCTTTTTTACATCCTCCAATCCTACCAAACTAGAAAAGTCATCTGGCATTGGAATTTTGCCCTGTCCGCCTTTTCCTTTCACCGTAGGTGAGACAGTTCTGTTGACTGCAATCGTCTCGTAACCAAGTTTAACGAGAGCTGAAACGAATTTGAGCAAAGAACGCGAGTCATTTTGATATGGAATATTTATATCTGCAAAAGCCGCCATTAGCAACGTGTTTTCGAGCGAAATGAAATATCGGCACTTTTCGTCAGGGGCACTGGAACTAGCCTCAACTGATTGTACTTCATCTACCTCTTCCTGAAGTGTATCAATACGGTGTTACAAAGGAACACACGTAATACCTTCCTACGCAATCTTTAACCATACTTAGACCACTTTAGCTACACATACACCACCTTATCTATGCTTTGTAACCAGGGGCGGATTATCCAGTAGGCTGAGTAGGCTTAAGCCTACAGGCCCGGGCTTTCAAAAGGCCCATTGTATCTAGACACAGTTAGGATTTGAATGTTTTTGCTTTACGGGCTAACTAAATGTGCTTAACTTGGATAATTTACGCGGTTCAATCTATACGAGCAATTGAATGCAGAGAAGAAACGTTCGTACTATCTACTTTTCAAATCTTTTAAATTTTTCAAATCAAAAAGGATTAAGTTTTCCTATTTCCCTGACCATGTCGATGGTTTTTGAAATTTTGTTTTAACCTTTAAATGAACTTTTCCCATTTTTTACCCTATGGAGTTACTAACAGGAAATGCAAAGCAAAGAAAAACTGAACTTAATGGGAGGAATAGGTTTCGCTTAAAGACCCTTCATTTTGTCTTAGCCTAAAGGCCTCGTAATTAGTAATCCACCACTTCAGTTACACCTACATAACTAAGATTTGCAAAACAATATGCTTTTAGTAAAAAATTTTATCATTATTGATTCTTTTAGAAATTTGCATAGCACGTCTGAATGAACTATATAACCATAGTACCTAGAACTTTAGAACTGTAAAACCGTAGAACATTTTTGTAATGTAAAAAAAATCAAACTAAATCACAAGTATGAGATGAAACATAAATATTTGATTTGACATTATATTGAACTAACTTAGGCAATAAACTCAAGTTTCGAATCGAAAAACGGCGAAGAAATGTATAAAAAAATCTATGTGATAATGACAACGATAAATATGGCTGAAATATTACTCTTTTCGAGGCAATGGATTCACGATCATACTCTCAATGCATTCAAAGACAGTATGTGGATCTTGATCTGCGTTGATATGTTGTACAATTCTTTCGTAAAAATCTGTAACATCCTCTATATGATCATGATAAGTTAAAAAACGATCGATAACTCTCTCTTCTTGATCTTCCGGATGCTGTAATGATAAATTATAGCAAAGTGGATGAAATTTATTTGAAATTTTTGATTGAAATAAAAGAGCTATTCAAATGCTTTTGTTCTCTGGGATGTATTTCAGTGACACTGTATCATTTCTGAGACATTTACTTTATTAAAGACGCGTAGATGGTAAAGCAAACGAAACAAGATAATCGTAAAATTTTACCATTTTCAACCGATCCTTAACTTCACCGGTACGAGGAGGATTGTAGAGAAGATGATATCTGAAAGGAGGCAACACAAAATCGACAATAAATAACAACGAAAGTCTTTCGAATGCAGCCTGTACTACCATGACAAGTGAACTCGAAAAGGCTGATGACAAAAATCCCACTTAACCAAAAGTTTTCAAAGAAGCATTATAACTTATAAAGACTTACATTCAAATACAATTCTATCAAAAATAATTGATGACACAAATGTAAGATGCTGAGAAAAACAAAATGATACATCAATAGAAAGCAAGAGCACATATTCATTATATTGAGAAAACTGGAAAATATCACAAAACTTTACAATTACACACCTTTCCCCAGTCTGTGGATCTGTACTGCGCATGGTCAAACGTTCTAATATTGTGTCTTTAGGAACATCGAGAACCAATACTCTGTCGTGGCATATCATACCATCAGTCACAGAATAGTACAGCAAAGCATATGGGTAAATATGGTGAAATCATCGAAGAATAAAAAACATAAATTTTAGGGGGATAATTTAGTAGAGATAGTGACATACAGACACAAAGTGTTACTAAACAAAAATATGTTTAAGACGTTTAAAAACAACTTTCATATTTTCCATTGTACGTACTTTACTGGTAGCTATATCGTTGCTGCCTTTAAAATGAATCGTTTGAACCCGGGAGAATCATTACATGTTTATCGATGTAGACCGTTACATGTTTGTAGATGTAGATCGTCCATGTTGGTATAGTCCTGAGAAGGACTGTTTTTGTTGTTGTTGACTGACGTTTCGACAACCTTAGCGGTAGTCATCTTCAGAGTCAAACGTAGATCATTCAGGTTCATCTTCATAGCCATGAACACCGCTGAAGATGTCGAAATGTCAGTCAATATCAGCACCAGCAGTCCTTCTAAGGACGACACTAACCCAGAAGATCTACATCTACAAACATCCAATTGCTGCTTCTATTGTTGTTTCTACTGGTATATTGCAAAAATCACAATGGATGCTTTACCTATTTGGTTCAAATCCAGAATTTTTTAAACACTCAGCTTGTGCTCGTGTCTTTGGAAAAGAGTGCAACACCCAACCGTAGGTAACACAATCCAGCTGACTCAATCGCTTGCGTAGTAATTGCATTATTAGGTCATCTGGAACTATAGAATGGCAGTCAGATAAATCAAGCGTTATTTTAGCGATGAAATGACTTAACGATAACGTTAAAGTTTTACCTTGCATTTTTGTATCGATGAAAGATTTCATGGCTTCACCAGTTTTCGAGTCTTCGAACAGCGATTGCTTCATGAGAAGGTCGCAATCCACTGCGAACAGTAACAAAGAAAAATGAAAATATTAAGTGGCAAGTGGACTATCATGGGGCTGAGTGATCAGAGCGGACGATAAACTCAGAGAATCCGGAATTATGCACACGTAATATAATTAAAGAAAGAGTTAGGGCAAAGAACATGTAGCTATAAGTGCTTGAGGAGGCAGGATAGCAGGATGAGTTAATCACTCCAACACAGACGAAGGACATGTGGGTCTAAGCACAAATTAGAGGATCAAACAGACAAATGAATAAACTGTTATATCCATAGCGTAAATGGTTAGAACCCAGGATTAACGTTACATAATTGTAGATATTGATCGTCCAGGATAGAGCGGTACTGAGAAGGATTGTTGGTGTGGGTGTTGACTGGTGTTTTAATATCCTTAGCATGGTCATCTTCTCTCTCTAGACTAATCACCAACAATCCTAACCCTGGAATGCACAAACCTGTGCGATCAACATCTACAAACATGTACATAATCATTTCATACCATTGATAATATTGTATTTACGAGCAATAAGCGATGCTTGGACACTTTTACCACTTCCGCTTGCCCCCAAGAGTAGAACCTTGGGTGTATGAGGCGCCAGAGATTTTTTGCTACTACACAGATACGAGCTTACTGGGAACAAAATGTGAAGAAACTGAATAATACGTATATATAAAGCGACAGAATGAAAAATTCAATTGAAATAATTTTACCTTGTGAAAAGACATCGGCCTTAGGTTGATCTGCGTTGATTTTTTTTACAATTTTCTTGTAGCAGTCGGCAACACCTTCAATGTTCCTAAAAAAATATTTTTCACACATGGTATTTGTTTTCATACACCATTGAACATTTTGCAATGAAAGGTAATGGAGAGTGAATTCAAGTACGGCTGAATTTTACAAATGATTCTTTTGTTCCACAGTATACAATTGCAGGCTGACTGACCAACGTACCTGCGATACAAACGAAGTCTCTCCACCATAGCTGGTTCTGTTGAATTTTCATCAGGTACCAGTCTCATAGCAACATCAATATCATCCGCTGGGTCAAATGTTTCGTGGTAGATGTCTGCAATATAAAAGTAAATATCCAGATCAATGTCTCACTACCACCATTACACAAATTATACGTAGTGCTCATGCAGACAAAACCAAACTGCGTCATATGTACAATAAAGTCCCTCTACTTAGGTAGACATGTACATTCCAGTTGAGAATATGTTAAAAGAGCAGCACCTCTACATTAATTGCTTTCAACAAGGGTGGTGGAAAGGGTGTACTATGTATAGAAGTTTGTCTCTCATGCAGAATGAAGTATCTATAATTTCATTGACTCTTGGACTGAAACTTTTCGAGATGGTCAGAAAATGTCATACCCCCCTTGCCTCAACTTTTCTCCTAATTCAGCTCCCCCCTCCCTTCCAAGTGTAGTAGAATAGCTATCTTCTCCTTTTGAAATGCTCTGACATCTATGCTTAGAACAGGTCTCAACATATTTCACTGACACTACATTGTGAAAACTTATACCTCCATTCATTGGATCAATACGTTTCCCAAATGCTCTTTCAGTGAGAACAGTATCTGGAGCATCAAGTAAAACTAGCAAAACAAATAGAAAAGATAACTTCCATGTGACATTCTAAAAATTTAATTTTGAAGAAAATTAAGCACAGGATGACGCACCAAAATGCTTGGGTATAATTCCAGCAATTTGCATGGCTAATGCCTGAAATGAAGGAAAAATAATTCGAATCCAAAGCACTTCACTAAGATAAATTGTTGCAATACCTGAGATCGATTTGATGGAAAACCTTCAATGATCCAACCCTTAAAAAAATTCAAGATAAATAATTGAATTTCAGAAGTAAATGGTTTGAACCCAGGAGTATCGTTACATGTTTGTAAATGTATATCGTCCAGGTTGGTATAGTCCTGAGAAGGACTGTTTTTGTTGTTGTTGACTGACGTTTCGACAACTTTAGCGGTAGTCATCTTCAGAGTCATACGCCAGTCAACAACAACAAAAACAGTCCTTCTCAGGACTATACCAACCTGGACGATCTACATTTACAAACATGTAACTGAATTTCTGCAGTTTTGCTTGGGTCACTCTAAGAAATTCCTTCACATATACATACACTATAGCTGAAATTTGGGGCAACCTATACATACACTATAGCTGAAATTTGGGGCAACCTATACATACACTATAGCTGAAATTTGGGGCAACATATACATACACTATAGCTGAAATTTGGGGCAACCTATACATACACTATAGCTGAAATTTGGGGCAACCTATACATACACTATAGCTGAAATTTGGGGCAACCTATACATACACTATAGCTGAAATTTGGGGCAACCTATACATACACTATAGCTGAAATTTGGGGCAACATATACATACACTATAGCTGAAATTTGGGGCAACCTATACATACACTATAGCTGAAATTTGGGCAACATATACATACACTATAGCTGAAATTTGGGCAACCTATACATACACTATAGCTGAAATTTGGGGCAACATATACATACACTATAGCTGAAATTTGGGGCAACCTATACATACACTATAGCTGAAATTTGGCAACCTATACATACACTATAGCTGAAATTTGGGGCAACCTATACATACACTATAGCTGAAATTTGGGGCAACATATACATACACTATAGCTGAAATTTGGGGCAACATATACATACACTATAGCTGAAATTTGGGGCAACCTATACATACACTATAGCTGAAATTTGGGCAACATATACATACACTATAGCTGAAATTTGGGGCAACATATACATACACTATAGCTGAAATTTGGGGCAACATATACATACACTATAGCTGAAATTTGGGGAGTACCTTTTCAATACAATTAGTTTTCTTGAGTTGTTCTTTGATCATCTTTAACCAAAGATCTGTAGGAAATTCCTGTTTTGAAATAAGACCAGAAAATGTCTCATTATCAGAGTAAAATGATGGCATAATCAGAGTAAAATGTCTTTGTATGAATCAAGCAATCACTGTTTACCTTTTGTGAGTTCAAAGGTTTACTTGCCTATAACAAATATGATCCATGTATAATGCAAAGCACAGTTCAAAAATGAAAGAAAAATGGTTTCAAACCTGGTTAAACTTGAGAAAAATCAAGATTTGTCAAATGATCACTATTTAAATGCACACATCCCAAAGACTTTGCAATCATTCTGGCCTATAAAACAATCAACTGATGTTTACGACTATCACATACAAATAAAAACAAGATGAAAAATAAGAAAAATATTGTGAAAACAGATTGTTTTCTACATACTATTGTTCTTTTACCAGAAGCAGGAGCCCCCTGGATAACAATCTGTGGGACTAAAATGAGAAAACAGGGACACATATTTATAATTATACAATAAAAAACACCTATCATGAAACATAAAACAGGCATCGTAAATTAACAATGTAATTAATAACTACAACTACTTTTGTCAGTGTTGATCCTCTAAGATAAATGAGACCATTGCAAATTTGCAAGACTAGAAACCACCGAAGCTTTTAAGTACAGAAGTAAATCAGGCTTCATGGTAACGTTGAAAAATAATATTATTTAATGTAAAAACAAACCATTTTCGTCATACTGAAGAACATCGACCAGAAATTGCAGAGGATCATCTGGTTGGCTGATTATAAGTTTTTCTATAAGATGCTGCAACAAAAATACACGAAACTTTACAAAATATACATTGCTGAATTTAATAGATGGTAAATTCCAAGCCAAAAGACAGTGACTTACTAAATGCAACAAAAAAATTCACGTCAACAGTTTGTTATAGTATTATTACATTTTAACACACAGACACTTGACACTACCTCAATTGTCTGAAATATTTCATGTTTCTCGGCGTAGTTTGAAAATTCAGGAGGAATTAGCAATGGCTTTTTTGTCGCATCCATCGTAAAACAAATGTAAAATCATAAACATATAAAACACACGAGTAGATGAAGACTTTATCAAGACATTTTCTCACTGTTTGCCATGATCTGATTTGCTCGAGCCTTCGTCAACGTCAATAACATGTTGCTATGACAACGTACGGCAGATATTACTATTTCTAATTTTCCCGTTTATCTCTCATTCTCCCATCAAATATTCTAGCATTGAAATCTCTCATAACTTAGGGGTCTTGCAAATTCGTTCCTTTGAAATAATATATAAATAGATTTGTAAAGTTAAAACCTACATATCCGAAAATTGCACGTGCCTCCTAATTGTCATGGCAACTTTAAAGATATAATAAACAAAAACGTTTTGTCCAGCACAGAGGACATTATTGCATATGTGTTTCTACCTTCCTTGTCGCCAAACGTTTTATTATAGCTGTAGAAAATTCGCATCAAAGCAACTCTGCTCTAAAGGTAAAATGACGTTTCTATCGTAATCGTAGAAAGATTGATTCTAAACCAATACATTTGAAGCCTTTGGCTAAACAGTAATTTGATACTTTTTTAAAAACATCGAAGCTCTTCGATTATAAGTTAAAACTTTTGTATTCTTTCATTTTGCATTTGTATCTTAACTTTAAAATAGCGTATTGCCGATATACTTTGGTCTCTGTGCCCGCACGCTATTGCATTCATTGTGTAATACTTATGTTGTAATTTATACCTTATTTTACCTGTTTCTTCTCAGATACTTGATCGATTTTTGAGCCAATTCAGTCGAAAATGATGACGCTGGGTATCCAACGAGAATCTCTACAAAATAATCCACTTCTTCAAAAAGTATTAACAACTTTTCAAAAAACAATTCCATCACGATTATGGCCATGTTTACAATCAAATATTCAAATTTTCCACACATTTAGTCGGAGTTAGGAAAGCCTTTGAAACGATGCTTTAACTTACCACCTGACGACTTCACCTATGGTCGACCCAACCTTTACAGTGGAAATGGCACTGCAGATGGTAACTGATGTACATTACATTGACCTAGTGCAGAGTGATGAAAACTTTGTATTTAATGAGATGTTGAAAATCTGAAAGAACATGACGACAAAAAGTTGTGTAAAGTCAGTTTAGGAGAGGTACTATGATTCGTAGCATAATAGCAATTCAGTTTCATGCTCTGTTACCTATAGCTCTCTGCTCGTGGAATGTAGTGAAGCCCCGTCGTGTGTCCACAGCTCAGCCAGAAGAACGTGATTTCGTCAGGTTAAACAAAATGGCTGTGCAAGCTGGACTAACATCTGCACCTGAACAATATCAATTTCGAGCTACACATGATGTCAAAGTGTCATCTGGCTCCAAGGAGAGATCTTTAAATAAACTAAAAAAAATACCACCATCTGCAGTATTTGGAATTTCCAGGAGGTAGTAAAAATATGCAAATATTTAAAACAATCCATGGGAAAACTAACAACAAAGGCTTGAGAACATGTAAAGAATAAAAATATTTCTAATTGACAAATCAATGTGATTGGAAAAATCAAAAACAATTTTCTTGTAGACCGTCGACACCAGTCTTTGACCTACTGGCTCACAAATATCAGGAGAAATGGCTCGAAGAACGCAGAAAGGCTGAGGAAGCGCTTAGAGTTAAACAAGATCAGAAGGTTAGCATGACATTGTGCAGACATGTATATGAGAAACACACAATACATAATGTATGTAGCTAAAAGTTTTAACTAAATTCCAAAGGCTGACAATACTTTGAAAAATTTTAAGAAACAAGTTACTCGTGAGATCTATGAGACAAGAGCTTCACTCCTTGAAAACATGAACCTCAGTAGAAACTACACCATTTTGGCATATGAAAAGATTTCAAAAGGTATACTGTAATCCTATGTAGCATAGAGACAATGTAATATCAACTGATGTGTTAAAAACAACTGATTTTAGATTAAATGTTTCTTTTGACATTCTATTTCGACAAGTGTGCATTATACTTTACAGGTATTACAAAGCTTGAAAGCTTCGAACAAACAGAGCCAGAAGACTTTCATTCAAGCACCACGAGTCGGACAGCACATCGAGAAAAGGAGTATTTGGACAAGGTCTTTATGAAACAGCCAAGACATAAGACAGTTCACAATGACCAATAAAAACTAAACTGATTTATTTGTAAACCTCTCAATGGACTTGATAGTAAACAGAACAAAAATTTCATTTGTAAATAAATTTGCAGTCTTTCAAGCAAATAAAGACCGACATACATAAGTGTATTTGGCAATTTTAGTTTAATTCTTGAACCTGGTAAATGAAAATACATCGAAGGATTCATAACATATTTAAGCACACTTATCATGTGTTATTGCTCCAGTTTTTCCCTTTTAACAGCTGGTTCTGCATTAGTTCCGGATGTAGATTCACGTTTTTTAGGAGATGCTTCAAACCAATTTGTAATTTTACTTCGATTTTTCATTTTATCAACAAGTGTTCTGAAAACGAGAGTAATTTGAATTTCCCAACAGTTTGATACATAACTAATTTGCTCTTTACAAAATATTTGAAAGATAAAAAACATTTAAACACTCTACAAGGGCTTACAAATCAATTGCTTTGGTGCAATCCAGTTCTTTGTAACGTGAATTGTTGACAGCTTTTGAAACGGGGTGCCAATCAAGATAATCATCAGCAGAAAGAAGCTTCAATGCCTAAAATATTGCGTATGCCAAAAAAAAACCATGTGACTAGGTGTAGGATCAAAATTTTACAAAAATTGTCCACAAACATTGGGTGAAAAGAAGGAGCTCAGAATTAGAGAATGATCGCAAAGGATGAAGTCCCTACACAATTATTTTTGAATGTATAGTTACGTCTGCCTTTTTTAGTTCAACATCTCAATCAAAAATCTAACCTGCTTGTAATCCACTTCCTCAGAATGAAGCCACTGGTGTACCGAGTCTTCATCTTTCAAAAGAGCCTGCGTTTTTTGTGATGACAATGTTTATCAATCACAAGACAACAAGCATTTTGTTACACACATGCCTAAGGTGCAGGTGGATTCACCTTGTACTCACTGGTACTCGATGGTGGATGTTTCTAAATGGTGCCTTTGCTTCCAATGTGATCACAGAGTAACTATACAATGGTTCTCCTTCCTATAAAAAGAGTGGATCTATATAGCAAAAGCATAGATATATGTAGTTGAAACATAAAAAACCGTATATTTTACTAAGTAATCAACAATTTACCTCGGATGAGTGCCACACATCAAATATACCGGCCATGGTTAAAAGAGGTTTGCTTGATTTGTCATCCTCAAATGGTTTATTATTGTTGTCACAGGGCTTTATGTCTCTCTTGAAGTATACAAAATATGGCTGCTTTTCTCTGCTGCCTTTGACTACTTGCCACTCATAGAATCTATTAAAGATATTATCCTAAGATCATTGTTGTCATGCCAGTATCCCTGGAACATGAAATGTTACAATCAATTTCATGTTTCAATAATGTAGGCAGGTTTATAAGAAAGTTTTCATAGGTATGCTTATAAAATGTTCCATTCTAAGTTCACATTATTGGCAAATCATAATGAAATTTCATTGGTTCATAACATTAAAATTGGCTGCAGTCTGCAAAAGCGATAATATGACAAACACAAATACCCTTCGGCAAGCACAACACATCTTCTACCCTTTTCCAAAGGTCCTTTAAATGACTTCTTTTCCATAATGGACTCAATTCTCGCATTGTTCATCTTGTATCCAAAGGAACTTGGATCACCACGATGCCATGAAGGAATCAAGCCCCACTTCATCATTTTCAACATACTCTCGTCATTCGACATCAATTCCTTATTTTCTTCAGAGATGACCTTACATGCGGACACAAGTACAGGGCTAAATCAAATGAGGAAACAAATCATCTAACACTAATTGGAAAACTTCTATGAGCTTAGCACTTAGAGACATCACCTAAGAACAAAAAGATACTTCAAAACTATAGATGACTTGCCTGGTTTAGATTTGGTCGAAGGCTTTTTGGGCAAAACTAGCAACAATGGCTAACCTCACATGGGATAAATCTGCCTGCCAGGAAAATGCTAGCAAGGCAAGTCATCTTTATACCTCTTATACTTACGTGAATGACTGTGGACTTATGTTTGGTGATGGCATAAATTTGCTGCAGTCACTAGTATGCCATTGTGGCTTCCTATTCTCTCCCCTGTCATTTACATACTGACATGACTTCGCCAATTCATCGGGCTCCAAAGTACTACAAATAAATTGACACTTGTCAAAATGTTGCCACATGACGACATTAGTGGTGAATAAAGACATGCTTTTAGAATATATTCTGTTGGAAATTTACAGAGATAATAGACATCGCTACTAACCATGACGTTCGTCCGCACATTTTCAAACATATTATTTAAAATCACCAGGGTTAGAGTTTTGTCTTTTTCTCAATTTAAAACCATTAGTTTTCTGCAGATGAAATTTTAAGATCGGAAATTAGACGGAAGGCCTCGGTGCAGCTCGGAAATTACCGGAGTTGCTTGGTAATTGTCGGCAAACCTCGGAATAACTCCTGAAAATCGGACAAACCCACTGGACAAACTGAAAACTGTCATTGTTTAGTTTGTTTTGTCGACGAAAAGAATTGTCGAGCTATGAAAATTGCCTAAAAGTAGACATAAAAGTAGACTTTAAAGTGTGCATAAAGGTAGAAAAATAGGTATACACAAATGTAGATAAAAAGGTAGAAACAAAAGTAGACATAAAGGTACACATAAAGGTAGTCAAAGGTAGTCATTAAGGTAAACATAAAGGTAAACATAATGGTAGACATAAAGGTAGACATAAAGGTAGACATAAATCAAGACATTAAGGTAGACAAAAAGGTAGACATTTAAGTAGACATAAAGGTGGACATAAAGGTAGAAAAAAGGTAGATAAAGGTAGGAAGGTACATAAAAAGATAAAGTAGTTCTTTTGTGCACGCGAGACTTTTTTACTCGACCCAGTCTTTTTTTGGTAATAAATGAGGTAGTATTTGAAGAAAGGCTGCGAACCCTCGACAAAAGCGATTGAATTTCTTCATAAATTTGATCAAAAAATATTCATTTGCAGTCATCATAGGCATTAAATACGAATTACAAAAGTTCAAAATTTTCCACTAATCTTACAAATTTCACTACTTGCTATAACTGGACACCTGCACACACCTGCACACAGGTTTCATTCACGACATTGGTCCAGAGAACTCGTTAATGTCGGCAGCCCCTACGTTGGCCACGATTCAAAGGGAAATATTTTCATCTACACAAAAAGCTACTTGACAGTGTTTACAAAATGATCGCAAAACAATAAAAATAACCGTAAAACAAACATTCCTAAGGAACGAGTGATGGAGTTTGATAAAACAAATTTGACAAAGACTTACTTCAACCGTTCTCTTTGAAAACACATTGAAGCAGAGATATTGAACATTGATTATCCTTCAAAGACATTCAAAGTTCATATCATCCGGGACAGTAGATCAGTGACGTAAGTTAGTGTGAGGCACACCGTGGAGTAATTTTACGCATAAAAGCAAGTTTATAAATTTGTGCAAATGAATATCGATTTTAGACAGGAGGGTTGGCCAAATTCTCATACTCCACGGTGCTGTTTGAAAACGCCTTCCATTCATCTACCAGAGATTTACGATTTAGTGAACTTGACCATTATATATAAGCTAGGCATTTTCATATCGATGACATGGCTATACACATGACGTCATCAACTTTCAATATTTCCTAATCATTGCAAATTACTATGGATGAATCATCCCTATGATAACTATATGTGTTCGTGTACATTGATACAGGATCAGTAACATGAATGGCTAAGTATTGCCAGTTCAACCATCGATTCCGTAGAGCATTTGTGACAATGGGCAACCACTGGGTGTAGTGTGGGATTCTGGGTGGTAATAATGTTGATGTGATGGTAACATGAGTATATACGGTCTATCAAATCAACACCAATCTGCAATATAGTCGAAGTCTACGAACAATGCCTAAAATAGAGGATAGTCCATGATGTAGTACATTTAAAGAAGCATTATGGTATTCAAACCAACTGACAATGTGATTTAAACTGTTTCACAATGTGATTGAAACAACATCAAAATGTGGTTCAAACAACTTCACGATGTGGTTTAAACAACTTTACAATGTAACTGAAAAAGATCACAATGCGATTGAAACAACGTCACAATGTGATTGAAACAACGTCACAATGTGATTGAAACAACGTCACAATGTGATTGAAACAACGTCACAATGTGATTGAAAGAACGTCACAATGTGATTGAAACAACGTCACAATGTGATTGAAACAACGTCACAATGTGATTGAAACAACATCACAATGTGGTTCAAAGAACTTCACGATGTGGTTTAAACAACTTTACAATGTAACTGAAAAAGACCACAATGCGATTGAAACAACGTCACAATGTGATCGAAACAACTTCACAATGTGATTTAAACTGTTTCACAAGGTGATTTAAACAACATCACAATGTGATTGAAACAACGTCATAATGTGATTGAAACAACGTCACAATGTGATTGAAACAACGTCACAATGTGATTGAAACAACTTCACAATGTGATTTAAACTGTTTCACAAGGTGATTGAAACAACGTCACAATGTGATTGAAACAACGTCACAATGTGATTGAAACAACGTCACAATGTAATTGAAACAACGTCACACAATGTGATTGAAACTACGTCACAATGTGATTGAAACAACGTCACAATGTGATTGAAACAACATCACAATGTGGTTCAAAGAACTTCACGATGTGGTTTAAACAACTTTACAATGTAACTGAAAAAGATCACAATGCGATTGAAACAACGTCACAATGTGATCGAAACAACTTCACAATGTGATTTAAACTGTTTCACAAGGTGATTCAAACAACATCACAATGTGGTTCAAACAACATCACAATGTGATTTAAACTTCAATTTTAGTGGTAGACCATGCTAAACAGAAATTGCACATACGTGAGCTAACATGGTAGCACAGTCTACACCGTTTTCAAAGGATATTTATAGAACAAAAATCCCAAATTTTTGATTTCGATAACGTTGTTTTAAAAAATAAGAAACTTCAACTTTTTCAAAAAAAAACCCCATCAAGAATATTGCTATAGATAACTGACAATTCATTATGGCCATGACCAACTTACCTGATCCTCAACTGTAAGAGGTCTAGGCTCTTTGGGCGGTGTTAAAACTGGATCTTCTGAGGTGAATTCTTCATCAAAATTACTAACATCTTCCGCGTGATTCTAATTGCAAAAAAATGTCTTACAATAAACATAGAGTAGAGTAGCTATAAATTACGCATGCGTATGGGGTTGTCCCAAAATGCAGCATGTCTAGCAACATTGCTAGGAGTCGGTGCTTCCACTTGGCGATAAAATGCAAAGTTTGCAATTGAAGCAATAGGTTTAAAAAGGTCCCCAAGTCCCGCGACTACTTGAAATTATGACGTTATAGAGTGGGGAAGAAATTTGTACCGCGCCTGCAATTTCTCTCGGATAATTTGTTGACAATTGTGATGATTGACATTGAATAAAAATTCATCGATAAACATACCAGCGTTGGTACAAATGGTGGTCGAACTTTCCGTGATAAAAGTTCTCTCCAATTTACATCCAAGAAAAAAAACAATATTGGCAATTTGATAAAACATCTTAACCTCAAACTTATAAGTCGTGTAAAAACATGAAACTTATAAGTCGTGTAAAAACATGAAACTTATAAGTCGTGTAAAAACATGAAACTTATAAGTCGTGTAAAAACACGAAACTTATAAGTCGTGTAAAAACATGAAACTTATAAGTCGTGTAAAAACATGAAACTTATAACTCGTGTAAAAACATGAAACTTATAAGTCGTGTAAAACCATGAAACTTATAGGTCGTGTAAAAACATGAAACTTATAGGTCGTGTAAAAACATGAAACTTATAAGTCGTGTAAAAACATGAAACTTATAAGTCGTGTAAAAACACGAAACTTATAAGTCGTGTAAAAACATGAAACTTATAAGTCGTGTAAAAACATGAAACTTATAAGTCGTGTAAAAACATGAAACTTGTAAGTCGTGTAAAAACATGAAACTTATAAGTCGTAGCAACTTATAAGTCGTAGCCGATGCACAAGCAAAATGAAATGACATACCCTAAAGAACGGTTGTTTTTTCACATCCTCGGCGTCATTTTCACCAGCTCCAAGTCTTTTTTCAGGATTGCGTCGAAGCAACTAAATCGAGAAAATCGTTCCGATTGTAATTATGACGTGGTTGCTTTGAAAAATGCACTCGCCAAAACCTTACAAGATAATTTCCGAGGAGATTTGACATTCTAACGAAACTGTTTGATTACTTCAATCATTAAGAATGACAACTTTTGGGATGGGAATTTTTTGTAATCGAAAGCAAAGTATTCTCGTCAATTTTCGTCGAGAAAGAGAATATATTTTATCTAAATGCCGTTATTTCACTGATTATAAGAAAATATACATGATTTTGTAGATGGGGTAAAGGGTGCTCTAGTCTATAAAACATGTCGTTCAGTCAGTTTAGTTTGGATTTGATTTCTGTGAGTGTTTCTATGTCATTTTTAGCTAAAACTAGTGGGTGCACACCCGCTTAACGTACCTAAATCAATCCCTGGATTTAAATGTATATTGGATGTTTAATGTATGGCAATAGTAACGGACATTAAACTAGTTACTAATTCGAATATACGAATCTGATTTGATAAATAAATTCGCAAGAAGCAAAGACAATAGGAATGAAAATCTGAAAAATTACGCGTTAACTTCAGAACGGTAAAGGACATAAAAACAACTGACTATATAAGACATGTTTTAGTTCAATGTCGTCTTATAAATAGAGGAGATCATCACAGTATGCTAAAACAATACGTAAAATTAAATTGACGTCATAAAACTCACCCTTCTCATGATGGTGACAGCTTCGACGGATAAAAACTTAGGATAACGAACTTCGTCGTTCACAATAGAATCGAACACTTCCTCTTCATCATCTCCGGGGAATGGGGACTAGAAATGAAAACAACTCAGATACTTTCCCTCATCGTGTTCGTGAATGAAAACTGAAAGAAAACTTCAACACATAAATGAGCTGTGGGCAGGAAAAAGGAGACTACTTCAACACATAAATGAACTGTGGACAGGAAAAAGGAGACTACTTCAACACGTAAATGAACTGTGGGCAGGAAAAAAGAGACTACTTCAACACATAAATGAACTGTGGGCAGGAAAAAGAGACTACTTCAACATAAATGAACTGTGGGCAGGAAAAGGAGACTACTTCAACACATAAATGAACTGTGGGAAAAAGAGACTACTTCAACATATAAATGAACTGTGGGCAGGAAAAAGAGACTACTTCAACACATAAAGTAACTGTGGGCAGGAAAAAGGAAACTACTTCAACATATAAATGAACTGTGGGCAAGAAAAAGAGACTACTTCAACACATAAAATGAACTGTGGGCAGGAAAAAGGACTACTTCAACACATAAATGAACTGTGGGCAGGAAAAAGGAGACTACTTCAACACATGAACAACTGGGCAGGAAAAAGAGACTACTTCAACACATAAATGAACTGTGGGCAGGAAAAGGAGACTACTTCAACACATAAATGAACTGTGGCCAGGAAAAAAGAGACTACTTCAACATATAAATGAACTGTGGGCAGGAAAAAGAGACTACTTCAACATAAAGTAACTGTGGGCAGGAAAAAGGAAACTACTTCAACATATAAATGAACTGTGGGCAGGAAAAAGGAGACTACTTCAACACATAAATGAACTGTGGGCAGGAAAAAGGAGACTACTTCAACACATAAATGAACTGTGGGCAGGAAAAAGGGAGACTACTTCAACACATAAATGAACTGTGGGCAGGAAAAAAGGAGACTACTTCAACACATAAAATGAACTGTGGGCAGGAAAAAAGAGACTACTAACACATAAATGAACTGCGGTCAGGAAAAGGAGACTACTTCAACACATAAATGAACTGTGGGCAGGAAAAGGAACTACTTCAACACATAAATGAACTGTGGGCAGGAAAAAAGACACTACTTCAACACATAAATGAACTGTGGGCAGGAAAAAGGAGACTACTTCAACACATAAAATGAACTGTGGGCGGGAAAAAGGAGACTACTTCAACACATAAATGAACTGTGGGCAGGAAAAAGGAGACTACTTCAACACATAAATGAACTGTGGGCAGGAAAAAGGAGACTACTTCAACACATAAATGAACTGTGGGCAGGAAAAAGAGACTACTTCAACACATAAATAAACTGTGGGCAGGAAAAAGAAGACTACTTCAACATATAAATGAACTGTGGGCAAGAAAAAGGAGACTACTTCAACATATAAATGAACTGTGGGCAAGAAAAGGAGACTACTTCAACATATAAATGAACTGTGGGCAAGAAAAGGAGACTACTTCAACACATAAATGAACTGTGGACAGGAAAAAGGAAACTACTTCAACACATAAATGAACTGTGGGCAGGAAAAAGGAGACTACTTCAACACGTAAAATGAACTGTGGGCAGGAAAAAGGGAGACTACTTCAACATATAAATGAACTGTGGGCAGGAAAAAGGACTACTTCCAACATAAAATGAACTGTGGGCAGGAAAAAGGAGACTACTTCAACACATAAATGAACTGTGGGCAGGAAAAAGAGACTACTTCAACATAAATAAACTGTGGGCAGGAAAAAGAGACTACTTAACATATAAAATGAACTGTGGGCAAGAAAAAAGGACTACTTCAATATAAATGAACTGTGGGCAAGAAAAAGGAGACTACTTCAACATATAAATGAACTGTGGGCAAGAAAAAGGAGACTACTTCAACACATAAATGAACTGTGGACAGGAAAAAGGAAACTACTTCAACACATAAATGAACTGTGGGCAGAAAAAAGGAGACTACTTCAACATAAAATGAACTGTGGGCAGGAAAAGGAGACTACTTAACACGTAAATGAACTGTGGGCAGGAAAAAGGAGACTACTTCAACATATAAATAAACTGTGGGCAGGAAAAAGAAGACTACTTCAACATATAAATGAACTGTGGGCAAGAAAAAGGAGACTACTTCAACATATAAATGAACTGTGGGCAGAAAAAGGAGACTACTTCAACATATAAATGAACTGTGGGCAGGAAAAAGGAGACTACTTCAACATATAAATGAACTGTGGGCAAGAAAAAGGAGACTACTTCAACACATAAATGAACTGTGGGCAGGAAAAAGAGACTACTTCAACATATAAATGAACTGTGGGCAAGAAAAAGGAGACTACTTCAACATATAAATGAACTGTGGGCAAGAAAAAGGAGACTACTTCAACATATAAATGAACTGTGGGCAGGAAAAGGAGACTACTTCAACACATAAATGAACTCTGGGCAGGAAAAAGGAGACTACTTCAACACATAAATGAACTGTGGGCAGGAAAAGGAGACTACTTCAACATATAAATGAACTGTGGGCAGGAAAAATGAGACTACTTCAACAAAAATGAACTGCGGTCAGGAAAAAGGAGACTACTTCAACATAAAATGAACTGTGGGCAGGAAAAGGAGACTACTTCAACATATAAATGAACTGTGGGCAAGAAAAAGGAGACTACTTCAACACATAAATGAACTGTGGACAGGAAAAAGGAAACTACTTCAACACATAAATGAACTGTGGGCAGGAAAAAGGAGACTACTTCAACACGTAAATGAACTGTGGGCAGGAAAAAGGAGACTACTTCAACACATAAATGAACTGTGGGCAGGAAAAAGGAGACTACTTCAACACATAAATGAACTCTGGGCAGGAAAAGGAGACTACTTCAACACATAAATGAACTGTGGGCAGGAAAAGGGAGACTACTTCAACATATAAATGAACTGTGGGCAGGAAAAATGAGACTACTTCAATACAAAAATGAACTGCGGTCAGGAAAAAGGAGACTACTTCAACACATAAATGAACTGTGGGCAGGAAAAAGGAGACTACTTCAACATATAAATGAACTGTGGGCAAGAAAGGAGACTACTTCAACACATAAATGAACTGTGGACAGGAAAAAGGAAACTACTTCAACACATAAATGAACTGTGGGCAGGAAAAAGGAGACTACTTCAACACGTAAATGAACTGTGGGCAGGAAAAAGGAGACTACTTCAACATAAATGAACTGTGGGCAGGAAAAAGGAGACTACTTCAACATATAAAATGAACTGTGGGCAGGAAAAAGGAGACTACTTCAAACATAAAATGAACTGTGGGCAGGAAAAAGAGACTACTTCAACACATAAATGAACTGTGGGCAGGACTACTTCAACACATAAATGAACTGTGTGGGAAAAAGAAGACTACTTCAACACATAAATGAACTGTGGTCAGGAAAAGGAGACTACTAACACATAAATGAACTGTGGGCAGGAAAAGGGAGACTAACTAACACATAAATGAACTGTGGGCAGGAAAATAGACTACTTCAACATATAAAATGAACTGTGGGCAAGAAAAAGGAGACTACTTCAACATATAAATGAACTGTGGGCAAGAAAGGACTACTCAACATATAAATGAACTGTAGGCAAGAAAAGGAGACTACTTCAACATATAAATGAACTGTGGGCAAGAAAAGGAGACTACTTCAACATATAAATGAACTGTGGGCAAGAAAAAGGAGACTACTTCAACATATAAATGAACTGTGGGCGGGAAAAAGGAGACTACTTCAACATAAATGAACTGTGGGCAGGAAAAAGGAGACTTCTAACACATAAAATGAACTGCGGTCAGGAAAAGGACTACTTCAACACATAAAATGAACTGTGGGCATGAAAGGGAGACACTAACCATAAATGAACTGTGGGCAGGAAAAAGAAGACTACTAACATATAAATGAACTGTGGGCAAGAAAAAGAGACTACTTCAACATATAAATGAACTGTGGGCAGGAAAAAGGAGACTACTTATAAATGAACTGTGGGCAGGAAAAAGGAACTACTTCAACATATAAATAAACTGTGGGCAGGGGAAAGAGACTACTTCAACATATAAATGAACTGTGGGCAAGAAAAAGGAGACTTCAACACATAAATGAACTGTGGGCAGGAAAGAAGACTACTTCAACATATAAATGAACTGTGGGCAAGAAAAAGGAACTACTTCAACATATAAATGAACTGTGGGCAAGAAAAAGGGAGACTACTTCAACATATAAATGAACTGTGGGCGGGAAAAAGGAGACTACTTCAACACATAAATGAACTGTGGACAGGAAAAAGGAAACTACTTAACACATAAATGAACTGTGGGCGGGAAAAAGGAGACTACTTCAACATATAAATGAACTGTGGGCAAGAAAAGGAGACTACTTCAACACATAAATGAACTGTGGACAGGAAAAAGGAAACTACTTCAACACATAAATGAACTGTGGGCAGGAAAAGGAGACTACTTCAACACGTAAATGAACTGTGGGCAGGAAAAAGGAGACTACTTCAACACATAAATGAACTGTGGGCAGGAAAAAGGAGACTACTTCAACACATAAATGAACTCTGGGCAGGAAAAGGAGACTACTAACACATAAAATGAACTGTGGGCAGGAAAAGGAGACTACTTCAACATATAAATGAACTGTGGGCAGGAAAAATGAGACTACTTCAATACAAAAATGAACTGCGGTCAGGAAAAAGGAGACTACTTCAACATAAAATGAACTGTGGGCAGGAAAAGGAGACTACTTCAACATATAAATGAACTGTGGGCAAGAAAAAGGAGACTACTTCAACACATAAATGAACTGTGGACAGGAAAAAGGAAACTACTAACCATAAATGAACTGTGGGCAGGAAAAAGGAGACTACTTCAACACGTAAATGAACTGTGGGCAGGAAAAAGGAGACTACTTCAACACATAAATGAACTGTGGGCAGGAAAAGGAGACTACTTCAACATATAAATGAACTGTGGGCAGGAAAAGGAGACTACTTCAACACATAAATGAACTGTGGGCAGGAAAAGAGACTACTTCAACATAAATGAACTGTGGGCAGGAAAAAAGGAGACTACTTCAACATGAACTGTGGCCAGGAAAAGAGACTACTTCAACACATAAATGAACTGTGGTCAGGAAAAGGAGACTACTTCAACACATAAAATGAACTGTGGGCAGGAAAAGGGAGACTACTTCAACACATAAATGAACTGTGGGCAGGAAAATAGACTACTTCAACATATAAATGAACTGTGGGCAAGAAAAAGGAGACTACTTCAACATATAAATGAACTGTGGGCAAGAAAAGGAGACTACTTCAACATATAAATGAACTGTGGGCAAGAAAAAGAGACTACTTCAACATATATAATGAACTGTGGGCAAGAAAAGGAGACTACTAACATATAAATGAACTGTGGGCAAGAAAAAGGAGACTACTTCAACATATAAATGAACTGTGGGCAGGAAAAAGGAGACTACTTCAACACATAAATGAACTGTGGGCAGGAAAAAAGAGACTACTTCAACACATAAATGAACTGCGGTCAGGAAAAAGGAGACTACTTCAACACATAAATGAACTGTGGCATGAAAAGGAGACTACTTCAACACATAAATGAACTGTGGGCGGGAAAAAAGAAGACTACTTCAACATATAAAATGAACTGTGGGCAAGAAAAAGGAGACTACTTCAACATATAAATGAACTGTGGGCAGGGAAAAAGGAGACTACTTCAACATAAATGAACTGTGGGCAGGAAAAAGGGACTACTTCAACATATAAATAAACTGTGGGCAGGAAAAAGAACCTTCAACATATAAATGAACTGTGGGCAAGAAAAAGGAGACTACTTCAACACATAAAATGAACTGTGGGCAGGAAAAAGAAGACTACTAACATATAAATGAACTGTGGGCAGAAAAGGAGACTACTTCAACATATAAATGAACTGTGGGCAAGAAAAAGGAGACTACTTCAACATATAAATGAACTGTGGGCAGGAAAAAGGAGACTACTTCAACACATAAATGAACTGTGGACAGGAAAAAGGAAACTACTTCAACACATAAATGAACTGTGGGCAAGAAAAAGGAGACTACTTTAACACATAAATGAACTGCGGTCAGGAAAAAGGAGACTACTTCAACACATAAATGAACTGTGGTCAGGAAAAAGGAGACTACTTCAACACATAAATGAACTGTGGGCAGGAAAAGAGACTACTTCAACACATAAATGAACTGTGGGCAGGAAAAAGGAGACTACTTCAATACATAAATGAACTGTGGGCAGGAAAAAGGAGACTACTTGGAAAGAAAACAGACCACGGCCAAAGAAGGCTGCAATGGAAATACATGAATCGTACAAAGATATTAACTATAGAAAGATGTGCAACAGAGCAAGCTATACTATGTGAAGCAAGCATGTCAATAAAGCAGCAACACATCTTACCTCTCCGACCAACATTTCAAATATCAATACACCTAAGCCCCACCAGTCGACAGAACGTGTGTAAGAAGTTTCAGTAAGAACCTTCAACAAACAATACATTGCAAACATTAGAATTTTTTCTTTTTTTTGGACAAAAACAAAAGAATATCTCAGTACTTCGGGCGCCAAGAACTCCGGTGTGCCACAAAACGTGCCCGTTCTAGCGCCATAACCCATGCCTTCTTTACAAAGTCCAAAGTCAGCAATCTTTACGTAACCCTCAGCATCCAGTAAAAGATTATCCAACTTGAGATCTCTGTCAATGAAAACCAAGCATTTTAGAGGATGGTTTTACGTACAGCTAACCAACCAATACACACAGGATTGCAAGCAACCATTGACATGTATAATAAACGAGATAGCGCATTGCAATACAATGCCCAATCAAAAATTCAACCCAAAGTAAGCGGGTGCTTACATTGTATTCACCTGATTAGTAGGTTCCACTTTAATAGTGAAACCCAAATTTAAGATACGACAGAGCTTTAATGACGACGTATTTATGTTATTTTGGGAACTTAAAGCCATGTATAAACATAGCTGATTTTTTGGAAATATGATTTTGATTCATATTATGATTACTTCGTACTAAGTGAGACCTTCCAATATGGCGGTTCTGACTTCACTGAAATAGCGGAGTGCCGTTATCCAGTCTATTGTCAGATCAGTCATAACAACACACGAGAATAATTTAACTGGGATCCATACCTGTAAACAATTTCGTGGTCGTGTAGATACTGCAAACCAAGTACAACGCATGACGTATAAAACCTAATGAATGATGGAAACACGGCAATCAAAATTGAAAATGGAAGGAATTTTTCCCAAAAATCCAACAGGGAGGCGAATGCATTGTCAGACACAAAAAATATTATTTAAAGTATCCGTAAAATGCTTTCGCTAGATCTTGAAAAGTTCCACGTTTGAAAAAGATCTGAGCTACGTTACGCAAACATTACACAGTTTCATATGCTTCCCTGCTTCAAAACATCAATATTTAGCTCCATAACGGTTGCTTTAGTTCTAAAACTGATTCCACACCAACTATTTCTTAATAAATGAAAACTTTGGCAATCGTCTAAATTCACGAGCCAATCAAATACAGCCATAAGACACCCGAACACGACATAATCTGAGAACTTACACGGCTCTTTTTTCCGAGAATACTTCGTTATGTATATGCATCATGAGATCACCGCCCGAGGCGTACTCCATCACAAAGCACACGTGACTCTATGTAAAGATTCAATTATACCCAGTTTAAACATGGCGTGTGAAATTACAACAGGTATGCAAAAACATAAGGCAGTATATGCTTTATAACGGTCAAACAAACCTTCGTTTGAAAGCAAGCGAACAAATTGACTAAGAATGGATGTCTTGTTTTGTTGGCAGCCAAGAATATCCTTTTCTCCGACTGTAAACTGTAAAAGCAAATCATCAATGATTAAATACATGCATATGCGCATGACGGGAGATGAAGAATGACATAAAAGATCGTAAGCTCACCTTTCAACTTCATCTCTCGATATAATGTCGGATTTTTTTAACGCTTTTATCGCAAACAACTCGCGAGTGTTTTTATATTCGCCAAGAATAACCTACACAAATATAAACTGTTATTTCAACAAAGTCGTCAAACGTACTCGAAATCATACTATATTACACCAGATTAGATTGGATTAGATAAACAGATGAGAATCGGGATTAGTACCTTTCCAAAATGTCCCCTTCCGAGAACACTGATGGTTCTGAAATTTTTCATGCTCATCGCAGAAGACACGGACGACGTTGCTCTCGGCGCTCTTAAAAAGAGACACAAAATCGTACAATTTAAACTATTTAAAACCTCTTTTTGAACGCAAAAAATATCTAAAACAAGTATCCTTTTATATCCCATGCATCATTTCTATTTCTATTTATTCTTTACATCCCATAGATTACATTCCATTTTTTCTTCATATCCAATATATTCTTTATCTCTAATTAGAATTTCGTAATTAGAATGATATCGTATTAGCAATTATAATGATATCGTATTAGCAATTAGAATGATATCGTATTAGCAATTAGAATGATATCGTATTAGCAATTAGAATGATATCGTATTAGTAATTAGAATGATATCGTATTAGCAATTAGAATGATATCGTATTAGTAATTAGAATGATATCGTATTAGTAATTAGAATGATATCGTATTAGTAATTAGAATGACAACGCATTAATTAGAATGACATCGTATTAGTAATTGGAATGACATCGTATGAGTAATTAGAACGATATCGTAGAAGTAATTAGAATGACATCGTATTAGTAATTAGAAAGACATCGTATTACAATTTAGAATGACATCTTATTAGAAATTAGAATGACATCTGACGAGGATTTTGAATGTTCGGTGCGTTAACACAAAATTATTAAATTTATTACCTTCGTTCGTCAGAAACCAGAGGATAATTTCTCGGGCTTACATTAGTTACTATTCCACCTGAAGGAGACACATTCCCGCCACTACTATTACTAAAAATTGCAAAAGGCACAAAAAATTTTTGAAAAAAGAAGCACTTGCACGCAGATTCACAGACATTTTGGATGAAGAAGGTGGAAGCATTATAACTAAGCATTAAAACTACTCTTGCTGTGTGGTTATATAGGCAATTGATTCGTGTAAAAGAACTAAACATCAATTATTTGGGTAGGCACAGCAACATTACGAAAACATATACATCACTACATCACTAAAACATATACTTCTGAATAGAGACAATTAGCGATATAATCTTGCGTGATAATTAAACATATTACAATGAATTCTGCCAGACTTCGAGTAAAAATGTCAAGCAATAAACGTAAACAATACGCCATCAAAACCAACAACGGCTAATACTCCTCGGTAATATCCACACACAATACAAAAAATTAAATCAGTCCACATCTACCTCGTTGTTCTCCGGTGTGAAACTGTCGGTGATGCAGGTGAACCAACATAGTCGTTTGTTTGATGGTCGAGAAATCCAAATGCTGCCAAAGCTTCCTGGTAATACATAACATTACTCAGTATAAATGTTTTATGCAGTGCGGTGTTTGAAATTAAATGAAGATATGATCTTCGCACTTTGCTGGAGTCACCTGATTTTTTCAGGTCCTGAGACGATTGGTTAAATTGTCCAGCAAAGTGCGAAGATCATATCTTCATTTAATTACTCAGTATACTTCGAATCAAAATAAAATTGTACGAATAGTGCATAACATTTAAATTGAACAAGACATTAAATAACATTTAACACTATTGTAAGGAGCCAAATATGATGGTACGGAAGATTTTCTAGTTATTGTAGAAATGACCGGTATTAAGTAATCGCAAACTTAGACGAACGATTTTCCTTTACTAAAATGATATGCAGCAAAATACTCAGATCGATGATATGATCCTTCATATGAGCCTAACTTCAAGTTCCCCATTAAATAACGATTATTACTAACTTCCTGTCAATATACCATAATGATAAGAACGTCACTACTGAAGAAACCTGTTCTCTGTGCTTGCTCGGCGTTTGAACCACGGTCTTCTTGTGAGGCATTGTTTGAGATCTTTCATGAAAGTCATTTGATGGAGAAGACGGTGGGTTTTTATCGTAGTAAAGGTCATCGGTCGACTTTGGATATGGCGGAGGTGTCATGTTCGTGGGACGTGAACTGCAAGACAAAAACAGCAAAATAAACTTTCTTTTTTTATTTATAAGTATGTTTCTCACAGGCCAAATAACAACAAATCGATAAAGAAGGCATATCAATCCAGACAAAAACAAAGATCAATGAAGTCGCGCAAACGAACATAGTTCTCCTGGACTGGTTCCTTAATAAGTGTTACGGCCCCATTCTCAAGAAAAATTCTCTATTCTAAGGTATACTGGACAAGTTAAGCCTCCCCTAAAAATACACCGAGGAAGTGTTGCTTCATACGCAAGAAACGAAAGACGGGGGGAGAGAGTAATACTGATATACAATAATACTATTTTTATCTGCTTTGAAATCTTACTTGGATATGACCGAATATGTCCCAGTTGTTCCAGGACTTAGCGTGTTTGACGTGGTTTGACAATTCTGTGGTGTAGCGAGACTCTTGAGCAGTCTTGCCCACGTGACAACATTCGTGTTCATCTGTTGTGCTCGCAGAAAGTTCTTGCCTGAAGATAAAATAAAAATAAAGAAAACGATCAACAGGGAAAAGCATGAACGCATCTAACTATATGTTAATGTCCCCATTTTGACCAACGCATCACACCCCCTCCCACGCAGAAACGTTATGCCTATATTTAGGTTGTACATACCACGATTCATTTTGAATATCTTTCGTTGCCTTTGTAGTTTTGGCTTTCTGCTGACCATCGGGTTGACAAATGTGACCTACAGGGAAAAAGTAAAATAAAAATTTAAAAACACCGAGAAAGCTGTAATTTGAATGCACTAGCTTCAGCTGAACGACAGAGTACATAATCCTGATGAACCGCCAGAACAAAATTCTACAACTATTATAAGCACAAGGCTACCAACCTGCTCCAAACATTTGAACGGAAAAACAAACATATTGTCATGCATTCTGAAACATTTTACATCTTAATGTATGATCTCAAATAGTTCAACGTGCTTTCAAAAACGACGAAGTATTTTGTTCGACTTTAATATTTCATTTAATGAAATTAATATTTCATTAAACAACATGTGATACCTGCTGTAAGAAAACGTCTATGAACCACCGAACCGTTCTAAAGACTATGTAAAGTATTTATGCAATGGAAAAGAGGGGTGAAGTATGGAAAACTGTTGATGTTTGAGAATAAAGATGTTCGGTGGTGAACATCTTAGAAACTTACGACATTTAATGAATGACGTCATTACCACATAATAAAACAACGACCATCTCAAGAGCTTCATCGGTAAGGTCGCCAATCTTTTTAGGTAGGAATTCGAACCACGTGTCGAGACACGTTTCACCTTCGGAATATCTTCGCCACACTTCGGTAATAAACAATTAACGACGCGTATCTTTTGCACGTGAGATGAAGGATCCGTGATGCACTCTCGACAGTCGAAGTTTCCACGAAGGAAGTCGGTCAATGTACTTGATAACGAGACGGTGAACAATACCCAGTTGTCGTTACCATGTTCCTTCGAGAAGATTGCCTTCTGCTCTCGTTTTACGTAGTCGACGTTTCTTCGTAAAAATCGTCGAGATTTAACGTGTTTTATTTTCACGACGACGTCAGAGTCTGGTCTAAGTCGTACACCATTTCTCTCAATTTTTTTCCTCCTCAATTCAATATTGCGAAAGTTTTTCTCGCAGTTGCTTCGAATAAATCTCTCGTCTATGCAACGTTTGCTTTCTACTCCATTTACTGTCATTTTGGCTCACGATCGTACCATTCTCGAGACGATTTTTGCCACTAAACCTACCATTTAATCTGTTTTCTGAAGAAGATATTGTTTTCGCCTTCAAGTCTGTAGTACGACAAGACTTTCGTTCTTTTTCGAAAATATTCTCACCATTACGAAAATTTTTCAGGTTTTTATCACTTTTACATATATCGACAGCGGCGTCATTCTTGGTGTTAACCATTCTTCTATCATACTGCCTTCTCAATGTCCCCTTACCACCATTACTTCCATCGCTCGTTGCCCACTTATCCCCAATACATCCACCATCTTCATGACATGTACCTGTATCTACAGCATTATTCGATGGCACCATCTCCCCTTTCGAAGCAATGGTAACCAAGTCAGAGTTTAGAACAACATTTGCTGCAACACGTTTTGAATCGAAGGCACTGCCGACTTCACCATCTTGCTCCAGACTTTTTAAACGTTGACTATTTCTGTTTTCCGTATCTAACATTGAAACTTCTTTGTCACTTGCACAATTTGTGTTATGATCAATAACATTGTTTCTTGAGTAAGTCATACTTTTGAAATTCCACTTACAGAATCTTTATCTAAAGCCCTCGACTTGCCACAATGGGAAGGTGATCCTTTGGAAGACATCGATTTTTCCATATTAACTTTCTCTGGAGAAATTGATTGTCGATTTTCCTCATAAACACTGCCGATGAGCTTATGAAACTTCGAAGATTCCGCAGAAATTATTCTTTTAGAGTTGCCTTTCGACAGATCCGTCCTCACAGAATTACATTTGATGTCCAAATCAACACTATCCTTTTACACTTTACTGTGTTTTGAAAAGAACGCTCGTCGCGTCTATAATTTCTATCAAGCTCTGATTTGATCGTGCTCAATTGTGCTTTGTTGCAGGCACTATTCAATTGATATCTTGGGGAGTAATTACAAGAAAATACAGCTCGTCCGTACGAAGAAATATTACCATCACTGCAAGCTACCGACGGCAAATTGTTTTTTTCAATAAATTGCTTCGCACTTTTTTTAATATTTTGCTCACGCGGAGTTCTCTCATTAAAAGGTGATAAGCTTCCTTTGTTAATGACGCTTTTTTCAAGATCACCAAGTAGAGCATGTGTTGTTTTGTTCAGAGACATATCAGCAAAATCCTTGCACACCTCCAGACAACTTAAACCTCTTTCTTCAGCTCCAACAGTCATAGGTTTCCCGCCAGCATACACATCTATCTCAAAACAACTTTTCTTTCCATCCACACTCGTGTCAAAATTGCATTGAATTCCACTCACATCCAAACTTCGACACTTAGCTAATCTTGATTTCTTTACGCTTTTCAAGCCCTCGTTCTTGTTACTAACTTTACAATTGGTCGACGATAAATTCGCTAGTCCAGTTGTCATACTGCAGTCAGTACATCGACATCGAGTCCTTGACATGGTCCTGCTACAATTCTTGTCTCTTTCGATACCTTGAAAACTTTCACATTGATTTCTGCCAGCTATCACATCGACGTTCTTTCGTAATCTCGCTTTCAACTCAATATCCTTCAGGTGTAGTTCTTGTGAAGTTTGAGAGCCCCAAGAGCTGTACAAATACCCATCGGAGGGTACATAACGACCGCCACGAAATGGAGGCAAACTGCTTTGTTTACGAAGTTGCTTCGAAGCAACTGCAGGGAGCCGTTCTTTTCCAAAATCACGAGATCGGTGAAATCTGACCCTCTCATCAGACGAGTTCTTGGAAATAGAAGAATTCTCCGATATGCGAAGTCGGTAATTCGATTTATTTTGCTCCATTTCGGACACATAAGTTTTAGACACAAAAATTATTCAAGTTCATCAACTCCATTCACTACCTCAGCCGATAGCTACTTTTTACGCACATTTTTCCATTCCAGATGTACAGTAAAGATAGAAATAATCTTTTCCAAGATTACGTTTAACATTAGCAAACGATCAACAAATCAATGGATCAAGATAGGAGGAGAGCCTAAGTATTCACCAAATGGCACGGAGAAAAACGATAAAATGCGGACGGAAGAATTTTCGACAAGAAACGGACAAAACGACGCGAGAAGTAAATAAATCCAATTCCACTTGATTTGCCCAAACAAAGAGTCTTTACATACAATAAACTTTACTGTATTCGGATGCAACTGATTTGACGCGAAATCCTTCTCACAGAACGCAGTTGTTTTAGCTTTGCCACACTTAAACTTGCAATAATGTGAAAAAAAGATACTTAAAGAGAATTCGAGCGTAATATAGAACCGGAGAAAGATTTCGGAGGCCGCTGCAAAAGCAGCCCATAGCACTCCTTATCGCTGTGTTTAAATAATTAATGCGAATTGTCTAATCTTCTGATCTCTGCAACGCGACGCGTCCACCTGTCTGGTACGCGTGCTTTAAAGAATGAAATTGAAAAATCCGATCAAGAAACGCTGAATGCTTCGTTGTTAGCATTAAGTGAGAATCGATAGTCGGACGGTTAAAAGTTTTTTAGACATATGATGTCAGTATAGGAGTAGTGAAATACTTCATAGTTTTTAAACAGTGCAAACAGATTGTTGACATTTACAATGAAGATACCAGACTTAAGTTTTCAAGGCAACAACCGCCAGCTTTAGTAAACAAAAAACAATTGACGCTCCGCAAAAAGTGAATATTATTTATTCTAAACGTTTCGACAAGTTTTATATGTCATACTAATGACGACATTTAAAACTTGTCGAAACGTTTACAATAAATAATATTTACATTTTACGGAGCGTCAATTGTTTCGTGTTTAATTACTAAAACACTTTCGGCAGCATTTTGACAATTTCTTCAAAAAAGCGAAGAAATCAACTCACTCACACATGATCAAAGTGTAAGTGCGTACGAGAGAGGGGGTGAATAAGTTTTGAAAGCATCGGGAAAGATTAATTGATAAATAGGAAACTTTCCGCCAATAAGTTTTCATCATTCACTACCCACCCCACCCCTACTCGTGTCCCCCTCCCTGCATCTCTCTTCCATGAAATACCAATACGAAACTTTCCGCCAATAAGTTTCCATCATAAAGCAAAGATTGAATTTTGACGTATTATCCATTGAAGTATTGACTACCCACCCCACCCCTACTAGTGTCATCCTCCCTGCCTCTCCCTTCCATGAAATACCAACCAGATCCCTCACGCCCCATGTACTTACAGTGCCAACAATTTCTCCCTGAGGCTCTAACGGAACAGTTATGTTGTGCGTCTTGTTATCAAGAAATTCTTCCAAGCGCAGGAAGACGACAGCACACATGGCTCTGTAGTCGTGCCAATAAACAGCAATTTCAAGCTCACGTGACTAGAAAACATAAGATACCATCATTAAACAATGGTTCATGATGAAGCATGTTAACGAAGCAGAAAATACTCGTGAATAGGGAGAATTGCATGAATAAAATTCTATATTGTTCATTAACAAAATGAAGAAATTTTTTGGTGAAAATAGTAGAATTGGTATAGCATTTATTAATTTTATTTCAGCACTTACAAGCCAAGTGAAGGTCAAGCTAACATTCATTGCTAGAGCTTTCCCAACTTTTTCTCTGCTTTAGGCGAGTAAAAGCCTCAGTCTGAGGCCATGTCATGAATGACAAAATGTACAAACCAAGCGTTGGTAAACATACCACCAAAAAAGAAACTCACCCTTTCCAATTCTATACGAAATTCTTGTTCCCAGGCATCCCTGGAAACGGGTCTCCAATTAGTCTGATTCGTGTACGTGTTGTCCAGTTTAAGCACGGCGCAAACCTCATCTGAAATAACAATGAAAACACAATCAGCGGCAGAACAAAACAGTTTTGTAATTGCCAGAACATCACTCCAGTCTTGAAGATCGTAAAACAAAAATAAGAAACATTTATATTGCGAATTAGTGAACGTTTACTTGAAAGGTAATTTTCTGTTCCTGTCGGTGCTCCTTTCTTGCTCATTCGAAATTTATTCTCCGGACTGAAGACAGAAAACGCTGACATTCGCCTTGGATCACGGTTTGGTACGGACTCGAGTAAATTATCAGCACCTTGTAGCATTACCTAACGAAATTTGAAAACACATCAAAAATGATAAGACTTCATTAGAAATCAATATATTGTGATAGACACGACAGTGTGTACCTAACGACTGAAAAAAAACTAGTTCTTGAATAAAGCTAAAAGGTTTAAAGTTCTCCTTGCTTTTTCAGACTTGTCCGAATGCGTACCTAACGACTGAAAAAAAACTAGTTCTTGAATAAAGCTAAAAGGTTTGAAGTTCTCCTTGCTTTTCAGACTTGTCCGAATGCGTACCTAACGACTGAAAAAAAACTAGTTCTTGAATAAAGCTAAAAGGTTTGAAGTTCTCCTTGCTTTTTCAGACTTGTCCGAATGCGTACCTAACGACTGAAAAAAAACTAGTTCTTGAATAAAGCTAAAAGGTTTAAAGTTCTCCTTGCTTTTTCAGACTTGTCCGAATGCGTACCTAACGACTGAAAAAACTAGTTCTTGAATAAAGCTTTTGAAGTTCTCCTTGCCAGACTTGTCCGAATGTGCAACGACTGAAAAATAGTTCTTGAATAAAGCTGGTAAAGACAATGTCCGAATGTTTGACAGACAAATTCCCTCGATAGTTCTACACACTAGCCCTTGTGTGCAAGACGAACACATTACGTACTATGTGGTAGAGACAATGTCCGAATATTTGACAGAAGAATTTCCTCGATAGTTCTACACACTAGCCCTTGTGTGCAAGACAAACACATTACGTACTATGTGGTAGAGACAATGTCCGAATGTTTGACAGACAAATTCCCTCGATAGTTCTACACACTAGCCCTTGTGTGCAAGACGAACACATTACGTACTATGTGGTAGAGACAAGCGAAAGCCACATTCATTCAAGAAGACTACTGTTGCAGCAAGCAGCTATTTCTACAGCTACGAACTTACGATTAATTTTCCAGTAAGCGCAGCTGGTTTAGGAAGAGAGTTGTCGTTCCCAAACGAGCCACCAGATCCTCTTTTACCGTAATTTTCCTGGAAGATGCCTACAGTCGCTTGTCTCGGCGATGTCTGACCTATTCGTTTTTCTAAAGAGCATAGGAGCAAATCCAATTTCTGCTTCGATTCATTGATCGTTTTATCCGTCTAAAATTGGAAATGAAATGTCAATGTAAGCACGCTACCTCCTCAATCCTGTCCACCCTGCAAATCAATTCATTGATCAAAAATCGGGATTTTAGGTGAATTGACTAAGAAGTCGAATAACTGTTAATTTTTCTTTCTTCTTCCCCCGGCAAATCAGTAACCTTAAGCAAGTATTCTAGGAATACGTGAACACCCCCAGCAAATCGATTCAGAAAATCTTTGAAATTTACAAGCTAGCATTCTGGGAATGCGAGAATCGATTGGTAGAACAATATGCTGACGAGATTAAACACATAGGAAGGAAGGGATAACAAGGGACCTGCATTGATTACGAAGAGTAAGAGGCAATCGTTGACTAATAATGAAGCCGTTTCATAGAAAAAAAAAACTTCACGACTCCTCATTCACGAGGCTTCGGAGATGGACTTAGCGAGAACTTTTAACATTCCTGCTCATTTTTCGTCATAAAAACAACAATAAAAACTAACAAGAAATTGATTAAAATTGAAAACAACGAACAGGGTTATCATCACAGTTACAAAATGGTAATTTTTAAGCGACAAGTATGTTCTTAAAGCGTAGTTCAAAACAGCGGTCGAAAAAATACCTCTAGTGTCAGTTTCTTATCTTGTTTCTCCTGTAATAACTTCTTCATGTTATTTAGCCCATCAATCACGCGGGTTTCGATCTCAATGTGATGACGTATAGCCTCGATTCGATATTCCAACGGAGAAAGCTTTGGTGGGACTGGTTTACTGGAATGATTCTCTGGTCCTTCCATCGCATTGTGCTGCTGCTGTTCCTCGCGAAGTATGGCCATCTTAAGAAAGGCTATTTTGTCTTAGAATCATCCAACATTTGCTGAGCCTCCGCAAGCAATTTCTTGTCTTTCGACGCACTGTACATATGTATCATGTTCTCTGCTCCCTGTCGTACTTTCTGCTCGATCGCCATTTGTTTCTGTAGCGTCACCAGATGCTTGTTGACAAGATCGTGGTCATATTGAACTTTTTCCGGTGAATATAACTCATCCAGTTCTACAGTAAATTATAAGGTTTATGAGTATTTCACGGAGGAAAATCGGCCATCGGAAGTTCTGCTACAGGAAGTTATCAATTAATACTACGGCTGGGGTTTTTTCCGTGAATTTGGTATCAAACAATCAGTCACATATGGCGACGTTGGAAAAATTTATGGAAATTTGGGAAAATTCAAGCTTAAGTCACGTTTAACCCAACCAAATATGCTTCTGACCTTTCAATCTGGTGCTAGGAACCAGGGTGATTTCAAGTTGAACCAAGGTTTTTCTTCCTTACCTCAAAGATCTAGCTGGCTGCATCATTTACTCACTGTTTGGATAACTGTGATCATTGAGTACATTCATGGATTGCATTGGATGAGGGTCACGTGACTGTTATGAACTGTTCAAACTAACCTCACTTTGAAGTCACAAGAAGTGACAAAATTTATCATCTAAGTGCCTTGTTAACTTTTTTATACACAGCAAACACCATATCCAATGTTAACTAATCCACCTTGACCACAAAGGCCAATAAGTCAGAGAAGTCTTAGATTCAAGTCAGGTAACACAATCTTACAAACATTAGTCTGAGCATTTAAGGTTGGTTGCAACAATGGATCACCAAAAAGGTCTGACAATGGTTAAAATGATAATTTATCATTCTCATAAAAATATGTTTTACCAGAAAAATATATACACATATCAACAACCAAACAGTTCTTCCTATGTAATAAAATGTCGTCAATACATTAAGATGAGAATATCAACAAATTTCCAAGCAAAACCCAAAATTAAATCTGATTGAAGGGATATGTGTATCCATGTTAATTGTTTATCGGTGAAATTAGTAGTGACTGATTGCCATAGATTGACACTTAAGGCATTTCAGCTGGACAGCACAAGAAATTTTTAAAGTTTGATATACTTATTCAACTTCTCTAACACACATTCATTTTCTTTTCCTTAAACTACAGTCATTCACAGCAATCTCTTGTGAATTATCAATGTTATCTTCATTAGAATTGAATAAAATGCTCGAACATTTGTGTTTATTTTGTTTTTTTTAGTCTCCTTGGCTACTATCTGTACTGAACATGAAATTGACTAATAACAAATTAAAATAAAAGAATTTAAGTTGAATTGATAATCAATGAATAATTTATTTTACATTGTCAGTGGTCTTAGTTAAATAAACTAAGGCAATCTTCAAATGAACTGCTTTTGCCAGCTTTCTCACTATGTGCACCTGCAAAGTTGTTGTTTATTGTCTTCAAGTTATGCAAAGTTTACCAAGCCATTACTATGTTTTGTCAATGCTTTTTTTCTTCAATTTATGATCACTTCAATGAAAACAACACTTTACTATGCTCATCATTAACCTTGAGTGAACTATGATTATAATCTACCTCTTTGACAAGCTTCACAATAATTTAGAGAATGCACAGTCATAATTCAATAACTTAAATACTTCCTGTTTCATATTGAGGAACTAATTTCAAAAAACTACTTGACTTAATAGCCAAAGTAATTGTAAAAACTATTCTCCATGTACACAAGTCATGGCATAAAGACATTATTGTGAGTAGGTATGTCTTATGATATATCATAATAGATCAGCATGCTGCCTTCTTTATTTAGCATTTGTTTTTGAAATTAATGAATACCTTTGAAAAAATCCCTTGATGCATGCAAATAGTCAAATACCACCAAATATTTTCTTTATATTAAACTTTCGATAACTTCAAACGAAAAGAATCAGGAATGGCCCTTTCCTATTTCATACCACAGACAAACATCTAGGTTTTAGACATTGCCAATTAAAATTCAAAAACCAAAGTGCTTTACAACAGACAACGTTACTTTAGAGAATGTTGCAATAATACTACAGAGTACGGTTGACTGAATAGACGAAATTGCCTTTAGTAACTAAACCAAATTCCTCAAGACAATATCGCAGGCTCGACGTTCGTTGAGCGAAATATCTTTAAAATAATTATCTTATAATCTGCTGTTGTTACTAGAATTATATTCAAGTCGTATAACAACATTAGGCAAAAAATTGCACATGACAAATAAAGCTTTTAACTTCGCGCCTACAAACATGCAACTTTACGCAAAACTATTTCAGCAAAGGCGTTTTCTCGATGTTATAAAACAACAAATATAAGTAATTCAAAACAGTTTAAACGGTGAACGCGGAGGGAAATAAGAATTTCAAATGAAGTTAATGACTTGCCAAATGCGTACAAAGTAAATATATCAGTATAGGTACCGGCCGATTTCAACATTTCAGTAGCAAAGTTCAAACAAATTATATTTGTTGTGACTTTGTAAGCGATCGACAAAAATCATAACAGCATTAATACAAGGTTTGGTATTAAGTATTGATCGATTCTCCATGGTAAGATTGAAAATTTTTTTGCAATATCTTACGTTAATATGAAAATGGCAGTGTGAAATAAAATGAATTGAAGCAAAACTCATCGGTTGTTTGAAAAATTCAACGTAGGAGGTAACATTACACGCCTACAGAAATATCATTTTAAACATGTTTGGATGAGTTCAGTGACAAATCTTCGTGTAGTAATGGCGATTCTTAAACAGGTAAAAAGCTATTTCTGGAATACCTGATGCATTATCTTTAATCCCGGCGTTCAAATCTTGTAGTTGAGAATGAAGCTCTTGTAATTTGCAGTTCGCTTCTTTCAGAATTGAATTGCATTGTGTCAAACTTTTCTTGTCCGTCGTAGCCTTTTTGAAATTTTCCGCTCCTTCCTTTATCTTAAGTTGCCTTCGTATTTCTACCTTAAGGTTGTCGACATCGTTGTATTTCATGTTAGAGTCGGAAAGTGTCCTTGGCATTGAGCGAGGATCCTTGCTCATTCGTCGCTGATACTCGCTCTACACACAAATTGCAGTTAAATTCAAGCAAGTTTCGCAATCAAAACACGGCGTCATGGCAAAGTTTACAGAAAGAATGCCATGCTTCCATTCATGGTCACCTTAATAATTCATACTTGAGAACTTACCATAAGCACTCCATCTTGATCCATCGTGTTAAAGACAGACGTTCATCGAAAAGTCAACGGCAAAATAAGTGTGAACTCTTCATTAGTGCTTCACGTTCGACTCTTATCCATCCACAGAATGTAAATAAAACTCTTGCGGAATAACTTGCTGTAAACACGTCAGAAGTAAACTTTTATAAATATAATATCAAATAAAGGCTTGGGAAAACACTGTTCGTGTGAATAGTACACAGATTTCGATGTAGTTAACACAAACGACAGTAAAATTGCATATATACCATTGACAGAATTGAATGCACTTCGGCAAAGACCACGAAGACACAGAAACACGATATCTTTATCCGACCGGGCTAAAAATACCAACGGTTATCATACAACCACCACCGGATAAAGTTCTCTCAGGAAAAATTAGAACAAAGGAAATAGCAAAGCGCAGGCTCGAGAAATATATATATAAAACTGTCATATGCAAATTATGACAAAATGAAGCCAAGCAGCATTAAATATTCATTATCGTATAAAGATTAAATATTTATACTTCAGCGGCCGGTTGCACGAAGCCTGGATAGCGTTATCCATTGGATAGCAAAAATTTTCAGACTTGTAAAAAAAGGTGTTTGTATTTTTCTTACAACAAAGAAATTTTGTTATCTTCGTAACAATATTTTATTTGAGTAATTGCACAGTTCAAATTGTATATTTTTTCTTATAAGTGATTTTTAAACGTTATGAAAAATTTGCCCTCGTGCAACCGGCCCCAGACACTTAACATGACTATGTACAAGTTTAACTAAGAACTATAGCATAGAAATAATAGTTTAGCATATAAAAATATTTCCTTGAGTACAAGCAAAAAAGATATAGACATACGGTATACATAAAAAATGTGTTTGTGTTTGAAACTCTATAGATACACTAACTAAAACACTCGGTATTGTCATATTAACCTATGTAAAAGGACAAAACACCAAATCAATTATCCTTCATTTTTACACGAGTTGTATTCCCCCAACTTTTCATCAAAATCTTTATTCAAGCTGTCTAGTTCTTCTTCTAAGGTATCGACTTGAGATTGTAAAGTCGCCATTTCGTCTCGTTGATCCACATAGCTCTTCAGAAGATCTGAAAATGATGAAGAATATTTTGTATAGTGTCCCTCCAACGGCTTCAAGGTTTTTAGAGAATTTTGACTGTTTCTCGGAGTAAAGAATGATACAGCTTGTTGTATTCAACGTGTGTTCATTTAACAATGAAAAAAAAAGTCGAAATTGTAGCCAGCAGACTAAATATTCACTTCCGGAATGCAAATATCGAATCATTATCTTCATAAATCTATTGTTTCTACATTCAGAAAACTCAAAAAAAAATTTCACGATGGGTGTAAAAAATCTTACCGTTTACGCAAATGCAAACAGTAGATCATAACAAATTACCGCTAAAATTTCAATCCTATAATCAAATTTAAGGCTAGACCCAGTCTTCCTCGAGAAACAAAACAAACAGCACGTCAGAATACCTTCAGCCTCTTTGACTTCCTCAAAAAGTTTGTTTGCGTTGTCGAATGTTTCTGAATTATTTCGATAAGACGACATTGCCTTGTGATAGGATATATTTAGTGTCGTCTCAATGTCAAGTAAGGTCGCTTTGCTTTCATTGTGTATCTGAATAAACACAGAATAACTAACATGAGAAATGAAGGCGATACGACAGCAGGGATAGTTTTCTAATATGAATCAGCAAGAGCACAGAAAGATTATTCATCGTTATAGTCCCAGAAAAAATAAGCTATTTGTTTTAGAAATGTCCTAATAGCACAATGGTGGTTTGGTTATCGTGAATCCGAACTGTCTTATATCACACACCTAAGGTTTGTGTCGGAAGCATAAGTAAATTACCTGTGAAACATTAATGATCAGCCCGTACGTCATGTTCGCAACTCTGCTGGCGTTCAAGGCAAGCTCCTTGGATTCGTTGAAACATTTCAAGCTCTCGTCGATATCCTGTATGGTTCTTTTTAACAACGTCAACGACGCGTTGCCAACCGCGCTAGCTTGCAAAGATTCTTTCTCGACCTAACAAAGTATTTCTTCAAATTATTTAAATTTTTGACGAGAAATCAAACGGAAAACTTAGACTTCTTTACACAAACAAATTTGAAAGGTTTCCCCCTAAGACTGGAAGCCATGCAACAAGCAAAATACCAGAGGGCACTTTAAAACAATCAATTCCTACCTCATCTGTGATTTGCATAATCTCCGCAACCATTTTATCAGTGGAGTTTTGCAACGTCCGTGCTTCCTCGCGCAGCTTGTGGGCTTCCTCAATTTTCCTTTCTATTTCATTCACTTGTCGTAAAGTCGCAAAAGAAACATTCCTAAGAAAAAAGACGTCGATAGATTGATATACCAATCATACCCTACTGTTTCTAGCACAGCTCATTCGTTTAGTAAAAACGTTTGAAAAACTTTTTTCAAAAAAGCGTGGGATAAACAAGTTCGTAACTTTTTTGGTAAACATTTTCCCTTCACGAAAATGTCGATTTTTAATGGACTTTTATTCGAAAATATCATCCATAAAATACACTTTAGAGAAAAGTAAAAGGAACGAAGAAAACACGGCATACAAAGCTTCAAAACAAAACAATCTTTACAAAACTCAACACGCCAACTTCATAATATTGCTCGAATACTAATGAAGTTCGCTCAAAACCTAATCGATCTTTTCAATAGAGCGTTGCCCAGTCTTCAAGATGGTTTCCAACGAATGAAAAATATAAATAAAAATCAATGTAGATGAGCAGGTACATGCATAGTGCTTACATTGCTTTTTCAGCTAGTTTCTGGGCTTCGGTGGCGATTTTAAGTCCGGCAGAGGCATTTTTCAACGTCTCGCTGACTAACTCGGGATCCACTTCGATATCGAGGATACGTCGCGATATATCATTAATGTGTTGCTCGGTAACCGGAATGGTCATTCCGAGCACTTCGCGAGCAATGATCGTAACGTTGTCGACATTGTCACGAGCATGCGCCATGTCGTCAAGGCTCGCCTTCACGTCAGCAATGGAGTTATCAACTTGGGTCAATAAAATGCTCGAGTTAGTCTAGAAATAGAGAAAGACAGAGATGAAGAATTACAGAAATTTTTGTATGATACTTGCACTACAGATCTTTGGTTATAGATCTTTATGTGACGTAGGGATAAACCTTATAGACTAGAGGCTACTATGCAAGTTCTTCAGCGAGGGAAAGATCACACAATGACATGAATAAATCTTACAGCACGTTCACTTGTCCACGAGAAGAAATTCATATTGTGATAAAAAAACTCATTTTACTTTTTCCTACAAATGACAGAAAAAGATTATCAATTTACTGACCTTAAATTCCTCAGATGCATTTCTCGCTTCGTGCGCTTTCTTTTCCATTTGAACACTTTCATTGTACACCAGTTGACTTTTCTCCCAGTTTCTGTCAGAAATGCCACGGGCTTCGGAGATGTTGCTTTGCGCATGATCCAACATGTCTGATGCATCATGGGATTTGAGCGCTGACTCGTTCACCAAGCGATTTATTTCAGTGGAGTTCTTTGGAAGAAGGATTGAAAGTAGATAGATAATAAATAAAATTTACGTTGTGAAGTTTTGACTATTGATTTGAAAGGATTTCTAGCAAAAATTTTGAACAATTCTATTGAACAACAAGCTATGATTAAAGTGCGCAAGGCAATAAAATTCCTATAAAAATTTGTAAATATTATATGGAATAGGAAAATAGTACTTTGTACCAGTCAACATTTCACCAGGTCATCTAAAAGACATCATCAACAAAACAATCACCCCATCTACCAAAAACATCGGTGCTCTTTACCTTTTGAGATGTTCCAATAATTTTTCGTTTTTTTTAACATTGTCGTGGAATTCTGGACGGAAAATCGAGTTCACTTCCGATATGGCCATAGTGATGTTATCTAGACGTCTCGTTGATTGTCCAACAGCGCCAATAGCATCCAGACCTCTTGAATTGTAGGCTTTGATCTAAATTAAGTTATTTACAAAAATAGTAAAATATCCCATTTCGTTTGTTGAGTCACGAGAAAATTTTCGGCTTCTATATGAAACAGACACCTCCCGTGATTTTTTTATTGCAAAGGGGGGGTGGGGGTGGTGGTGGTGTGCTGTAGACTTCTGTTCGGTTGATTATTTGACAGCTATCCAGCCTAGAAAATGTGTAGTAGAGCGAACTTGATGATAAAACACTTACTTCATCGTAAAGAGACGAAATATTATGGTAGTCTTTATGGGCAGTTTTATTTTCGTCTTCAATGTGGAGTAGTATTTGTTCAGCCCATTTCCGTAGTGTTGTGTAGTTCGCCTGTACAGGTGGTGGCCTTCTTGAAACATTAACTGTACCATCAAAAGGTTGAATCGCGTTCATCAGTTGATACTGAATCATCAATAAGCTTTCGTTGACGTTGTCTAACTTTTGCTTGATTTTCAACAATGTATTGTTTATCTACACGAAATGATTCATCACGTACAATGAAGTGTATAGAAATAAGTGTAGTGTCATTGAATAATCTGTTCTAATGTTTTCATCACAAATGACGTAATGTTGAAACATGGGTCTTTACATACGAGTTATCTAGGGTTGAAACACGAGCCGCTAAAATCTCCAGTCAAGTTAATAAGGAAAGAGTGACTTGTTGTTGAAACTTTGAATCTTAACAGAATCTTAATAAGGTTTTATCCTACCATTCTATATTGTTCTTGCTTCGTTTTCGTATTGAAAAAAGCTCCTTTAAATATGCGTTCAGAGTAGGTCAACTTTTCATTCAGTTCATTTAAAGTCCGGTTAATGTCGGCAACTGATGATCCATTGAAAGCCTTCAATATGCTGGTCACGTTGCGTTGAAGTTCGTTTACTTTCACTCGTTCTGTATCAATAAGTTCATACCAGTTCCTGTAGCAAGTTTCATTACACTCTATGCAAACTGGGAAAGTTCCTAAAAACGAAAGAAAATGACACTAAAACCACAAATTCTCATGACGATATGATTTTGAAAAATTTTTCGGCAAAAATCCGCGCTACAAATGCTATAAGGGCTGAAATTTTGGATAAATCATGAAATGAATATTTTTAGTCTCACACTACAATTCTCACGACTGGGTGCTCACAACGTGGTTAAACAAGTTACACAACATGGTTTTCACAACGTTGTTAAACAAGTTACACAACATGGTTCTCACAACGAGGTTAAACAAGTTACACAGCATGGTTTTCACAACGTGGTTTAAACAAGTTACACAACATGGTTTTCACAACGAGGTTTAAACAAGTTACACAACATGGTTTTCACAACGTGGTTAAACAAGTTACACAACATGGCTTTCACAACGAGGTTTAAACAAGTTACACAACATGGTCCTCACAACGTGGTTAAACAAGTTACACAACATGGTTTTCACAACGTGGTTTAAACAAGTTACACAACATGGTCCTTACAACGTGTTTAAACAAGTTACACAACATGGTCCTCACAACGTGGTTTAAATTAGTTAGACAACATTGTTTTCACAACGAGGTTTAAACAAGTTACACAACATGGTCCTCACAACGTGGTTTAAACAAGTTACACAACATGGTCCTTACAACGTGTTTAAACAAGTTACACAACATGGTCCTCACAGCGTGGTTTAAAGTTAGGTTAGAAACGACACAACATGGTTTTCACAACGAGGTTTAAACAAGTTACACAACATGGTCCTCACAACGTGGTTTAAACAAGTTACACAACATGGTCCTCACAACGAGGTTTAAACAAGTTACACAACATGGTCCTTACAACGTGGTTTAAACAAGTTACACAACATGGTTCTCACAACGAGGTTTAAACAAGTTACACAACATGGTCCTCACAACGTCGTTTAAACAAGTTACAAAACAAGGTTCTCACAAAATGCTTATCACAACAAGATTGTCACAACATGGTTCTCACACATAGAAATTCTCATGTTTTCCAAGTTTTTAGTGAACACATAGAAATTTTCATACAAACAGTTAATAAGCAGACTAGTTACGACACTAGCAACAACGTTATTTAAACTAACTAACATAAAGTGATATGCTAACACAAAGTATCATGTTGTGTATGAGTAGTGCTGACCAACTTTTAAATCAAGAATTTGAAATATGACTTACCAACGGCGTCCCAACGACATTGTGTGCATCGACGTCCGCCGTAAAATCCTCCAGCAGAACTTTGCTTGCATTGACATTGACCGTTTCTTGGATCACAGATTGAATGATTTGAGTACGTCATATTACAGTCACACTCTGGAGAAGAAGCAAAAGATATGGAGGTAAGTCGACAATGGTAGGTTTCCATGCGTTTGCACTTTCACTTTAAGAGCAAGCTTTATTCTTATCAAGCGCGTGTTTATGGAATCTCTGCAGCGAATAGTTTTCACAGTATCCACAAAGTTAGAATCACGAAGCATGTTAACTTCTAGAGAACTGTTTTTGCTCTCACATAAAGCATGCTAACTTCTAGAGCGATGTTTTTGCCTTCACATAAAGCATGCTAACTTCTAGAGCGCTGTTTTTGCTCTCACATAAAGCATGCTAACTTCTAGAGCGCTGTTTTTGCTCTCACATAAAGCATGTTAACTTCCTAGTGTTTTGCTCTCACGCAAAGCATGTTAACTTCTAGAGTTTTGCTCTCACATAAAACATGCTAACTTCTAGAGCGCTGTTTTTGCTCTCACATAAAGCATGCTAACTTCTAGAGCGCTGTTTTTGATCTCACATAAAGCATGTTACTTCTGTGTTTGCTTTCATAAAACATGTTAACTTCTGATGTTTTTGCTCTCATAAAGACATGCTAACTTCTAGAGCGCTGTTTTGCTCACATAAAACATGCTAACTTCTAGAGCGCTGTTTTGAAATCTGCATAAAGCATGCTAACTTCTAGAGCGCTGTTTTCTCTCACATAAAGCATGCTAACTTCTAGAGGGATGTTTTTGCTCTCACATAAAGCATGCTAACTTCTAGAGCGCTGTTTTTTCTCTCACATAAAGCATGTTAACGTCTAGGGCGCTGTTTTTGCTCTGATATAAAAGCATGCTAACTTCTAGAGCGCTGTTTTCTACCTCTCATAAAGCATTTTACTTTTTACGATGCTGTTTCTATCTCCCGTGAAGAGTACAAAAAGCATGAAGGACTTTTTACGTTTTAACAAAAACTGCAGTTTATTATTAAATATTCCTGGAAAAGTTCACTAAATCGTCTTGTCAGTAAACATGTATTTGACGAATGCAGTGACGTATCCAGCCTGCAAATTTGTTCGAACTATGTATATTTCAGATCATTGGCATCATTCATTTCTTTAGAAAACTTTTGTTTTTAAGTGCGTGAACAGAGAAAAATTAACATAGCAGGACCAAACTTGTGGGTTGGGAACTTCACTGGACGGATACCAAGATGTGGCCACGTATTTGTGTTAGTCTTAAAACAACACACTTGAGTACACCACGTGATCGATTGCAAAATCACGTGATCGATCGCAAAGCAACTTCAAAGTAACTCACCAACACAACCAATGCTCACTCCATAGCGTCCATCAATACATCTATCGCACTGCGTTCCAGTTACATTAACTTTACAAGGACAAATACCAGTAGTCTGTAGGAAGAAAATAGGCCATAATAATAGAAGATCATATGAAAAACAGTCAACGTGTTTAAGTTGAATTTTACAAGTAGGGGAAGATAATTGGAGGCGAAAGCAGATTCCCATGAAGATAAAGGCTAAATTCAATGCACATTTAGCTAAAGTAAGTTTTGCTTTTTTTCCCAGAATATAACTGTTTACATACATGATACATGTCAATACCTTTATCAGAATAATCTTTTTGATACACGAAAGTTTGCATCAAAATAATCTCTTAATACAACGAGATTAACAAAAACAATGCCAAAATTCCGCACAGATATTTTCTTTTTATTGTTGAAGATGTCAAGTTGCGCATCAATGTATAGTTTCTTGAGGCAATGATATGCAGTTGGTATGATTAGGATTGAATAAGTTTGTCCTCGTTACTTAATGTAAACCTTAGCAAACATTAACTCTGTAACTGCCTGTGTAATTGAATAGAAGTGATAAGCCTTGCACTGTGGAATACAAAATACAAAAGATTACATGAAGTGACTATCATTAACTCACCAAATTACATTGTAGGCTCAAAGAACCATCTTCGAACAGTCACACTCCTTACATCCGGTCGCATTTCCGTAGTCCCAGGCTCCAAACTTACATTCAGAGCAGTTCCGATTGACAATGTTGTCTAGGCAATGACACTCGCCTGTGAATCGATCGCAAGTGTTGTTTATGCTGCCTCTCGGTGAGCACAGACATTCTATAAACGGAAATGGAAAAAAGAAATTTTAACAAATAAATCATCCACTCCTCAAATATCATTGCTATCCTTGATACCCACCACGACAGTTCTGCCTTGTGGCATCACCGAAGAATTCGTCCTTACAAAACTCACAATTACTGCCGGTAGAGTTATTTTCACAGTTTGATGAACAATCGCCTGTTGTTCTGTTACATGTCAAAGCGTTGCCGTTACATTCGCAGGGAGTACACACGCCATCAACCTAAGAGTTTTAAAATTTGAAATTAATACCAGATAATATAACACGTTAAACAGGTAACATATACAGGAAAACTTGCTTTATCAAAAAAGTTCACAGATACGTATCATGACATATGACTGAGTATTAACCGTCTATCCCCAAGAACTGGGTCCAAACCATGCCTCCTAAGGAACTGGGTCCCAACCATGCCTCCCAAGGAACTGAGTCCAAACCATGTCTCCCAAGAACTCGGTCCCAGTCATCTCTCCCAAACAACTGAGTCCCAACCATCTCTCCTCAAGAATAGGGTCCTCTGTCAATAAGCACACGAAAATTAATCAAACATACCTCTGTCGGTACACCGAAAAAGCCATCAGCACATGTCTCGCATTGATTGCCTTCAAAGCCGAGCCCACAGCGACATGCAAAAGAGCCATCACTGACGAGATCACATGACACGTGACCACCATAACACGTGCATGGAAGGCAAGCATTTCGAGAACCTGATGTGGCATTACCATAGTAGCCTAAGGCGCAGCGTTCACAATGATCCCCTGCAAGGAAAAGATGATTTGTCAGCTCAAAAATTGAGATCAGAGCACCATACGAAAGTAAATAAAATAAAGTTTTGATTTCAAATCATTCGTAATGTGGACAATAAGGTTGCTTTTATGTACACAGTGAAAAGAGAAAGGAGAATAAAACATATAGTTATATAACATTAGACTCGACTGAATAAAAACTTGAGATTCAACATGAAATTTTGAATGCTAGGCTTAAGACTGGGGTTTCAAAATCAGATGATTTTGCCATGATGCACCGGCATGTAAAAAAATAAAAGCTACCATTAAAGCACACACTAGATTAATATAGACTGAAAACGAAAGAATTGCAATTTGACTTTATAATCAATCGTGCAAAAGACTAACTGACTAAGTGTGTCAGAGCAAACATGCTAGGCTTAGTAATATCAAATTGTTTGCTACGTTAGATCAAAGTAGTGAGGAAAGTCGACAAGATTGCTCAAGCACATTTGCAACAAAAGGCAAGTTTAAGCTTTGTAAATAAATAAACCTGTTGTGTTGTATTGACAGTCGATACAGACACCGGAAATAGGATCGCACTTATCGCTGTTTCCATTGCAGCTGCAGGGAACACACTTCGTATAAGGACCAGACCCTGGAACCAAACGAGTATAGCCATCTGCACATCGCTCACACGAGTCACCGGCAAATTCACCTGGACAATCACACAGCTCCACTGATTTTGTCATGCGAGCGAGGTAAGGAGCCTGGGAAGGATCCTTATACACCTCACTCAGACGCATGTTGATGATGGCGATCGACGTTGTTGCTCCTGTGGTCTGAAATTTGAAAGAACAAGCTTATGAAAAAGCGTCGAGCAAATGAGAACAAAGTGACTAGTTTAAGATAATACAAAGAAAAAGAATAAAAAATAAACATTTAGACGCTCAAAGCTTTTCTAACTTGATAATCTAGTCAAAATAGAAAACTTTTCACGATAAAGACAATCGCCATTATACTCTTTAGAAATTTAAATATACGTGCAGGAAAGGAGTGAGGACCATAGGTCACAAGGGTAGCAAGACCCTTTTCGAAAGAGTTCGGCGAGATCTGATTCAAATGTGAATGTAAATCTCCACGTAAGTGTCAATATGTCCAAAAACCTTTTCCAGCCGACAATTTCAAGTGATACAAAATAAAGCATACTCAAAAAATCATCTTGCAAACACAAGATTCGAGTTGTATTAGAAAGGGGCGAGATTTGAAAGCAATATTTGAACTTTATTTCAAAATAATACAACTTTTAAACATCGTCACGTCACAAAGTATAATTTTAAGAGCAGTCAAACATTTTATTGAACATCATACATTGAACATTTATTGAGTCGTTTTTGATTGGTCAATTGACTTCGGCAATAAATACAGAACACACCAGTGGAGAAAATAGTAGTTTTGGGCAAAAACCTCAAAACTAAAAAAAATATGACTTAGGCAAAATTGATGATGTATTCTCTATCTCTTGCTAAGATAACTCGAATCTTGAGTTCAAATGATGATGTTTTACGGAGTATGTTTTTCTTAAATGTTGATACGTTACTTACATTTGACCACTTAGCTCTGATCCATAATTCCTCAAGATGGCTGAGAACAAGAACCATTTCATAAGAAGAGATATTTTTCCCATCGGTATTGTTCACTTTCCATTCGCCTTCTTCCAAAAAAACCTATGAATAAGGCGACATTAATCTGTCTTTTTCACCCGAAACCTTTACAAAATATTCGTCGCTTCAAACCACATCTTTAATGACGATATCATGGTGATAGTCGGTGAAAAAATTCAAGAGCAAATCGTCTGCGAGTTGAAAAGATTCAATAAATCAAAATCACTTACCGAGAATTCAGTAAATTTATCGCTGGGTCTTTTGTCAAACCTATGAACCAAAACGCCATCAAACCATTTGCCTTTCAAAATTACATCCCCTTGTGTGGTATCAAATGGATTATTCATATTATCCTCCACTTTTAAATAAAAAGAAAGTCTGTGTTGATAGGCTCTTCGCTTGTCGCCAAGAAATTTCATTGGTGCTTTGAAGTATACAATCTCGGCCGTACTGGAGGCGACCTCGATCACTCCAGTATAAGAGTCGTTGACGAAATCGAATACAGCAGACTGGCTCGGTCCAAAAGTAGTAGTCCAGTTTTGTAGTCCAGTTATATCATCGGGATCGGATACACTGAGTTTAGTAAGTATACTAGTTTCGAAGGTATTTTTCTTGGTAGTGCAGTTGTTGGTTTTCCCAGAGCATTGACATTTTAAACAACCAGTAGGATGATGTTTGTCGAGACCGTAAAACATAGCGGATGGACAAGAATTACATGTTCGACCAATCACAAACGACTTGCAAGAACATTCACCGCTCGTCTTGTCACACGATAAAGAAACACTCCCATCAACGTCACAATGGCAGTTTTCACAACCTTGAGCAGAAGAGATTTCTTCGTTAAGATAAGTATTCTCAGACGAAAAATTATTCCCGAAGTATAATTTGATGACAGAGCATTTTTTATCCAAAATATATTTCCCAAATCAAAAAAAATAGCAATGATCGAAGAGAAATCATCTTTTGTCTAAGCAACATGATTTCTCAGATTTTGCTCATAACCAATGAAACATTAAACTGGTTTCGAAAACTTTGCTTCTCGAAAATTGTGCTACAGACATCATAACATGACAGCGACATCAAACTGTTTTATACTGTCAACTTCCAAATAACGCTAAATGTTTTTCCACAGAATGCTATACTTCACATATAATAAAAGTGAAGACTTACCATTTAGAGTGAGATTAAACGCTGTGTCATTACATGCCTCGCATTTTGGTAGTTTAACGCCTGGTAAACAAGGGCAAACACCACGATTGTCGCATTGAATATTTGTCGAATACAGTTTGTCGCATGAACAGGGCGAGCAACCGATTCCTCTGTCGAAACCAAAGTAGTTTTTTTCACAATGACTACATTGTCGTCCAACAACACCGGACTTGCACTGACATTTGCCCGTCAATGTATCACATAATGTACTGTTTGATCCTATCAAATCACAATTGCACCCTGAAAAATAGCAAACAATCGTGGCATTCATTACCGATCAATCGATCCAATCACAATTTCATAAACCTTATCACTTATATCATCATATAAATTTAAAAGTGACCTACTTTGGCAACCGCTTTTGGAAAAATTGTAAAAGCTAGGCGCGCATCTGTCGCAGTTTAGACCAACAATGTTTGGTCTGCAGTTACACTGTCCGCCATCTTTGTTACAAGTACTGCTGTAAGACCCAGTCTCGTTGCAAGAACACGATCGACCACCATTATAAATTGCAGTAAAGTATGGCGCCAAGGACCTTTGCACATCGTCTTTAGCCCGTGACCAGGTTTCAAAGGCAAACGCTTTTTTATAGTAAAATAGCGTGTTGTTGTCCGCTTTGGGGTATGTGAAGTTCAGTACGCTCGGTAAAACGACCAACTAAATGAAAAACATTTCTCAAAGTTAAATAGCGACCTGTTCCGTATATCTTAAGTTTTATTCCAAAGTCATCATCAGAGAATATGTATAATATATTAATCCTAACACGGTTTTATATGCAAATGAAAAACATGTGACTTGGACGATATGTGAACTCGCACCTTCGGGTACCAGTCCGTCGCTCTACCTGTTGGCTTGGTAGCTCAGGTGCGAGTTCAAATTACGTCCAAGTCACATGTTTTCATGTGCATAGAAAACCGTGTTAGGATTAACACATTATGTATATTTTAAGGTTGAAGGTGACTTGAAATAGTTCATATTTTATTTAGATTAAAATCAACTTCAACTTTTTCAAAACAAAATACCTTAAATAGCTAAACAGACACTTTTTACAGCAACTTTGCAATCAAAGTCGATGTTTATACGTTATTTACGTCGTACTATGCCACAAAAAATCGCGTTACTATCCTATTCTATTTTATGCAAACGCAAACACTTACAGAATCAACGAGAACGCTACTTGAGGAGCGAGCTACGCTATGACTTCTGGGTAATGAAGGCAACTCCAGCGTTATTGCATAAGGACCATTCACAAGACAAGCATCGCCGAAATGCAATGCATTTAAGTGTGAAAATAAAGTGGCGGTAAAGACAAAGGAATGATTTCTAATTAAGATGGCATCTTGACAAGAAAATGGTGAATATGGACTCAACAGGATTCTACGTAACTTGACGTCTTTCCAATCGATTGCCGTCTAAAAAAAGACTTGAACTCAATTATCAGCAATCGGATCATAAACTCACGAAAAATTGTCATGAAGAGTGGGACTTCTTAAAAACGTTGTTCTTCATTGGAACTTCTCAAAAACATTTCTGTGCCAATGTTCTCTCTCGTGCATGAGAACAAATGAAAGACAAATCAGACAGTTTGTCCGGATGAAAAATACAAAAATGGCTTTGAAAAACGCAATTGCCATGGTGAATATGGCCAAAAATAACCAAAAATTTGAGATACTCTGCATTTCGGGAAGACAACTCGTGAGGTTTCAACATCTGCTCCTGATTATAAGTGAATCAACAACTTGTATTTTTATTAGTTGATAACATGATGACTTTTGAAGTGTAGGAACAGTAGTCGACATCAAAATGAAGCCAATTTGAAAAGAAATGTTTCTCTCTCCACAAAGAACCAGATGATTAAGTTCTTGGGTGACATTTGGGCTAGTGTTTCAATTCTAAAACATTTCTTTTCAGAACTATTGAGTTATTTTTGTTCGTTCACCATGGCAACTGTACTTTTCAAGGCAATATCAAAAACAATGACTGAGCTCGCTAATGCTCTTCTTTACAAGAACTTGTCAAAAATAGTCATTGTCCGCAATAAAATTGTTTCCTAGTTGACGTACGTATTAATTTCTGTAAATCATGATTAAAAACTCAAATGCAAAACACAACACAAACCTGATATCTTATAATCAATGAATACACGGACGTTTTTGGAATAAAGATTTGGAAGATTAGAGAACGAGAATATTGTTCGCCATCGAGAAGAACACCTGCCTTTGAAGATGTCTGGTTGAAATACTGTAGATTAGGATGGAACTGGAATAAATATAATAAGAAAAAACATGATACAATATGGACGATGTAAGTCCGTTAAAACTCGGGGGGGTGCACGGAGTTGTATAACGTTATTCATTTGATAGCAAAAATCTTCAAATTTGTATAAAAGGTGTTTATATTTTTCTTACGACAGAGAAATCTCGTATTCTTCGAAACCATATTATATTTCAATGATTGTTCGGTCCGAATCTTATACTTTTTGCTTTTTAAAAGGTTTCATAAAATTTTAAAAATTGCTATCAAATGGATAACGCTATCCAGGCTTTGTGCAACCGGCCCCAGGTGTGAAATTTATGTCGCTATCATCTAACCTGTTCTGCTTCGAAAGTAGACTCGATCACACCTGGAATGTACGAGTTGGCTTCTAAAACGTTGCATTTTGAACCAGAGAACTTATTACGACAGTTACAATGGCCTTTTGTTTGATCGCACGTGAGATTGACAGAGCCAACACGTGAACACGAACAATCTTTACAGGGAATGACGTTTGAGAACGTTAGATTGTAATAACCATCCTAAGAATAAATATGAAATCAGACACAGAAAAAAAATAGTTGTAAAAAAGTTTATGAAAACTGGCATCAAGTATATGAAAACCGGCATCATGTAAAAACAACAGCAGTTTTAAATGCTCATTTGGTTCTCACAACATGATTATCACAACATGGTTCTCACAACATGGTTCTCATAACATGGTTCTCACAACATAGTTCTCACAACATAGTTGTGAATAACATGGTTTCTAGCTTTACATGGTTCTCATAACATGGTTCTCATAACATGGTTCTCACATGATTTCTCATAACAATCGTTATAGTTATCGTTCCATTGTGCATGTTCATTCTCGTTGTCATTCTAACAACATGGTTCTCATAACATGATTATCACAACAAACTGCTTAACAAAATATGGCTCACTATGAGATAATCTAAACTAAACTCACACTAACACTTGTGTTTTTACAAATCGGCAACACCCACTGGACTCAATATTAAAACCGTAATTAAGTGTGCCAAATGCATAAGTCACCAATGCACTTTTGTGATAGTCTGAAGAGCCCATTGTAATATACATATCGTGGATAATAAAATCAGTCATAACTCCGGTACTCCGGTGAACAGCATTATTAACCAACCAAACGTTTTTCTTACCTCACATTTCGTGCATTCAATGCCAACCAGATGATCTACATGGACATTGACCGGTTACTTGATCACATACAACAGAACCGTTCACTGTTCCAGCACTTTGACAAATGCATTCTATGACCATAATCAAATATATCGGTCGGTACGTTCTAATGATTCGATGCAACTTCTAGATTCGTTTACTCGGTGAGAATATAGTTGGTCGGTTCTTTAGGTTTACGTATAGTTATGATTAGATGACATTTTTCAATGGTATCTTTAGGTTGTTCATTGGTACTATTAAATTTGCCAGCTTCGGACCAAGATATGGCCAATAGGTTGTTTGGTATGTATATATTTAGAATGTTAGTTGATACTTTTGGTTTATACATATAGATGGTTGTGGTACTTTATATGGTTGGTCTTTAAGGTTTACATCTGTATATGGTCGTTTGGTACCTTTGATTGGTACGTTTAAAAGGTAGATAGGTAATTTTCGGGTAATTTTAGATTCGTTTGTACCATTCCGTGGTCGGTCGGTTCTTTGGTTTACACTTTTAGAAAGTTGATTAAAACTTTTGCTGGTAGCTACACGAGGTTTACATGGTTTACATAAGCGGTTTCTGATTGCTTCGTGGAAGATTCTTCCTTCGGGCTCCAGAAAACTTACTATTATTAAGAGATTTCTAGACGAAGGGCCTAATCGTTAAAAACGTCACGGAACCATTCACAAATCATTCAGACTGTCGACCATAGACGAATAGCAAAGCTAATTACTACTCACTTTGACAACCGCTAGGATTATCACCAGACAAATTCCAAAACTCGTCCTTACATCGGTCGCACCTTCGCCCGGTCACATTTGCCTTGCAGTCACATTGTCCGGTCGTCTGGTCACACACATCGCTACCAGGTTCACCAGTTATACCAAAGGAATTACAATTACATGCTAAAAAAAATACGCTTTTAAATTTTTGTAAATCCAGATACAATGAGCACTTTATATGAAGCTGAATAAGAATTATAAGCAGTTACACCTGCAAGGATGGTCAATCACCTCCCAAGATTTTCCATAAGTATAGGGATAAGGGGGGTTTTAAAGTAAATGGTTTGAACCCGGGAGTATTGTTACATGTTTGTAAATGTAGATCGTCCAGGTTGGTATAGTCCTGAGAAGGACTGTTTTTGTTGTTGTTGACTGACGTTTCGACAACCTTAGCGGTAGTCATCTTCAGAGTCAAATGGGGGTTTTAATGTTCATTTACATTACATATCTTAACTTAAATCGGTAATTTTACAATTTATTTGCTCTTTGTCATCAGTTCCAACAGTAGCACTTAGATTGCCATAAAACTACAGAAAAAAATCCAGGGGGGGGGGAATGTCCCGACGATGGAAATTCAATGATTTTTAAGTGTAAAACATTTGAAAAACTACAGCTACATCCAAAAAGTTTCTCCCCACTTCTCAAAACACATTTGCACTGAAATAACAAGACTGTTTATGTGCTAAGAATTGCAACTTAAGGCTCAATATTTTCCTCTTTCGAATGCCTGAAATGATGCATACACTGACCTTGACATCTATCTGGATGCACAACAGGTAGCAACTTTTCATAGAAATATGGTAAGCACTGCTCACATGAATCACCAGTTGTATAGTCAGAGCAATTCTTGCACACACCTCGACCTTTTTCTTCATCATATTCACACATTGATGAATGGTTGTTGCATTCACAAGCTTGAATAGAAAAATGAATGGTTAACTTCATCGAGGGCAAATGTGGTGGAACTTATATATAATTACTTCATGAAAATGTTAACAAGAATTAATCAGTGATGGACACTTGGAGGGAAGAGGTGATTCATGGTTAATAAACATAATATAAAAAAGTCCTGGGGCTAGTTGCACAATGTCTGGATAGGGTTATCCATTGGATAGCACAAATTTTCAAATTTATACAAAAGGCTTTTTTATTTGTCTTACAACTAAGAAATTTTGTAATCTTAGAAACAATATTTTATTTCAGTGATTGCTCAGTTCGAATCTTATACTTCTTGCTTTTTAAATGGTTTTATTAAAGTTAAAAATTGCTTTTTAGTGGAGAACGCTATCCATTGGATAACGCTATCCAGGCTTTGTGCAACTGGCCACTGGTAACTCCAGCATTGTCATTGAACTTATGCTAAAATGTGACTGACATCAAGTTCCTAGGTCCATGAAATGTAGTATGTGAAAAATGTGCTACTTTTAATTGTTTTAATGCATTTCTAATACCTGTGCAAGCTTTTCCTGGCTCATATTTCTCTTGATTATACAATGAAAGACATTTTCCACAATTGTCACCAGTTGTGTTTTTCAAGCAGTTGCATTTCCATCTTTCCTGTACAAAATCATTGACATAAGTCAAATTTATACACAACATCAAGTGTAAACTCTGTGTTGATGAAAAAGACTAACATTAACCATGGTGCTAACAGGTTTGAGCAATTTGCATACCCATTGCAGTGTGGGCATGCAAAATATTTTAGAGTAGCACTGGAAAAGCACCTTTTCCAATGACTATCATTCTTTGTTGAAAAATCAACTTTACCTTAGCATCACATTCAGCAGATTGACCATTACAAAAGCAACTTCCACGAATTTGCCAATCTTTAACAGCAAAAAAGTAATTTCTTCCATCAGCTCTTTGCCTATCAAAGAGACGCGGTACCTGAAATTTGACCAACACCATCCGAAAGCTGGTAGCTAAGAATTCTCTTTGCAAACTATAGTTACGACGTATGCTTGCAGCAAACTGTGAGTCTCTCCAAGGCTGATATGATACCTAAATAAAAAAATAGTCAAATGTGATTTATACATCCAGACTGTGATTTTTTTGCAAAAATTAATATTCATCAGGAAAGAAACCTTAAATTGTGTATCCATCAAGTCAAAACATTGCACATTGAATCCATTACGATTCTTTTCTTGGGTTCCTGACATGTTGAAGTAGGTCTTGCAGTCAGTTGAAAAATATGCCAAAATTTGCCAAGTTGACCCATCATCAGCGCTTTTGGAGAAGTACATGGCCGCTGGAGAGCTGTATGCAAAAGTAGCCGTAATTGCAACGAAGAAGTATGCGTGTCCCAAATTCAACTCAAGCACTACATTTTCTACTAAGTTTTCCGATTTCCAGTAGCTGTTATCCGCATTAGCGCCACTGTCTATGGTTAGATTTACACCACGATATGTCGATGGTATAGCATTGTTGCATTGAAAACAATTCCCGTTGACGCAATAATCTTCGTTTCCATTCAACCCGCAAGTCGAATTTGCGATAATTGTTGCACCTTTAACTGTCTCAAGATCCCAGTTCGGTGGAAAACACGAGTCTTTCGTACAAATATTCGAATTACCAATTCCAAAGGACATGCACGTAAGAATAACTATAAGCACAAGACTACTATTCATATCTGTACTTTTCGCGACGTTCTCTCGACTCTAAAAGGTTTCTTTTACTATATCCCATTATAGGCAACAAGCAATGGCCAAGTTGGCTTTGTGATCTCATAAATTCCAATACAGGACGGTAGAACCATGAAAATTTCTTGTTTTACTTGTAATTTCCATAAGAAAGTGCCTTCGGTTAAGCAACGTGCGTGTATGGAGACTTTACAACAACGTGATAATGTGAAAAGATATACAACTATAAGAAAAGACGTTTGTAACCGCAAGTTTGTACGGGATATAAATTAACTTAAGTCGATAAATTAGCAGGAAAATAAACTAAGCATGTATTTTTCCCGCGGTCAAAACTCTTTGAACTAAATATATATATCGTAAATTCTCTCTACTTATTAAACTTCAAACTCCAAAACTGAACGCATTTGTGGTGTCCTAGCAACAACCAAAATAAAACAAATATTTATCCGCATAAACTGCGCTTGCGCAATAACACACAACGCAAATTTCATTACCTGCAAAGGTTGAGGAGTAGTAGTTGAGTACAACTGACAATTATTATTTAAACGTATTACTTTAAATAGTATTATACAGTCATCAAAATATTAACTTCACGACATCCTTATCTCAGGCTTGCTTTGAATTTTAATTTTTAATTTGACAGCATTCTTCATACAAAATTTGAAACATTGTCACACATAACAGGGCTTAAGTTTGTTCAAGCAAAAAATTGCTATTTTTGTTTCACTCGTCTCTCTCAAATTCATCGACAGAAAACTCAGAAAATGAAAGCCTTTAACATATGTGAACTCACGCACATGGCCACGCAGTCTCCATCCAAAATCACTACTGTCATAAAAACTTATTCTTCAATCCGATTCCGTTACACTCGATTATAAACGTTTCTTCACACCCATCCTTTCTTTCGTCTTCGGGAAAAGGTTTAACGTGGAATTTTGCCTGCAAAAAGCAGTAAAAATCAACAAAGGCAACAACGAAAGTTTCACTAATTTTAAGAAATCGACGAACGTACATTTGTCAACTGTTCGGCCACATAAATAGCAGTTTTAGTATGCAGAGTAATTTGGCCCGTTTTTATCGAAGATTTCCCTTCTGCTAATGCCATTAGAATTATAATCTATAAAAAAATTCTACATGTAAGTAATGCTGAGTGTATGAAAACAAACTTATTGAAGTAAGTAGGCAAACTAATCATACAAGACATCTGGAAACAGAAAGGATAAATGTGGAGGGTCAATGATGAAGGTTAAGAACACTACAAATGTTATTGGTGAAGGTCAAAATAACAGGGTAATGTTGAGATAATAGATGAAAAATAAGGTCATTTGTGTAGGTTAAGGTCACAAATTAAAGTATTGAATTAGGTTAAGGTCACTAATGAAGGTATTTAATTAGGTTAAGGTCACTAATGAAGATATTTAATTATGTTAATGTCACGAATGAAGATATTTTCAGATGATAATTAAAGTAAAGCATTTTTTTAGCACGATTAAACTACCTTCAAAGCCAATAAACGAATATTCAAAATGCATGCTGAGAAACGATAGAAAAGTGTACTCTCAAAAGATTATGAACCGCAAGATTTTGAACATGAATCCATCTCTCACTTGGTCTTGTAAATGCTGGTCAACACAACTGTTGCTTTCGATGGCATCCGTGAGTTCCTTCACGGCAGCGCTTGCAACTTGTTCCGCAGAAACACCTGGTGAATGGAAAGATGGCGGTATATTAGCAACAAAACACATCACTCGCATGTCAAAACAATGAGTTGTTTCTCTGTCATCTTAATTCATACAAAGCGAAGAATGTACAAAGAAAAACTTCTGCCGATTGTTGGATTATAAACTTGCAATATCATTCTGAACTAACCTTTCCTTCCAACGGAAGAACCCGCCAATCTACACCCGGTGGAGGTTTCTGCCACAATCCTTAACGATGAAATGAGTTAAATCACATGATTGAAAAATAAATTTTTTATGCTGCCACATCATGAATAAGTCGAAAGACACGAGCGTTAAAAATATAATCAAACTTTTGAATTTCTTCGATTATTTAATGTTCAGTATCTAGTCCACAAAACGGATTCGTCAAGATTTAATTCGCTTGATGCTCATGGCAACGACACGTGTTGTCTCACCAAATTCCAGAGCCAGTACCAACAGCTTTATGATTTGGCTCTTTTGATGATTTGATGTTCATAGGAATGTCGTATCTGCTCTTCAGTAAACTTGCTGCCTCTTGTGCCATACGTTGAGCAACCTAGTACAAAGTAAAACGGATCTTAACAACCCATTTTTAAACAATGATTAGTCATTAGACATTGTCTTTTTACATCTACTGTCACTTAAATTTACGAAGTGTTCTTCATTTTGTACGAGGGAGGCAGATCACGTGATTTGCTCGTACAGCTGCTAGACTTATTTAAAGATTTTGATTTTCTAGCTGTACATAAGATTGCACATTTCCAGTCACAGCTAGGATAATGAGCAATCATCAAACAACACTGATAGTCTTTGATAGTTGAGCTTAAAAAATTTTTCACATAGTTTTCAAGCTGTATTTTATTGCAAAGACCTGGTGAGATCAATAAGTGTGTGTGCAGGGGTCTCATATTCATATATGCATGAGATGCAGTGTTAAATTCTTTTGAAATTCATTGTTCTCCATGGATTTTAACATGGATGTATGATTATGCACACCCCACAGTTATCGATGTTTGTACGACCATAAAAATAATAAATAAATCGAACATAAATGAAGTCAAACTGAAGCATAACAACTTATAGCAAAAAATTCAATAAAAACAGATCACCAAAAGACACTCAAAGTGCATGCCAGCAAAGAGTGAAAGAAATTAATCGCATACCTTGATAGATAAAGCACCAGCAACATAAGCTTGTGCCCAAATTCTCCTAAGAACACCTCTTTCCATTATGGTCACTGAATTCAGCTTGCTGGCAGGCTGGACCTTCACCTGAACCTCGCCTCCACCCTTGGGATAGTATCCCCTGCATTTAAGGGTTTTTTTGTGATAAGATTCAACTACATCAAGACAAAACCCTAAGGTGCCCTCGTTCCTACATACCTCATTATAACATCAATGTAAAATTTCCCCCCAAATCTTTCAGCAATGGGTTGAAATACCTGAAATATTTGAAGAAATCTCATATTTCATGAGCCTAAGTTAAAAAAATACATAAATGAGGAATTACATTGTACCTGAATCATATAATCTATCTGAGGAGCCATTTCACAATTAGTACCACCCTTCAGGACCATGTTTGAATCGGCTGGTGCATACAGCAAACAAGGCAGGGCAATCTGAAGGAGAAGGCTGGTGCTACCTGCAGTTCCAGTATCGGCCAAAAATTTGTCACTCACGACATTTTCAGGACAAAATGCTATCATTGTTGAGCCTACCGACGCACCATCCAATTTTCCATTGCAGATATCACGGACTAGATAAAGCCCTGAAATACAAAAAACATTTGTGTAATAAAAAAACAGTATAAACTGACTTTCTTCCCCGCACCCACCCCCCTCCCCCATTACCTGTTGCATGCTGAGGACGTAAACCAGGAATGCTTCGACCAGCTCGAATTTTGCTCACGCGTACACGTCGTTTCAAAACACATGCAAAGGTCATAGCATTACGTAAAATCTGTCCACCCTAAACCAATAAACACAAATAATGTAGACAACAATTTTTCACTATGAGCGCAAAGTTACACAAAAAAATAAACTCACTCCTTCGAGTAAACTACCGTCGATCTCAACTTCACTCCTATCGGCCGCCATGTTATTTCTTGCTGAAGTCACTGAAGTCGTGAAGTCGGCATGAAAGTCGAAATAGGTCGAAATACAAGTCTTTTTTGACGGGAAAAGGGTGATAAACTCTAAAAGATTTATCTATAAACCACAAATAGTGCAGTGAAGTAAAAGAACAAGTTTTACTATCGCTACCTCAAAGGATTTTTACATTCCCATGTAAGCATTAGTACTGTAATACTGTAATACCTAGGCGCTCGTACCAGTTCTCTTTCGAGTAATAACATGTGATAACAAGAAAAAAATGCCAAAAGTTACAGCATTCAAAATTATATGATAAAAGTGACCTTAACGCAAAAAGAAATGTACTTTGAATTCTATTGATAAATTATAAATACGTTTTCTCAGCTAAGACTACCTGCTGCTTTGATAACGTCATCATTAACTTTTATAATCGACCAAAAAGTTGTGGAAAAAACAGAGACACGCCACAATGCAGGCAAATTATTACATCACAAATCTTAAAAAACGCAAACACAAACCGCAGATAAGGATAATTGTTTAGAATAAAAAGAAAGCTTTTAAAATCTTTCATTAAATGGAAAATCGAAAAATAGATCAACACATTTATTCACAGATAAGCGCAAGTTGATCAATCCTCTTTCTTGAAATATTCGGCGCTTCAAAGACAATAAAAATGAATACAAAGGCAATAAAAAATGGTAGTTAAGACTCTACATTTGTGGAATAAAATTCATTGACAAGAAAGCAAATACTTTAAACTTATTGAAGGTTAAAGTTAATCGACAAATTAGGCAGCTGTTTCATCATAGACATAAATAATTGAAAAGTACAAAGTACGACGTTTTATAAAGTTATAAGAAAATCCTCGTATTTTTTTTATTAGAACTGAAATATCTTTATAAAATACCAATGTTTAGTATAGCATGCATGGGTAACATACGCTGGAATGTCATCGCGTGAATTTGGTATGTATCTATTTTGTTTAATGCAATTAGCGGGTCTAATTACCACAGTTTAATTATTGAATGGCTTCGCTGCAAATCTTTCTGATTAATGCAAAGATTGACAGCGAATGTTCGCCGCAACAAGAAAAATGTTTGCGACACAATCAAAGCTGAAGTAATTAAAAAAACAACCGCCTTAGCTCACAATAACTCTAACCGCAGACCAACGCGTGATCCATTATAAAACCGACAATTGTTTACAGGCCAAACAGAATGAAGAGTTCTGCAAAATGAATAACTGACAAGAACCTTCATTTGACTTTAAACTAATTGTCATTAAACTATTTATGAAGCATTAATGATTCAAAGCACACAAGGCTTTCTTCATTGGGGTACATATTTGTTTGTCGACATGCTGGACAAGATAAATCTAACGTAAGTCCTTGGTTTGAGATATCATCAAAATAAATCACCTTAACGTAGATAAAAATCGATGTATTTCTTTGGGGAGAGTAAAGCTAGCCATAGCTTATGACAATACCTCACGAAACCAGTACAAATAATGGATGAAGACGTAGAAACAAGAAAATTATTGGAAAACGAAGATAACGTAGAAAGTGGAAAACAATCACAAAAGCCATGGTTTTATTTACCAAGCAGTAACGAAAGAATAGATGACGAAAAAAGCAACGATGGTGACGAAAGAAAAGATGAAATATCCTCAATGCAAACCTTTTCAACATATGCAATGGTAATTTAGGAACGGGAATCCTAGCTATGCCCTTCGTCATTCGTCTTGCTGGATCTTGGGGAGTTGTCATCATAATTTTCATCGGCTTCCTGGGCAATTACACAGGAAAGATTCTCATAGATTGCATGTACGACATAGAGCCCTCAGACGGACGTCGTAAAAGAGTACGGCATACTTATCCTCAGATTGGCGAAGCCTTCAACCATACATATGGCACATTCATGGTCCATATAGCAAATTGTTTTGATCAGTTTTCTCATTGTGCTCTGTTCCTCATAATGATAGGCATGGTCATGAAACATGCATTTCCTAGCATCCCATTATCGGAAAGCGAATGGACTTTAATTATTGGCATCCTTATTCTTCCCGCCATATTCATACGTAAGATGACGCATTTGGCGTGGTTGGGTACGCTGACCGCATGGGTTTCTATCGCAATTTCAATAGTCGTACTGATCTATAGTTTTACCAAGTGGGGAGTCTGGACAACAACGATGCCGCCATTCAAAATTAAAACTGTTCCTATAGCAATCGGTGTTGTCATGGTAAGTTATTCGTCAGCGGCATACTTGCCAAAAATGGAGATGGCGATGAGGTATCCGGAGGAATTCGGTAGTATAATGAATTTTAGTTACAGCGTGGTGACATTTTGGAAATTGTTCTGTGGTGTCGTTATATACATGACATTCAATGAAGAAACAGATCAGATTGTCGCTTTGAATCTCCCTCATGGTCCTTTCAGGGGAGTAGTTTGCGTTTCGGTAGTAATACTCGCCCTATTCTTCTTCACAGTACCGGCCTTCACCATTTTCGACATCGTTGAAAACCATCTGCAGATTCCTTGGCTTGCCTTCAATTACACAAATGAAAAGAGAGTGATCATTTCAGGTTTCCTGCTTCGCTTCTTTCTCATGTTGTTTACATTGATTCTGGCAGTTTCCGTACCACATTTTAGTTTGCTAATGGCGTTCGTTGGCTGTTCTACTGGTATGATACTAGTTCTCGTATATCCCTGCATGTTTCATTTGAAGATCCGCTGGTCAGATTTAAAAGCATTCGACGTTGCCGCGGAGCTTTTCGTGATAGGCTTCGCGGTGATTGGTGGAGCTCTTGGTATAATATATTCATCGCTTGCTCTCTACACCGTGTATAATGAAACCTAATGCTTTGCATCGATAACAGATATTTCAACAAAGGCAAAATAAACCATTGCGCAAAGCATAAACTTGTGAAAGCAGACTAACACTACCGCAGTAGCTAAATAGATACCGTTAATCTCTTCAGATCAAAACAGTGTTGACTAAATTATAGACAAGAAAGGTCCAATGAATACTGTACAGTTTGCAGTAAGCAAATAAGTCAATTTAACAAAAATTTAACTTCAGTAAGTTAAGACTAATGACGTACCTAGCTCGATAATTGGCGAAGAATACTTATAAATGCATGTTACAATCCAATATTTAAAAAGAAATAAACACGTCGAAATATGAATGTTTTCCTCCTTAATTTAGAGCTTGCCGCACCGTAGTTCTATGTCTATGTCAATTTCATAAATTTACTAAAGATTTCATTTATAATAATCCACAAAATGAATAGTGAAGTCAATGCTAATTCAATATCCTGCATTTCCAGCTTCTAAAATCAGACACACATCAAAATTCGTTGCTCTCTGCAAAAACTCTGCGTTCATATCTTCCCAGGAGAGATGTAGACAGGTACACAGTGTCCTGTTCAAGCACTCAGCATACACAACGCTTTCATAAGCCACTTCGTTATACACACATATCAATCAAACAATAAATTTGATGAAACTTCCCAACCTTAGATCGTGCGCAGTCGTACATTGTCGTACCTTTCACGTGACGTCAAGAAAGATTTCTCGACAGTCACGTCATTTGAGCATCTAAAGCTTGATTTAACCAGACCGGTTCGTGTTGTGAAATCTTTTCCATAATGTCATTAACTTGACTACAAAGTCCTTGAATTTGTTTATCCCACGACGGAAGGGGCTTTTGAGCTAAATGGACGATTTTCTAAGATCTCAACAAGCACATCACACGACACTTCGATGTCAAATGAAAACAAAGCTATGATGCATTTAATCTTTAGTATCTTGTAAGCAACATTGATATAATTACTCCAGTTTAAAGGTTTACACAAAAATGTTTCCTGAAACAGTTGTTCGAAACTGGACTATACTAAACTCAAAAATGAAAGTTTTACGAAGAACTAGATTTCACGGCAAGACAGTCAATGAACATTTAAGGAGTAAACGACAGCCTATTGCTAAGTAAATGTTGTTTTTCTCTTTTAGAGAAACCTACATGTCAGGCAAAAAAGCAATTATCTTTGGATCATTATATTAGTAAATCGTAGTCCGGTTGTAGACACTTACCGGAGTAGTTTCCAGTCTTCCGTTTAGATAAAACGACCAACATGATGATATAAAAAGTTAGTGTAAATTCCTAACTAATACTTACTTTCAAAATGAACAACGGCGTCAATTTGGTCAATAGAACCATTCATACGACCTTCCGAGATCATCTGCGATGCAATTCTTTCAGCCTAAAGTTCGAGGAACAGGACGGCATTAAACAAACATGAATGAAGTGAAAAAAAAAACAGCAAACATTTCAACAAGTTCGTAGCGAATTGATTCCATCAAGTTACCTTGGTCGCCGGAATTTCCAAGAGAGCGCCTAGCTCGGGAAAGTTATGTTATTATAAAGTTTACTTGCGGAAAGAAGATTGTGTTCAACAACTGCCCGATCAAGAATACTCGAACCTAAAAATAGAAAATATCAGGAATGTAAGACTGTGTTACGCATTGAATGAAGATATGATCGTCGCACTTTGCTGGACAATTTAAGCAATTGTCTCATGAACCTGAAAAATTCAGGTGACTCAACGGGATCCAATTTCAAACACCGCACTGCAAATAACAATCTTTCATACTGTGTTACGCATGTTGGACAATACGACTAATTCACTGATTTTAAAGCGTTTCAAATTTGAAATTTCAATATTTGCACGCTTATTTTGATATCGAAATATTTCATTTAATTTAGATCACCACACAAAGTGTTATGGTACATTTGCCTGATTGTACATTTCTTATCTGCATATTAATCACCTCTCTGAGCTTTAGGTAATTTGTATAATTGAGGCTAGCATGCTAAAATAAAGTTTGTGCTGACATTGTGTAGTATGAAATGATATGGCATATGGTTATGGTTATGGTATGGTATGGTATGGTATGGTATAAGGTATGGCTATGGTATGGTGTATGGTATGGATATGGAATATGGTATGGGTATGAAATGATATGGAATAGAATGGCATGTTATATGGTATGGTTATGGTATGGGTATGGTATGGTATAATATGGTATGGTATGGTATGGTATGATATATAATATGATATGGTATGTTATGTTATATGGTATGGTTATGGTATGGTATGATATGGTATGATATATAATATGATATGGTATGGTATGTATGGTATGGTATGGTATATGGTGTGGGTATAGTATGGGAATGGTATGATATGGTATTGTACGATATATGGTACGGTATATGGTATGTTTATAGTGTATCTTGGCATCTAATATGATACGCGTGATGTGGCTTGAAATTGAATTGAATGCAAGCTTATGTTTTACCATCCGCCATCTTCGCCTTTTGATGATCTTTCAATAACGTCGCAAACTCTTGAAGTTCTGAGCCGCGGATTATTCGATCCAAATACCTTACGAGATTAAAATATCTTAGATCAGATTAGCACAACAAGGATGAAACTGCTGACGTAATGCCATATACATTTTACGTAATATCCCACAGGCCCTGAGTTGTTGACATCTTTCATCTTTGAATAATGTTGCAAGCATTCTTGAACGTTGTTGACCTAAAAATAAAAATTAATCTTTCGATGTTTGGTTTGATTCTACAGTGAAAGGGGAGAGGGATGGTTCCAGTTTCACAATATAGTACGACATGATTTTAGTTTGGGATGTTTTAGTAAGAGCACATCTGTCCTTGACATGCCCATAAGATAATTCTGCATTTGTTCAGATGTATATACATATACATAAGGCATCTTACCAGAAGAAAAAAAGACCTTATCAAAAGAAAAAAAAGACCTTGTCACAGAGTAAGTAGTAAAGTAAGAGATCTTACCAGCTGAGGCGAGTATTGTGCAATGCAGAGCATGCTCCAATGACGTCATCCGTTCACTGTCATCGACTTCTGGGCGATATGAAATTTCAAGATATCGTTGAGCGGCTTCAATAAACTTTCGCCGGCAGTCAAGAACTCTTGCGTAACAAACCTTCAAATAAAAATTAATATCTTATTTACTTAACAATCCCATGGTGCAATGCTTGCAACTAACACTATTTTAATCATTCTGGAGAGTGTTGTTGATTACTTTTTGCAAAATCAAAATAAAAAACGCGTACGCTGATTGGTCTAAACATAAGTTTGCATTAGCCTGTACAAACAGATCTGAGCTGAACCAATTAAACCAGTCAACGAGAATTTGCAAATCAATTATGAACACATGTTAAAGGAAAAATTATAATATTTGTTTTAGAATTGTCAGCTTCTCATTGTTGTCAATTTATAAACGAAATGAAAGATTTTCGTATTTGCTCAAGCTTTTCCAAACCTAGATGTTTTTGAGACTATCAAACAGGTGCAAATCCTCAACCTTCAACTTCGGGCTTGCACAGATCTGCTCTTGAGTTCTCCTAAAGGTCTCCTCGATTTTCATAAGCCTGAGCAAATATGTAGAGTAAACATTTTTTATTTCTTAAGTGTTACACACTTGAACCTGAAACATCTTAAACTCTAAGCTCTAGCTAAGTTTGCCTTTAGTGCAGCATCATTTAGATGTGGGGTTCAATTTGAGCTGTATGCCAAAAGCTGTATTTTTTTGCAACACCTACTAACTTGGTTTTATATTGCCATAAAACTCTCTCCAGAGACAACAATGAAGTTAGGCATTTGATTGCAGCATATTTCTATAAAATCCCTAAAAATGTCAACATTATGCTCGGGAAACGACGAATCCAACCTTGTATAAAATTTGAAGACGAACATTTGTTGTGTCTGCTTGGATAATCGATGCTCTGTTGATATATGCTTCGGCATTCACAGAGTCCTCATCCTCCAAATACAGTTGCGCAATCTTCAAATATGTTTCCAGTTTATAATTCAGAGAGTACTGTCTGAAAAAATGCAATACAACAGAAATTCAAACACGATATTCCAATAGCCAAACTATTGATATAACATCATAAAATGATGAAATTCTGAAAAATAATTGTGAAATTGATGTATGAATGATTAAGCTTCCTGAGATCTGAATCATGATGATATTCCTAGGAGAAAGACCTTAGCCATTGCTATCAGTCATTCATACGCCATGCATATTACTAAAATATTGATGAAAAACAACAAGTAAGGTTTGATGGCATTGAGAGAACTGAACAGCAATTGAAAATTTTCTTCCCATAAGCTAACAAAATAAACTGCCCAAAGGAAAATATCTATTAACACTTCACCCAGAACCCTTTACCAACATTCCTAAATTTGGTGACATGCAATTTGAAAATCACATTGCAATTGCAAAATGCACATCAAATTTGAAAAATTCAAATGTCCCTTAAAAAATATTGAAAAGAAAGTTTAGTTCCGTGTGAGTGATTTTTTAATCACTTACTTTTGTCCTGTTTCAAGTGGGATGGCAGCAAGAATGCCTGCTGCCTCTTTCCAACATTGCTCCTTCTCGTAGATAGTGGCAAGATGTTGACGAATAATAGCAACCTGTAAAAAATTAATGACCAGTTCTATACAAATAGATCATAAACTTATCGACCAAAAGCTACCTGTTCCTCAAATGAGATTGCACGAGGTTGAAGCTTCACTAAAGCATAAAGTGAGACATCTTTAGCGACGGCAGTTTCCAATGATGAGATGTGACTGCACAGATCGGTGAGGAGTTGACGTGAAACTACAGAGCTTACACTTTCACTAGAAACTAAACAGTATTGTTATGTCATCTTTCTCAAATAAACATCGTCAATTTGGGGATTGTTGAAATATGGGACTTAATATCGTGTTTGTCTATCTCAGTAACTGATTTTTTCAAATTTCCTCTAGATGTGAAAGAATACTTCCACAAGACACATATTGTGTATTCATTTATTAACAAAACAAAATGCCTTTCGACGGGAATTGATGAAACAGTAAAGATTATAGTAGCCTTAAAGAAAACAGTTAACGAGTTACATGTGATCGCTGTGAGCAAGCAACAGCTCTGAGAGCACACTTATAGACTTGGGACTTATTTCATTACATTTCAGTTTGTTTCCTTAAATATCACGAGCTTTTATAGCCTCGTAATCTGTTTAAAGGGAAAACACCAGTCACCTGGCACCACAGTGGCTGTGGAACAGTATGGTCAATAAAGATATAAGTGGCCCAAACCTGCGTCGATAAACGATTTTAACCCCTCAATAAGCTCTCCATTCTTTAATTGCACGACTTTTCTTAGAGTAATCCTGTAGCGTTCGGTGAGGTCTTTAGGAGGAAGTCCACTATTCAACAAACTTGCCAATGATTGAATCACTGGCGTCAAGGCAGCCATCTTGCAGACTCACACCCGATTAGTAATATCCAAATTCAACGATCCAATGACAAATTTCGCTGTAAAAGAGCGAAACATGCGACTCTTAGAGAAAAATTTAAAATGAGATGGGTAATGATTGCTAAAAACAAAAACAATTTTCAAGTTTTTAAGCAAATCATCATATCAATGAAATCGAATCCTCTCTTAAAAAAGTCAAACAACTTATTCATGTCTGAGATATCATGTTTAATTGGGTCCAAGTTTCAAGCATTGAGAAGTCACGTGACCTCTTACACAACGACATTTGGCTTACAGATTATCGTAAGAACACAAATAATATTTCCGATAATATTGATCCATAGTCAACGTTGCTTTTCTTTATTTTAATGCCATAAAAAATAAGGCCATATTTCTGAGGCTCGAGTTGTATTGCCTTACTTGAGGCTTTTGAAATTTCAGCAACAAGATTCCACAAAAAAAGCATTTTGCAAAAATAACTTTATTCCGAAAACTCACAAAGCCTATTATACGAATTTACTTTACATATAAAGTAGTTCTAAATGTTCTTTCAACATGACAAACACGTCGAAATAACTTGTAGCAAACCAAAATCATAAATAGTCGTTGACTCTCACAACCATGGTATGTACTTGCATAAAAATATTTTTATAAAAGCAAGCGCTTTCGAGGTTATAACGAAATAAAAGGCGCTTGTATCAAAATTATTATATATTTACATATTAAACATCAACATAAATAACACAACCAAAATATATTATCTCGTTCATAGAACTAAGATCCATCTCTACAACGTCAATTACCAATAAAGTTGGTTGCTCATTACAGTCATAAACTGCGGCATATTATATAAACTCCATAACAAAATTATACAACACCTGAACAAAACGCGCGTGATTATAAAACTTTGAACGAAAACATTTCAATTCTTCTTTCCTCGATAAGAGGATTTCAAAATTGTCCTTATCATAGAACTCGAAGAAAAACGCGTTCGCTATCTCTTTTTTATTTTTCAGTACTTTCCTCGGGTCAAACGGGATGATGATACCCTTGTCATGTAAATCATCATTTTATGTATCGGTTAATGGTATAGCATCAAGATTCAAGCTAAAAGGACTGCAATAGCACCATACATGGTAGATTAAACCATGCATCAGCCAACTCACGACGCCGTACGGAAAAAACCCCCGACTTAGCAAGTCGAACAATCCGAGTTCGAGGATCTTAACGGCGACGAACCCGAGCCCCATTGTTCGGGCGAGTGTGATGTCGGTGAAAGTTCGTACGGAGGGTTGGATATTGTGAGTTTCGATTCCTATTTCCACGATGATAACCGCCGTTCATCTGGACTAAAGGCGCATTGTTACTTGACATTGCATTCCACGCAGCTATTTCAGAAGGAGATCGTACCCACGTTTTTGGAGCTACAGGGGACTTTTGACGCATGCACGTCGGATTATTCACTCCGTTGGGAAGTACATTCCCCGGTGGACTCTGATTTGCATACAAACAGTCTTGATTTGTATTTGTTTGCTGTGCCGGTTGGCTATTCAACATAAGCTCGAAATCCGCAATATCAAGATTATTTTCAAAGTTCAAAAACTCCGGATTGAAATTTTCTTCACCGGAATGAGTGCTTCCGTATATCTTCTCCGCAAAAGAGTAGAATTCCGCGTCTGGGATTCCACCGTGAAGTGGATCCGAGTCTCGAAACGGTGACGTCATGCTGTCCATATGACGTAACGGAGGTGAAAAGTCCGAGTTAGGTGGACTAAGACTGCCTCCGCAACTGTTATTACTGAAAGGTGATAAACCATGAGGTGATGATGTACTATTGCCAGTACTACCATTTAAGATGGCAACCTGAACTGGTGGTTGACTTTCGCCAATATCCCTCGACCTTCGTTGTCTCTTCTTGCAAGGCTTCGAGCTTGAACCTGCCCGCCCGACTATTCCTGGGTTGCCGTTTATCTTAGGCCTGACATCGGGTGGAGATAACGTTCTGCATGCCAGGGTCGACATGTCTTCATTTGGTGACGTAGGCGCGGGAGCGGCAGTCGGTGACTTACAACCAATAGACCAATCAGAGAGGAGTGCCACAATATCAGCGTGCTCTCGTTGCTTAGCAATGTCCAATGGAGATTGATCCATGTTATCAGCAAGCTTGCGGTTGGCAAACGATGAAAGAAGTATTTTCACAACTGACGCGCTTCCTTCTTTGGAAGCAAGGAAAAGTGGAGTCTGACCCTGTCAAAAATAGTATAACTTAAATAAACATGGAAATACTAATGTAGCAAGACTTGAGTCGGTAATAAATCAAACAAACAGCCAGGATTTTATTCTGCTAATATTAACGTTTCCTTCAAGACAATTAGCATTTGCTAAAATCATTGACTTTACCATTATCATTAGTATTGAACAGCTACATTCACAGTGATTGATTTCATCATTAGAATCGATTATGAACATTGGTATTGGTCTTGACTTTGACCAATGGTATTAACAAAACAAAAAAATTTCACAACAAAAAACAACAGTTGCCATAAACATACTTTGGAATCCTGGGCATCTTTCTTCGCGTTATTTTTTAGAAGAAGCCGCGTAGCTTTTTCGTCATCGACAGAAGCAGCCCAATGCAAAGCTGTTTTGCCTAAAACAAGACGAAAGTGTTGAAATCTCATCGCATCAGTTAAAATTAACACTGGCTAACTGCATACCTTGTTTATCACTAAGATTTACTTTCGCTCCAGCTTTGATTAGTTCATCGACCATGTCATGAACCATAAACCGAGCGGCATAGATCAAAGGAGTCGTTCCATCATCGGACTGAGCGTCGAGCTCTGTCGTGCGATGTCGTAGTAGCAGCTGAAACACGTGCACACACAACCATGATAAGTTAAAAAAGAGAAAAGATGCACATGTTTATACGAATAGAGTTTGACAAGAGTAGATCAGCTTATCATCCATGCTTATGTGTTGCAATTAATAATATTATTTCAATGTTGCTACTGAGAGAGACAAATTCTCCTTACTTACTATAAATAAGTTAACCAAAAGACTTGGCTAAATTTCGAGAGATGTTGTTGTTGTTAAGAGTTCGAGATGAGCGAAGGGAGAGAAACATATACATATAGGATCAACGTAGTGAGTTCGTATGTATTCAAACAGTTGTTTACAATAAAGCTTAAGTTGTCTTTTCATACGACATTACCAATTGCAGGGCGACGGGTGTAATATTCACCAAATATACTCGAGTTAACTTGCATGAGACCCAGCTGAAGAACAATCACCTTACCTGAAACACTCCTTGAGCGTCTGCAGTAACAGCTAAATGTAGGGGAGTTCTACCCGTTCTATCACGGGCATTTGCATCAGCCCCAGCATCCAGGAGTCTTTTCGCAGCATCTGCGCGTACGTGTCTGGCGGCAAGATGCAATGCCGTTTCCTTATATTCATCTGATCTCAATTCCAAGCGAGCGCCGTATTGTATCAGCTCCCCAACAACCTAACATTTTTCAAACAGATCATTTTAAAACGCAGCAAGAAACCACGCAGTAAAGTACTACACTTTGTGGTTTGTCGAACAGAAAGTAGACAAATATTATTCCCAAATTGTACATTAGCTAGGGAAGATTGAAGAAAGTCGTTTTGTAGTTTGTTTTCGTAGCTATAATGTACAGAAAACGTTACCTGTGATCCACTGTCATCACTATTTCCGTCTTCACAAACTTCATCGAGGTAACTGCCACGTGATGCAGCCAACATCAGGGGGGTGATTCCACCGGACCAACCGCATTAACGTTAGAGTTCTGCGCTGCTGTGCTTTCTTGACCTTCTTGGGGAGGTGTAAGCACGGAAAGACTCGAAACCGTCCTGTTATTCACGTTTGCAACCTCCTTGTGTAATGTCGTCCATTGCCTATTATCTGGTCGATTCGCAATCCTCAATGGACCGTCAGAATCAATAAGCTTCATGCGCTTTGGCGGACAAACTCGCCCAGGGCAAACATCTTCCGTCATCTCTTCGGAGGAACTTGTTTTGCTCATTGAGCTGTTAAGTAAACACAAGACATATGTTGTATTATTGTCGGTTAAATCTTCAGGTAGAACGCTAACATCAGCCATTTTTGTAAGGCACTATTTGTCCATAAGCAAATAAAGAGACACTCCGATTTTTTGGTCAATTAAAATAGCTGCTGTGGTAAAATAAATCGAAAAAATCTGTGCTATTTCTTCGTATAAAGATTACTGATGTATTTTGTTTAACTTGCAGACAACCTGTTATGATACACTAAAACTATAATACTTTTACTGCAGCACATTTTGGAATATATTTACATTCCTAAGCCCTTACACACAAGTTCATTGGTAAATTTTTTATTCTTTAGAAATTCAAAACCAATGGTGTTTTTCTGAAAGTAACTTAAATTTAAAATCGAGCAGCTACAATTTATTTTGACGAACGCCGGACCCCCACTGGAAGCGAAGCCATGCCGATTTAAGCCAGGTTCATACGAGGAAGATAAGCACGAACGTCGAGACTTTTGTTTCTATTGCACTAGAGGTTTATAAAGACAAAGACATCGGGATTTTCTTTAAATCTTCTTTATGTTCTTTTTTTGTTCTCCTGGCTTATGCTTGAATTTTTTTCTTATGCTTGCGCTTATGTCGCGTGCTTCGTTAATTATTTCCGTTTCATCTTTTGTGTACGCTTGTGCCTATCCTTATTTCACTCGTGTGAACCAAGCTTAAGTTTTGCCATTTTTATACAATGCTCCGCTTGTGAATGTTGTTTTACTGTGCGTTTTCACGATACCTACTAAATACAAGCAGTTTCAACAAACAGAACTATCTCCAATTTCGGTTTCACAGATTACGGTGAAGATAATGACCACTGACCAATGCCTTTAATTACTATAATACATTTAATATATCTATAAAGGAGAACATACTTCTTATCGGCCGAATCCTCTCCGATCGGAGCATGACGTTGTGAACGCTGCCGTACGTTACGCGTCGAAAAACCTTCGGGTACCCAAAGTTTGGCAAACACACGCTTGCCTCCAACGATCACACCGATGGCAATTAAAGGAATTGTAACACATATGATGGCGATCAACAGGATATTTTCAGTTGGTGTTGTAGATTGTTCAGGTTTTGGTGCGGATTTAGTTTCTAGTGGCAAAATAAATTGCATGTCTTAATGATTTTAAATGGTAAACATTTCTAATGCATAAGAATCTACAACATTAGGCCCGTTCCAAACTTTGCATTTTACATGAGCCGAATGCATCTAAAACAGAAGGAAATGAGATAAAATTCCTCATTATCTTTTGTTTTAAATGCATTCGGCACATGTAAAATACGATGTTTGAAACAATCCCTAGATAGTCCCAACTAAATTGAATCGCAGTTTAGCTCAAGTTCGTTTTCATATTTCAAAAGAGAAATACCACAATTTCGTAAAAGCGCAACAGTCATAAGACATTTAAAATAAACGACAAATTTCTTCAAAGCAAACATGTTTCGGCATACTTTATGCCATCTTCAGTGCGAGGTGAATCAATAGGAAATTTACATGATAATGTATATTTATTATATATATTGTAATAAAGCGGAAGTACAGAATAGTTGTGAAGAATTATTTACAGTTTATTAAAGTGCAATAAAATGTTTGTGTCAGGTGTTGTAAAAGAAAAAAAAACCCCCAAAAAACACCTAACACGAATATTTTATAACACCTTAATCAACTGTAAATAAATATTCATGACTATTCTTACTTCCTCTTTATCACTACATATATAATCATGTAAACTTCCTATATTGATTCACTTCACACTGAAGATGGCAGAATACAATATATTAATCCTAACACGGTTTTTATATGCACATAAAAAACATGTGACTTGGACGAGATTTGAACTCGCACCTTCAGGATACTAGTGCGCCGCTCTACCTGTTGAGCTATCAAGCCCACATGGATCGGAGACGAGTCAAATCTCTTTAAAACTACGTATGGACGAGAGATGCTCGCCACGATAGCATAAAGTATGCCGAAACATGTTTGCTTTGAAGAAAATCGTCGTTTAATTTAAATGTCTTAGAAATACCACACAAATTGATAATTTAGAGCGTAAAGAATGTGTTCACACGATGTTCACAGAAAAATTTCTTCTTTAAAACTTTCATCAAAATGAGTTTTTAGGTTGAAATGATTCTTGCTTATCAGTAACGAACTTTGTGTGACGATATTCTTCTCAGTCAACGATCTAGAACCCAATCTACTAGATACCTGACTTTACCAATATTTTCACAGCATTTTACAGTGACGCAGGCCGTCACCTTGAAAGGTGGTAAAAAACGACAATATTTACAACTAAAATTTGCTTCTTTTGCGTTAATAAATGGTTTTCGAGTTTGTAGTACGGGTTTGGTTTTCACAAAATTTGACAGGATTATTTTTTAAGCTATCTTCTGGCTTAATTTCGATTGAGAGTTTTGCTTTTTTCCCCATTTTAAGAGTGCGTACTTGCATCATCTCGAGAAAGTTGTTAGAAATCAAGGGTAAATCATTGTTCCAAGGCTTTTATCTAGAATAATATCGCAAACCTTCACTCCCTTACCTAATTTATACGGATCGCCCGGCAATTTAACGCCTTTGGTTTTCAAGCCTGCCAGATAGTTGGCTGCCTGATAATTTGAGATGAAACAATCTTGCTTGCAATATCTGTTGTCGATCTTCAGGCCAACCTTAGACCTGAAATGTAAAATAATTCGTTAGCAAAACCGACGATAGAGTCAACCACGTGAATGGTGTGAACCTTGCATGCTAGTAGATGGAGATCATCACAGGTTAGTACAGTCCTGAGAACGACAGTTGGTGTTAATGCTGAATGACGTTTCGACAACCTAATTACTTGATTCAAAAGATGACAACTTTTATTGGAATGTCGAAACGTCAGTCAATATCAACAAAGACTTATTTTTCACGAGAGCAAAAACCAGGACGATCCATATCTATAAGCACGTGACAAAGTATTTTCATTTATCATGGTGAATAACTGCGAAAAGCCTGAAACTTATGTCTTTCACTTGATTCACTAAGGTTTTCAAAATTCCTTTAAAAACATTGTGTCGGATGCGCGAGACCCAAACAAAACCAGGCGTATGACATGTTAAAACATACCCAGATTCAGCTTCTCGTCGAAATCTTAGCATCGATCTTTTCCTTCTGCTGACAACGGCAGACTCGATATCTTCTTTTCCATCTTGTTTAACATTAATCAACACAACAGTTCGAAGCAACACGGACATATTTAGCAAAAACTCGCCTTTCTGAGATTGAAAGAGTTCAACGTCAATTTTAAAGACATCACCAAAATACCATCAAGCTAAAAGGAGCAGGAAATTCAAAAGATTATGAATAAACTGTAGTGCTAAAGGTTGATATAAAATAGTGGGAGCAAGAAACGAATTTAACCTTAAGACAACAAATACTTGAAGGCTCGCGTTTGTTTGTGTGAAAGACAAATTCTATGCAAAAGATGACCATTAAAAGATATTTAATGAGTTCAAATCTCTCAAAGAAAAATCAAGTTGAGGTCCTAAATTGTTTAACACTGACAAAGACGACCAAAAACTTTTTACACACTAATCACAATTTTGCCCTTAAACCAACGTATTTGGTACAAAATAAACATTGAAAAAAATTCAAAAAATTTTGTTGTCTTTGCAACTCACGCAGGTATTAAAGAATTTGAAAATAATGACAATTCAAAAGTACTCATCCGACCTCGTTAAACGCTAAGTGAGCTTAATCATAAACGTTTGTAGATATTTAAACTTTGCTTTCTCCATAATTATCAAATCGCGTTTTACTTTCGAATGCTGCCAATTACATTTCAAAACCTTTACGTTGTTAACTTTTTTTTCCAAAGTCATTTTTTTGAGTTTTGAGCAAAAGAGAAAACAACAAATATCCTTTAAAAATAGTCAAACATTTAATCGAGCATCATACATTGAACATTTATTGAGTCTTTGTGATTGGTCAATTGACTATTGGCAGGCACGAATGGCATTATTGTGATTGGTCAATTGACACAGCAGTGGAGAAAATAATAGTTGCAAGCAAAAATCCAAAATGAAAAAAATATGACTTCGAAAAAATATTTAGTAACGTGACGAAATATGGAATGTTAGACGCGAGCTTATAAACGTAAGCAACGTTTGCAAGTTGTGTAGCTACTTCTTCCTCGCAACTAATACACATAATAAACTCCTCAAAAATCTCATGTTACCCCTTACCAGCTTTGGTTTTGTGTCATTACGACAATACATTACACCGTAACCACAACCAACATCGTCACAATTCGATTCGCATCGCTTGTCCGCTAGACTCCCGGAGCATTTCTTCATGTATCTATATAAAAAACAGCTTTTATCTCTTTGCAATAGCAAACTTAATTAAAAAATTGCTGGTGTTTTTGTAACGTTTTTCCTTAAAAATTTGCTAACCTGCAATGACGCACAGGCGCACGACAATCGAAGCCATCGAATAAACAGTTAGCATTATTACAAGCGAAATCACACTTCCCACCGTTGTTGAATAGTTGTGAGCAGTTCCTGTGAGGGCACTCTTTCCATGGACGACTGCGATTCAATGAACAGGATCCAGCGGCAAAATCGCACGCTTCAATGTTGCATTTATCCTACGTAACAAAACACGGATATAAATCGCTGAACAAGAACACACATCAAAACAATTTTCCCTAGCCCAATGTGATCCACAGACTTCGATCAAAGTCTTGTTGGAGTGTTTCAATGAAGTGCAGTGAACTTATCATGAACAGTCATATACTAACCAAACTAAACAAACAGTAATGAAAGATCAAACATACTCATACCTCCCTCCCCTCCCCCGCATTAAAACATCATCTTGTGAACTCAAGATTTGAGTTGTATTAGCAAAATATGTTTTTCGAAAAATGTTTTGTCTTATATTTCTTCAAACTGTCGTCTGGAAAAGGTTTTGAAACAAATGTAAAAGTTCGTACTACTAACTACACGGTCAACCTCTCGTTTCCAAGAGCTCCAATAAAACTTACATTGCAATCAGCATTTCTATCAAACTCATGTGAACAGTTCGTGTATGGACACCGCGAATCTCCCGGAAGGGAATCAGGACCTTTTTCGCATCTCTCACCAGTATAACCGTCTGTGAAAATTAAAAAAGACAAAATCAGCATACAAGCAGTTGACTATAACCTGCTTTGCGAAGTTAAAATCATGAAAGAAATGAAACTATGGGTAGTTAGGGCTATCATGTATCGTGCGCGTTATTTCTGGGCTTCCACTTTCCTTATTGAATTACCTTTGCATTTACAGCTGCAACTGTTCGCAACAAGTTCGCCATTGTTTTTACAGACAATCCCGCAGTTCTCGGCAACACTCAATTGACATTTTTCATCTACGTAACCAGGTTTACACCTCTCGCACTTCCAATCATTAAATCCATCGATACACGTCGTTCCGTTTTCGCAAGCGTCGGAGGACAATCGTTTTGGTTGTATTCACATTGCATTCCTAAGACACCAACTTTACACACGCAGACATAACTACCACCATTATCGTTACATTCACCTTCGTTTAAACATGGATTGTCTGCGCACGAAGTGACTCGTCGTTCGCAATTTAAACCGCTCCAACCATATTTACATTTACACACATACCGACCAATCTTGTCTAGACATGTGCCACCGTTCCGACATGGATTACTTAAACATTCGTTTATTTCAAACGAGCACGTCCGCTTTGCAAAACCTGGCTTACAACGGCAAAAGTAATCATTGACGCGATCTTCGCATCTTTCTGTCCCGATTGCGTGGCATGGATTCGAATGGCATTCATCAACGTCCTCTTCACATCGAGCGCCCTTAAAACCGGGCGGACATGTGCATGCAAAAGTTTTTATGCCATCAGTACAATTACCACCGTGAAGACAAGCATCCACGCTACAATCGTTCGGATTTTCATCACAGTTCGTACCCACCCACCCCTCGTCACATTTACAACCGTATTCGTTGACGAGATCAAAACATTTTCCGTGTACACAAGGCTTGCTGGCGCACTCGTTGATATCATTCTCGCAGTTCGTGCCAGTAAATCCGGGAAAGCATTGACAAGTGTAGTTTTTTATCCCGTCTATGCATGTGCCACCATTTTTACAAGGACCGGCTTTGCAATCATCGTCATTTATCTCACAAAGATAGCCTGAAAAATGGCAAAATTATAACGTAATACAAGACAACTGCGTACACAGAAATAGATAAACTTCACTAAAATACATCCTTCAAACTGTTACCAACAAAAGTACAGTTGAAGGCAAATGGTAATATAATTGATCAAATGTCATAACCATACGTTATAAAAATATGTTTATTTAAAACTCTTTATTATACATTGCAGCAACACCAAAAATAACTACAGCAACATTTTAGAGCTATATGCTGTCACTGTATTCTTACAACTGTCGATTGTAAGGTCCTTTTGACTAAATCATATTTGATACCATCTGATTATCCAAAACTTCCTTTGCTTCACTATTACTCAAAACTTCATCAAATGAGAACTTTCGAGTAAAATTTTTTCATCATATAATTCAACAAACTTTGGAAATCAATATCAAATCAAAAGTCAAGCCAATTTGCCTTATGGACCACAAATAGTCAAAAGCCGCATGTTTACCCCTTTCGAACTTGCCTCAAATAAAGTAATCCTTTAAAATAATCCTTATGAACATGTCTAACACAAACTATCCTCGTACCTGAATATCCAGGCGCACATTTGCACGTGGAATAAGCACCTCGAGGTTCACATTTAGCCCCATTTAAACATCTGTTACCATCAATGTCACACTTCCAGTTTCTGATATGACAAAGGTGGCCGGTGTGATTTGTACGTGCACATTCACAGTTATAGCTATTGCCCTCAGGTATACACGGTGCATTGTTTTTGCAAGGGTTAGGATGACACCAATCAATTTTCTTCTCGCAATGACGACCTAAACAGCATTTACACGATCAAAGTAAAATGAAACACAAACGTGAACGTGAAGTAAAATAGTTGAAAACAAACAAGTCAACGACAACTCTGACGCTGTGACACGCGCGTTTCGTGCAAATAAAGACACATTTTCGCGAACGGTAACATTGCAGATACATATTCAGATCAACGCAGTTCACAATTGCACACGAATTCTAGTTAAGGTTCCAGAGGGCTCAACTCACCTTGGTAACCAAAATCGCAATAACAACTGTAGTTCCCAATCCCCGTTACACAGGTAGCTCCATTCTTGCACGGTGCATCCTTACATAAATTTTGCAAGTACTCGCAATGAGCACCGTAAAAGCCGTAGGGACAATCACATTCTGCACCAGACCCTTTATTCACAGGTACGCCATTGTTGAAGCAAAATCTGAAGGAAAATATTGGAAGTTGAAGTATACAAACTAAGAGGACTTTTTTAGACGTGAAACGTAATGTACATCTTGAGCAATGACGTAATGTACATCATGAGCAATGAAGTCCGTTAACTGTAACCTTAACATCCGCCCATTAGTCCGGTGCTTATATAAACTTCAAAGCTCTTTTTTCATGGGCTTAGAGCATGGGTGACTTTAATACGGAGGGGAGTTTATGCATGGACTATATTACTATATTTTATTATATGGCAAGCGTCACTTCCGGCTAAATGACGCGCTTTGATTGGCTCAGAAGCCCTTTTGCTGGTCCATTAATTTCCCGTAATCGATCACGGTCCAAAAACGCGTAATTTTACTGTCAAATGTAAACAAACTTCGTAATGCAATCAGCAAAACGCAAAATAAACGAAACGAAAAACCATTTACGAATGTGATTCGAAGGAAAAACACTTGGAAAACAGTTTAACTATCCAGACGATACAATTTGAAACGATTTATTTTTTATGGACGAAAACTAGAAAAGTGAAAGCCAACCGGTAAAAAAAACAGCAAGGACGAGAAAGAAAGCAAGCTTAGTTTCAGGTCAAATAGTGCCATATAATAAAATATACATAAATGTACAAAATATCTTCGTTCCCATATTTCTCCGTACAGACCTCGAGGTTGACCTCCGTACAGATCGATCATTAAAGGCTTAATAATGCAATCATCTGTGCACATTACAGTAATAAATATGTGGGCTTATACGTGCAAGGAGGTTTACGCGGGCGGGAAGGTTTACGGTATTTGCTTACATTTCTTTGTAGTGGTATGCAAGTTTGTCACAATTCTTTCCCATCCATATTCCCTCGCATAAACAGTTGTAATCGTTTACAGCATCTTTACATGTTCCATGTAGACAAGGTGACGACGAACACTCGTTAATTTCAGTGTCGCAGAACTTCCCCGTGAAGCCCGGCTTACAATTGCATACAACCGAATCGCCGCTGACCACACAATGTCCATGTTTACAAAGATTAATTTTGCATTTGTCATTTTTTGTCGTGCAATTTTTACCTGGAAGATAAATAGATATTTGGTATATTATTTCAAGGCAAGTGAATGAACTGATCATTTATAAACTGATAGGAAAAGTGATCTTCGAAGTTATTCTAGACTTGAAAGTTGAAACCACATCACACTGTCAAGAAGTCACGGAGCTATTTACAAGCATTTCCACTTTGAAATAAAAAATATTTCTAAACACGAACAACGTCAACACAAAAAAGTTTCATAATAAATTTACAATAATTTACTAATACTTCGACATTTTGCCTTAACACGTCCCACTTCCACGCTTCAAAATAATTAGATGTCATATATGCAAGACCACCAAATGTTAATATATAGAAGATCATACAAGTGATAATTGTGTAAGCGCTATACGCCATTGATTCGTCACTCAATCAGTGCAGAAAACAGAGGCAATTGCCCCCCTGTAGTTAATTCAGAATGCAAGCAGATGATTCTTACAAAATTCTATCAAGGGGGCAGGGCGATGCCTTCAGTTTTTTTGTATAGCGCATGCATGAAAAAATAGAGATAATATGCGGTATGTTGATTTTCAAAATGCCAACTCTAAGACGACAATAACTTTCATCCATCGAACTTTTAGACCATAGTCAGGATGACAATCTGCATTGAAGATAATCGATATTTCGATCTAAACTCATGGACAATTTCCGATACTGAATTTCTTCATTATGTGTAAAATGAATTTCTTAACTAAAACATACCGCTCCATTCGCTTGTACACAAACATTTGTAGTCAGCGATCCCATCGAGACACGTGCCACCGTTTCTACATGGACCCGACGCACATTCGTCGATATTCCTTTTGCAAAATTTCCCTTCAAAGCCTGGATGACAATCACAAGTAAAATTGTTGAGAAAGTCCTTACATTTTCCGTCATTCAAACACGTTACTCGAGCACAATCGTCTACGTTCTTGTCGCAATTTTTACCTAAGCAAAAAGTGGAAATGAAATATTTAGAGACTGATTGAAAGTTAACACAAACAGCGTCCTTAAATAAAGTCTTAAAACTCGAGGATCTCATGCGGTAACGTCAACTGAAGAATGAGGACCACGTACAAGCAAAAACATGGCGATAAAAGGTGGGTGTAAATAAGTTTCTATATTCCGCAGAAGAAAAATTAAGGTTTCAAGTTTTACCGTTCAATCATAAAACTACAATACTTAACTTCAATAAATAATACTTAAATTGCCTATGAAGTGAAAATTTTGCAAGTTAAATTATGTTTGAAATGACCAGAACTTTTGAAATTACCATGTACTTTCTAAAACATTTAATGCATATATCTTCTATTCTCGTGATTTTGACGCTTTTGTTATTTCCAATTTATACCACTTGTGAGGTCATGTTGCATAACGAGTGCCAACAATGATTCAAATGTTCTTCAATTTCCTGACAACTTTAGGTTGATACTAGTAGGTTGCATTTTATACCATTAACCACGTCACAATGAAGGGAACTACGTCCTTGTGAATTAAATCATCGGTAAATATACCTAATAATCTTAGTTCTCATTATGAAATGTGACATCACACAAGTCAGATAAATCGAACAAAGCAAAAACCTCAATATCTCAAGAATTGAAAGTAATATGCATAAACTGGTTTAGAATTATCATTTTAAAATATCTCTTGAATAAGAGTATTACTAAGATGGCAAAATTTTCTTTTTTATTTAAAACTTTGAGATCACCACAAATCTTTAAAATGGGTTTATGGCAACAAAAGTTCCAGCCCAAAACCATAGAAACAGCAAGGAGTTGTCAATACATTGTATAACTAAGTTACACGTGAAACATACCGGTAAAACCAACAAGACATTCGCAATTATAATCCCCGTGTGTATTGGTACAATTGCCGCCATTCTTGCAAGGATCGTTACCACATTCGTCTATATCACGATCACAAAGTGTCCCCTCAAACCCTTCTTTACATGAGCAGGTGTACATGTTCAAACCATCTACACACGTCGCGTTGTTATGGCAACTCATATTACGACAATCGTCTATATTAACGCTGCAATTGTGACCGGTGTATCCGCTGGGGCAAGAACAGATAAAAGCGTTTCCAACACTCGTGCAGTTTCCACCGTTTTCGCATGGATCATCATCACAGCGATTTATCGACTCCCGGCAAGTTGGACCGGTATATCCTAAAATACAGAACGCAGTCAAAAAAAAACCCTGTGGAGATTCATCCGACATCGGAACTTATTGCTCACGCAATTTATCCGACATAACTATTTATGTCTTAAAAACTTAAATGAACGCAGACTCTAACCCTAACCCTAACCAAGATTATTGTTATGTTTTTATGTTTTGGTTGAAAAAAATGAAAGATTAAGTCGATTTTGAGAGCGACAAAATTATTGAATACTTCGACAAAATGCGACCTGCGACCTGCGGGGTGGGTTACGAACTCAAATAGCTAGGCTTTATTCCATCTGCTCCTGCCACTGGACTACACAAACATCGACACAAACCTAGCGAAACGTAATTTTATAAAATACGCAACATATATACGCAAAAATTAAAAACAAGATGTCAGATGAATATACACGGCGTAAAAGAAAAGCAAAAAATTTCATAAATAGTGGCAGCTAGCTTTCCCAATGTAAGAGGAATTTGCTCTACACAGACTTGTTAAACACAGTTTATCGTTATGTTTGTCATGCTTTGTTTTGAAATAACCACGAAAATAGCCACGATAACTTTTAAACTTAAAGAAAAACTAACAGTAAGGTCCCCTTAACATTATGAAGAAACATTTTCACAAAGCAGTAAACCGCCTCAATCCAAACACTTGTTTTATTTAAAATCAGATCTTGTGACTGGACTCACCTACAGGACATTTACAGCGATATCCTTCATCTATTTTAACACACTGGGCATTATTTTCACAAGGATTGCTGTCACATCCATTGGTTTTTTTTTGGCAATATGTACCATAGAAACCAGTTTTGCACAGGCATTCATAACTACCAGTTTTAGAGAAACACGTGCCTCCATTCCAGCACGGAGAGCTGTTGCAGTAATCGATGATAGTGGTACAGTCGTTGCCTAAAAATAGTGAAGAAAACACGTACAGCAGACTTTTACTTTTCGACCGCGAGGGATTTGGGTTCCACAAACAAGCTGACGTACTCGTAGTCAAGGCAGCAGAGTGTTTTTATAACTATGACTACAAGTACGAGCTTAACTTACGCAACTTTATGCCTGTATTTGTGCTTAAAATGAACTGTAATAAATATATTTTTGAAGCATTCATTACTCAGGAATGTTATGAGTAAAACACATTGTTTTTTTACAAAGTAAAAAGACAAAAGTCTCTGGCAAGTGTTTCCGTATTGCCATTACGATCAAACAATATGCAACTGGACAAATGAACGAAAACGCTTGTCATGTTTTTAGTGAATTTGTTGGAAAAAAAGCTTTAAAGCAAGTAATGAAAACACCGGATGGGGCTGAATAACGTATTTAATATTTATGATTTATTTTGAATCTGAAGCTCTCTGTTTACAAAAAGGCGAAAAATAAATGTCCATCATAGCAAGGATACAGTTTCAAAATTCCATCTCAAATGCAGCGCAGCATTATGGGACATTCACAAACAGTACGCTAACCTCGACAACAAGAGTGACATTTTGATTACCTCAAAAAAACCCCCAGCAAAAACAAGAACCGATTTCTCTTAGAAATGAATTCGTCTTACCAGTGTAGTCTTTTTACAGACACATTGATATGAACCGTGGTTGTTCACACAGTTTGCATGATGACTACACGGGTTTTGTGCGCATTCGTCAATGTCATGTTCACAAAAAGCGCCTGAATATCCTCGCCGACAGTCGCATCCGGTCGCCGAGCCGTTCTCGTTGTATCTGCAGTCGCCGCCACCATTACAGTAATTTTTATTCGCCTTGCACTGGTTAATGTGCTCACATAGCAGACCTTATGGATAAAATGGATAGAAAAAAAAATAATCATGTACAATCAAGACATAGCATGATATAAAATACAATGTCCAAATATGTCGGTCAAATATAACTGCTACAAAATGTAAGTCGTTTGCATAGAATACAAGTGAAAATATCTCAACAGCAAAGCACTGCACGAAAAATCTTCAAAACAACACAGAGTACACTTTCTTGAGTTCTTCTAGGTTCAAGGGTGAAAATCTCCATGTCATAAACACTCTAGAGACTTGTACAGTCAACGGCAATCACTTTTCTATTTAAGTTGCTTGCACCAATCAATGAAGTAGGTTTTAACCAGTTAACTGTAACATTAACTGGAACGCCAACTCCAATACAAGGGCCAGATGCCATTTTGAAGCCAGGTATGATTGCTTTTAATCTGCGTTTTTAGGCATAACACCTAATCTTGTAAGATAAAACTTATCATGGTCATTTGTGCCAATGTATTTTATGTATATCGTATATTATTGGCTTCAAAGATGACGGTGCAGTTAGCGCTCCAGTTGATATTATAGTTCACTGGTTTTAACACGATCCTTTGCGCATGTGTGAGAACGGAGAGGATGGGACTTACAAATCATGATTGATTTCTTCTCTTTTGTACAACTGATCTACAATACCCGACCGATCACGACAGAACCGTTTCAATACATAGTGAACACACAAAACAAATAAACAATACATCTTTCCAAACAGAAATATAAACACTTTACATGAAATAGTTAAATCAGATAAACATACCCATATACGGTTCTTTGCATTGGCAAATAGCCCTCCCAGGTCGATCATGACACGTCCCATTGTTTTTACAAGGTGATGGAATACAATCATCTATATCGATTTGGCAATCACTGCCAGTAAAACCAGCATGGCAAATGCACATATAGGAACCATGTCCATTAATACAGGTACCATGTGGTGAACACAGAGACTTATTTTTGCACTCGTCAGTGTCATTTTGACAATAAACGCCTTCATAACCCACACGACATCTAAAAAAGACCCAGACGCTTATGTCGTTGGGAAAATGTGTAACATAACAGTTTGGCAGAGCTCAAGTGCGAATAACCAAGGTTACTACACGAAGGTTATGGTTCAGTTGAGGGGAAAGGAACACAACTAAATGTACACTATGCGTTTGTAGATGTAGACATTCAGGGTCAGTACAGACTTCAGCTACTTGGACAATCAACATTTACAAACATGTAACGATACACCTGGGTTCAAACCATTCACTTCGGATTTTTATCAAACGAACAAGCGACGAAACTTGAAAATGTTATTTATTATCCATAAACAGTCTAAAAATATCACGCGGCTTACGATAGAACAATTCACAAGTGGTTTGATAAGGCAGTTACGTATGGACTAAACATCGGTGGAGCTTATGGAATGCTTTTGTGCGCATGCGTTATTTTGCTGTTATCGTATTTACAAGTGCTGGGGGTGGGGGTGGTGCATGACAGAAATTCATGAATGGAAAAATAACAAAGGTCTTTTACACGTCAATGTTAGCCGACAGCAAGATCACAGAGTTATCGACAACTGAATACTACAAGTGATATAAGCATGTTGCAATCTGAGCTTGTAATTGGTATTGGTTTAATGAAAACCTTGAGGATTATGGTAAGATGATCTTGATGGGATGCAGTGACGGGACAGCATGGAGCACGAGAAGCAGTTGTGGTCAAAACTTATCAGTGGTTGTAATCTAACTCTTTGTGAAAGAAAGCCCTGCTTTGCGATACGTACCAAGCTCGACTATAGCACTATAAATTCAACTGCGAAATTTTCATGACCATAAAAAGTAGTGGATATATTTATTTCTGAGAAATAAAAGTGGCGTTGTAATGTATTAATCGTGAGCTCTAAGTCGTGGTTTTGTAGATTTCAAGAGAGTTTAGAACCCATTGGAAAATACACTGCTGAGTGAATAAGAGAAGAACTAGATTAACTTTAAATATTCATGCAATTCAAAATTATAAGCAAGATGCTAGGAAGGGAGCTAGAAACTATTAAACGGAGCAAATAATGTACCAGATAGATGCAATGAAAATTTTCTGAATAACTGAACAACTGCGGTGTCGCGTTCCAATGGAAAAAGACAGATGTTGACCACATTAAATTTCGCTAAACTTTACACTCAGACAATAGACTGGTCGGTCATCAACTTAACTGATAAGAATGTATATTAACACAAACATAAATACACATCAAAGTGGCCCAATATTAAACTCTTAAAATGCTTTTCTCGGTACCATGAACAAAAAGCATGAGCGCCCATAAAAGTTAATGAAGCTTCAGATGGTAAACCGTCGAAACCTGGTAATAGAGAAATACCAAACGACCGGCAATCTAATGAACAGTGCAACTTATTTTTAAATTTAAGTTCATTCCACAACCCATTTACTGTAAAAAAATTTTGGACTAAATACTTTCCACTCAAACCAAAAACTTGGTTAAACTGAATACGTCATAGATAGCTTCCAATTATACAGCGTAGACTTCTAGGTTTTAAGTCTAGCATTATACCAAACCAACAGACAAAACAAGCTAACTTATCGTGGGCTTTTTTCAAAGTTGTTACATATGGTCATAGATACAAACGATAGCTGCCCGTTTAGTCTGGGTCGCAATTGATAACTATCTAGGAAATCAACGCTCATGATCAACGTGAGTTCGGACAAGCTTTTCTTCAAAAAATTAAATCCCAGTGTATATTTTTCATTATCTCAGTTTAAGCTAAATCCTCTCGATGTATATCGTAAAATACAAATAGTTTATAGTCTTCTTAAAACATCTGTTTTCAGCAGGAGTCAAGAACTCCCATCGGAAATCCGAAGACTTGCGTGAAAAGCGATTTTTCCGACGTATATGCATGAACAACTGTGTAATTGGTTGTCAAGTCAACTGAGGATTGTTACGAAAATTTACTTTATTCTTTGCAAGAGGCAGTTAAGAATGAAAACTTTTTCGAAACAAAACGCTTCCAGGAAGCACGCCCGATCGCAACTTCAATTTGACGACTTGTACAAATTCCAGCAACAACATCTTTTTTCAAAAGACAACTTTTGTCTTACAATTTTTCACGACTAGAAGTCCTTTATAATAAATTAACAGCACAAAGACACTTTTGAAATTATAGTGTGTACTACATATCCGAAACACAGAATAAAGATAGCCACAATTACTACATGTCAAATGCAGTATATGTTCCAATGAAGTCCATGGTTAGGCAACACTTGTAAGCTCACACCATCTACTGCAAAGTGATTATTGTATTTGCATACTGTCATCAGCACTCAGTCACATATCGAAGCACCATTTAAAAATTTCTACAGAGAACTTGAGACAACTTGAGATCTAAACTATATCTGCTTTCCCGGACCGTCCTTCCTGCAGCTAATTTAGTGAAACTACTGAATAAACGTCACTAAATGTCGAGCAAATGGCATGTTAAGGCAGGTCAAAACAACCTCTTCGCCCAAAGTATGAAGATACAAAGAGCTGTCTTTGTATGCCAAGTTACCCGTCTCAAAATTGCTCAAACTGAACTTTCATTGTAAATTTTATGATTTTACAGCAAGATTACCAGCATCGAAAGCGTTCTGGTTCTCAAATAGTCGTCACAGTCGTTTCAGTCGTGCCAAAATTTCACAGACGACCCGTGCGACTGCATTTGAACATTTCAGAGGCGACCGGGATGACCTCAAATGACTCACACGACTGAAACGACCAGGGTCGCTTGGATAGAGCTTTGCTCTATGCGGACGACCGAAACGACCGTTGAGAAATGCAAGCGACCTTTTTAAGGCGCAAAACGATTTGAGGAAGCCAAGTTACTACCCAAAAGACTTTGTTTTTGATAAACAGCAGCCGCCATTTTTACATACTACGCGCAAAAATTAATTAAAGCACAGTCTTTCGGCAGCGCTAGTACGAATATATGAGAATTCCATAGCTTAAGTTGTCTGGTCTCAGTCATTTTGAAAAACAACAAAACATTTCGGAACGACTCGGACGACTTACCGAGAACCAGACAACAGATCTGTTTGAGAGATAATAACAGGTTAACTACTTTTCGTGCTTTGTGTAATACGTTCTCCAGAAGAAACCTGCTAACTTTACATGCAAAGGTAAGCTGTTTTAGCTAACTTTTTTGCAAACATTTGTGATTAACATGCGAGTAAAATCAAGTAAGGCATTTTTCAAGTGAGGTGATTTTGCCGATGAAAGTGACAGTGTTCTCTTTCTTTTTTTTTCAAGAAAGAGGCAAAATGAAGCTTCGTCGAAAGCTCAAAAAAGTTATTGGGGTTTGGCAAAGTCCTTGATACTTTATCACACTCATTGAGACGACAAACTGCTGTTTTTCATCGGGCAAACGCAAGCGGCCCAACGTCCCAAATCCTTAAGGCTAAGCCAGCTAAGTCTCGCCAAAAACCCTAAACAACAGTCAGCATTTAACAAAAAATCCCATTTTTAAACGCTATTGAAAACTAAAATGTTGTAACAAATCACAGTATAAACTCTCAGAAATTCGACACTGAATTCCCGCTGTCGTCGATCGTTTAACTATATATAGTCTATTTATAAGTATGGAAGCTTGCATACTGTATTTTAACAGGGATCAACTAACGTTTAATAATTCAACATTCCCAGCAATAGGAATGTCAATAAACTACTCGTTACACGTGTGTGATCAATGTAGCGGCACAGAATATCAAACGGTGAATTGAAATAATGAATTTTAATGTCAACAAAACAAAATAATGAAATAGTCAATAGTGTTATCAATAAATTGTACCTGCATTTACTCCGAATTTCATCACAAGTTGCACCGTTCTTGCACTCGCTACAAACGAAAGATGCTACAGAAAAAAATAACCGTTTAGACATTTAGAAACATAAATTGTTCACACAAACGCGACGGACTAAAACCCTTATCACACCAGCAGTTGTCACTGATGGATTCAATTCAACCAGACAAACATGATAGACATCCCTCGAACGCGCTCTATTAAAGTTACCACACGAATAGACATCGAACGCGCTTTTAACTATAAAGGCTCTAAATGGCCACAAAAATACTATTTCACGTTGAGAAGTAAAGCTGAAGGCAAAGACAAATATTTCCTTTTGGTCACGATACATCTTAAACCATCGCTGCCCGCTATCACTAAACAGTGTGGAGTACCACCATTCAATTAATACGGCAGCGCAACTACTTTGCAACATTATTGTCCCACATTCTCATCGTAAAATTGAAAAATATAAAAGGACAAACATAGACGCAAAGCAAGGGTATTCAACATGGCTGAAAAATCGGGCACACGACACCGTATTTGGCACTCGGCTCACAAACACGATAAATCACGACAATTTAAACGCCGAACGCCACAAATACACGACGCAAAGTGAAAAGTTCGAGGCGTTGAGTGGTCATATCAACCGATACAATGGTAGTCGACAAACGGTGGAAATTGAACGGTGTGAACAACCGAAACGTGGGACGTATAAAAGTCATATTTTAAATCAAATAGTATTCAACCTGGTCGACACATACCAGAATTAATGACCAAGAAAGTCGACAAAAAAATTCCAACGCATAACCAAGATTTATATCGACCCATATCTCCAGTAGAAAAACAATTCACAAACGCCAAAACCTTAACTCTTCATTCCAATAAGTCTTCAGCACAAATTTCTATCGTAAAATCCTCAAACTATGAAATTTGGCAGTTCGGTAATATTGCCCGATCATCAAGCTCACTACGTTGTTTCAACACTGCGGCGGAATACAAACAGCTATGGCAAAGGTTGCAGACTAGCCAATCAAATCGTCGCATACAAATCCCTAAAGATGACTGGCCAATCACTAGCGCAATACCATGGAATTATATGTTCTGAAATGTTTCGAACTGCTCCCTACGGCTTTTCAGCCTTTCATGTAATTAATAATAAAGACGACTGAGAAAGACGCCATGAAACACCTGGAAGCCTAGACTTTTACAACACCCGTGTCGCAGACGCCAAATTAACATTCAATAGATTTGCATAATGCCGACATAAAGCAATGAAGTGACGTTGATTCGCCTTCGCTTGGTAGAGAAAAATAGCCGAGTTGCATATTTGCGCAAATGAACACATATCTTGTTTAATAGAGAAGTACACTGATAAAATTTTTGCTTGCAATCAAATCCACACTTAGACAAATCCCCAAAAAAACCCTAGAAATATCGACCTTCGTGCGAAGACAACGGAGTGCTACAGATTTTTTGCAATATCGCAAAATATTCAGCCATCGCAAAATATATTCCAACCTATATTTTGTTGGTTGAAGTCATTCGTCAAAACTGGTCAGTACTCGGTTGTTTGAATACGAAATGGACTCAATTGTGCCAAGTTTCATTCGCTTGCGTAATTTCCATGCACAGACTGAACGTTTGCCATCGTTTGACAAGCAGAAGAAAAATGAGTTCGATACTAATGGCTTTAAGCAATATTTGTGAATTATTTTATTTAATCTTATAAGCGCGGGTAGTTTAATGCTATTGTTTTAACATATTCTTAACATATTTCATCTCAAACGTAAATCCTCTCGATGTCTTTTAAAATGACTGCCCACATGTGCTAAAGACCGTTTCCTTTATGTTGGCGAATGAAAGAAAGAACACCGAACGTCAAGGAACAAGCCTTAGACGCAAAATTTCTCATTCTGTTAAAATGAAACACTTTTCTCTCTTCAGAAATTTTTGCCAATTGCACATTTTTTCCCTAATGGATGAGAATTTGTGATTATGACTTAACTGAATACTTTGTGATTAAGAAAATCACGATGCTATTCCGTAGAAATGAGATATCTGTAAATTTATCATTTTAAGAGAAGATCGAAACCCAAATAGTTCTGATTATGCCATTTCAGATCTGCAACAATACAAATCCAAGTTTTACTTCTAAACACAAAGACAATTGAGTCCAAGTTACAATCAACGGACCTCTTATGTATATATGACAGTAAATATACTCTATCATCAAAACCATTTCAAAGTGTGGGGGTGTAAAAGCTACAAATGATTTAGCCCCGACTCGTTGTCGACAAGTTATACTTGTAAGTTGTAATTCGAATTTCCTGATACATCTTCGTAGTCGCTATTCCATTCATTAGTGGCATAATTACATCCACCCGCCAAACATAAGCTATATATTAGCTTGGGCCTCTCACATTACACCCGATCGTTTACAGAGAATGATAAAATGGAAAGAGCTAGAACTTTCTGTCGTACAATAAATATTTATTAATTGACTAGCTCAACCGCATCGATCATCAACAGATGTCACCTAGCTTTTTACATTTTAATCTCATTAGAGAGAAGCAGAATATACTCGAAACTACAGACACAAGAAAATATAAATGTACAATAAGGAAGGCCACTCATTAGAAGCAAAAGAATTCCATGGCAAACTATAAGAGCACCAGTACAAACCCACAAGCGTCCAGAAAGGCCCGGAAAACACCCTACATAATGGGCTATCGTCGTTTTGTTGTACCTATACTTATTAAATTCGAGCATGTTGGAATTCTAGCTTAACAAGACTATCGTGAGTGCGTTGCCCGAGCCATCGAAATATAGGGCGCAACACCGGACATTTTGTATGGAGAAAGATTGGAAATACCCATAATAGCTAACTGGATGAAAACATCCATAAAAATTAGGTTTTTTGGAAATAGCAGGTTACTTGAATCAACCAAGGTCGAAGTAAAGAAATGTTTTTCAATATTTACGACTTCTTATGATGAAAATCGAGAAAATTGATAACAAAAAAACCCTTTCAATGAGATTTCCAAGACCTTTACAAACTCAAATAATCAATAACATCAAATGGAAGATTTCCTAACAGATTGAGAACACATTTTGAATGTCGTTTTATTAAATGCACAATGGGCATGCTATAATTACGTTGCGTTAATAATCTTTTATAATTACAACAACATGTGAAAGCCTGTCACAACTTTGAACGCTGCACGCCTCATATAAGAAGGTCTTGAATGAAAGACTTAAATTGAAACAAAATAGCTGAAAATTTACCACCATTTCTTTCAACAACGAAACATTACAAAAAAAAAAAGAGTTCCATAGCATACACATGTGCAAGAGAAGTCAATGTTCTACTTCCTCGATTCTACATTTTATTACGATAAGCACTTAGATACCACTTCATAATAAAGATAAACACACAGCAAAGCTAAGAGGGATTATCTCAAACATCATTCATGTACAAAAAAAAAACAAAATTTCCCCGAGGACACGAACCTAAAACTGTTGTGTTGTTAAATATGGAGTAATTAACGACGCGAAGTAAAAACTGTGCTCAACATCAACAATCTTGCACGACGTTTTTTAATTCGAACTAATTGTTGGAAAAATTTTAAATGACTGTGGGAAAGTTTCGGATCCTTTTATTCCAGTAGCTATTTTCTTTTTCTAAAAGCACAGCTCGTGACTTCACGGTTGCTTACGTGCTCAGCACTTAATTACACACCCAGTCGAGTCCGTGAACATGATTGGCTGAACCAACTCCACGCCAACCGAAACAATACTGGTAAGTTAGAGAAGATTGTTGATAACGAAGTCAAATAAGAGAGATTTAACGCACGACCTCTTTCCATACAATAGATAATGGTGCACCCCCAACTGAGGTGTATGGTTCGGTTTTGAAGCAGCACAATCTGCAATTATATGTTCATATATGGAGTGGAAATGTGTTGCGTGGTGTGGTTTTTGATATTGTAAATGCAGGATCACTGACTGAGATGAGAGATGAGAGAAAACGCCTTATTAAATCTAATATTATCGTTATTCTGTATTATATTTATTGAAAAACTCCAAATTCTTAGATAAGAAAAAACAATTCACTTTTGAAGTGAATGCATCTCTTCACGTCATAAGATATCGTGATCACGCAAGTTTTTTCCGTCCGATCTTTTAGCAAGACTCTTCTATACGCAAACAAAGAAGTAAAATGGTTAGCACTCGTTCAAAAACTCGTTCACTGCCGCTATTAAAGCGATTTGTTTTTTCCCAGCAATTGTCAGAGATGATTGCCTCAAATAAGTGCAATGCTTCCGCACGCGCCTTATAAGGAGACGAAGAACCAACAAAGAGTTTTGCTTACACACACAAAATATTTCTTCAAATGAGGAGTAAGCTGCTTTGGACTTATGAAGATTTGAAGTATATGATTCCAAAAGTGAAGAGAAAATCGACATTATGTCAATGGAAACAATTTATTTTTAGCTTACGTGTAGTTAATGCCAAATTAGAAAACTTCGCTGTAATGATAGAAGTGATAATCAAAAAGTGAACATATCTTTTTTCATTGCCGATATACTGCCGCTGACCTTATCCACAAGCCCGTGAGCCTCGCGAGATTGACTAAAAATAAACTTCAAAGCATTGTTTGCACTGTAAATAATAAAGAGTAAAGAAGCCAAGACAGAGAAGTAGCACGAGTAAGACTACATTTCCGTTACAGAGCCAACATCTTAGCTACTGCATCCAATACACGTTATGTGAATGCAAATATTTCTTTTAAAAGGACACCGACAAGAATTATGATAGTGAAAGAAAAGAGATAGCTGCAAGAGTATGCTCAGAGAGACTCTTTCCACGATCTCTTGCACAGGGGAAATTAGCCATTGACGTAAAATCTCATTTTAAGATGGTCAAAGCAATTGCTCGCTCTCATTCAATATTGTATCTTTGTTTGTTGTTTTTTTGTTGCCAAGTTTTGTCAATTCTTTTCATTCCAATATCTGATCAGACGTTTAGGGATGAAGAGTGTAGCACGAAGTCAAGGCAGACGTTTC